GGCCTGACGGATGTAAAAAGTGTAGGACCAGAAATAACTCCGACGGATAACTTCCAACTTCCAATCGACTCCAATATGCGTATGTATATATTTTATCTTAAAGGGAGAACTATCGCGTTATTATTTTCGCCAGGAGTTGTGTATAATATTTAATGTGTATTTTCAGGAGTGAAAAAAATATACATAGATTTAGATCATATGTGTAAAGTGGAAACATTTGAATTTATCTCTACGAAGTTAATGAATACAGGACCAGATTCGATAGTTCAAATAGGCACCCCACCAGTGATAGGTGCGGTAATTTCGCTACTTATAAACACGGATTTGTATTAAATAATTTGCTTTGCAGCATCTGGAGCGAATTATGATGATGATGATGATGATGTGATTTGTACCACCGACATTGATCCACTCAGAATTGACGCAGGTGAAGGAAGTCGCTTGCGAAATAGAAAATTCAAACGAAAAAGGGAACCAATAGCCGACTGTTATGTTCATTCAAGTCTACATACTGCCATAGGTGAACACTTGACAAGCATGTAAAACCTTAGAAAATTGATTAAAAAATGTTTTGTTCTAGATATAAAAGTTGAAACAGGTGAAGATCATTCTGGTTTTTCTATTTCTGAACCGTATAATCCATATCATCAGTTACATGAATCTGTCACCTCCACTGTCACCAAATCTGAAAAAAGCTCAACTCTTTACGTTGCTGACGCAGACTATACCAAAGGTACATAACAGCCTATTAAATGTTTTCTCTTCTTTTAAGATCAAATTTGAACCTAATTGTGCTATGGCCATCGAATCATCAATTTTTCAGCTATTCCGCAACAAATGGTAGACAAAGCAGTGGGGACAGAACCTGCAAAACATTGTCTCAAAGAGGAAAGGCTGAAATTCACATTGGAGAACACTTTGGAAAAGAATAAAAATTTGTCCGAAAAACTGCATAAAGTTAAGGATGAATTCAGAAAGTTTCTGAAGAGTCCATTGAAAACCATCAGCCTGGATGAATACGTTCGATACACGAACCATTATTTTTCCGATAAAACGGTCGCAAAGTTTGTACTGGATCTTTTAGGTTAGTTACATTTCAAGCAGTCTGGTTAACTTGAAAATTGCAGAGGGGTCAAGAGCCGATGAGAATACAATAAAACAATTTTGAAGATTTTTGAAAAATTTGAATTTTGACTAAAAATTTTAGCAAGTTCTGCATAATGTAAAAAAAATTGAAAAAATCTATAAATTTCCAAAAAATAATATATATATATATATATATATATATTAAAATATAATTAATAGCAAATCGAACTTAAAAGTAGAAAATTTTCAAGTATTGTGTTACTGCATAGAATTATAATAATAATTAATTTCGAATAAGATCGATATAAAAATGAAGATATTAAAAAAAATTCAATTATAAAAAAATCGTGGGGAGCAATTAAGTATATTTTCGTAATAACTCCAATATTGTAAATAGCAACTTAAATAATTCTAACATTTAATATTACGCACCCCACGCGTTTTACTATCATCACATCATCACGTCTAAATGACAATGCGAAGAGACGCAAAAATGTGTATACTTGCTAACTGAAATCAGAGGAATGTTATAGGTATGTATTTATATCCGCGAAAATATACAGGATGTTCAAAAAGTAGGAATAGATCAAAATCACTCGAAAAATACTTTCCCTATAGAAGAATGTTGAAAGGATCAGTAAAAAAGGATGTTTAAACAATCTTCAGATATCAATCAAGATGTTGCCGCGCAGAAAAGCCATGCATCAGAAGAAGGGAGAATGTGTCAAAATGTTGTGGAAGTACAAAAACTGTATAATTCTGCCGAGGAAAACTTTGAAAAAACTCGTTGTAAGGCTAGTAGAAAACGAAAATTAGTAGCCGCTGATAAGATGTCAACGATATCTTCTAATGGTAAGATTATTTTTATTAGTAGTATCAGCAGGGTATCTTTAACTTATTTATAATATATATTTAGGATCTGCATTCGGGTTCAGTTTAAATAAATACGAGGGTTGTCTCAAAAGTGAGGTTCTCATATTTTTTTCGGGCACAAGGAATTTTTTATTTGAAGAAACGAATTCACCATTGGAAACGTTGATCTTTAAGCTATTTTTCTACATAGTAGCCATTTTTTCTAAGCATTTTTTAGACAGGAACCACTTTTTACTCGCGGTGACGGCAACGAAGCGCTCCATTGCGCATGCCTGTCAGGCCGGTGCTGACCATCGCCAGTAGGCGCTTTTTGTTGGTATCGGCAGTGGGGGCGCCAGCAACCACGACGGTGTTGCCAGATTGTGCCTAACATCACGAGCGTTGGGAACCTCATATTTGAAACAATAACCTTCGTATCTAAAATTTACAGACGTAAACCAGGTGAAGTTCATCAAATCAGAAGAAAAATTTTCGCAACCAGTGGAGTTATCGTGCGATAAAAACGTAGCAATACCTAAAAGTACTGAAGAGATTGCGACAGGTTGCTCGAAACTGAGAAACGTCAGAATTAAGGCGACCAAACCAGATCAAAAACCAGCGAAGCCTGTGAAGATAGAATCTGATCAGAATATCGTATTAAAGTCAGAATTGTTGGAGGACTGTTTACCGTCATATACGAAGCTTCGTAACATGGTAAGGGCTGCCATACAGCCGGGCGTCACGAAAACGTGGATGAACTTGTTGAAAATCAAAGTTGATACTTTCAACGATTACCAAAGACCGTGCGTTCTGTATGTAGACGAAGTGCCGCTGAAGCCGAAGATTTTCTACAACATCACGTACGATAAGGTTATTGGGGTCGTCATCGACTCGGCTACAGGTAAGATTTGCTCTTTATTTTCATACGTTATCACAGTGCATTTACTAATAGAACAAACGAGCACTGCAATACGTTAGCTATCGCGCAACTTTTCACATGCAACGGGTATCAAGTATCTTGAAAAGTGACATTATGCCGATTTTTTTGACATTATGCTGTTTTTTTTTGACATTATGTAGGTTTTTCTACAAGATATTAACTTAGCACTTAGTTGTACGTGTTGCCTAAACGTCATAAGGCTTGTTATCAATCTTTGGCTCTGATGTGTTCTAAAATCTGCTTCGCTGATGGCATTAGTGGAGCTCTAAGTTGTAAGTTGTATGTGTTGAGGATAATTACATTGGGTTCTTGTCTCAAATACACTGAATCGAGATTCAAAGCTAGAAATTAGTTGCGCAGCCACTTTTTCTTATACATTCTGGAAATTACATATACAACGCGGGCGCGGTGATGATTTCCCGTAAACCTCCTAATTTTTTTCGTAATTTAAAACTTTGAACATAACCTCTCTTCAGAAAGCACAACATAAAAATAACCCGTCGGGCACAGCCAATAGATATACTTCACTATTCAGTAAGGATTTTCTCACACACACACCAATACACATAATCATCCATAAGCGATCTTGCTATTCAACCAACTTTCTTCTCAGAGATAAAAACTACAGACAAGGACCATTTGGCCTCGCAAAACATACAGGTATGCAACCAATAATGCGTGTAGTTTAGTCGAGTGATTCCTCCTTAGATGGACGTTCACAACGATCCTAGTGAGCAAACGTGGAAGATGATACTCATGCGTCACGGACAAACTTCATTTGCAATTGTCTCGACGTTGTTCAAACAAAATTAGAGGGTATGCGTTTGAAAAAAGGCCATTCATTTTTCCAGGACATCCTGATGACCATACGTTTTTCTTTGCGTTCCAGGCGACGTCGCTCCCGCCCGTTACGTGACCGTCGTAATGGCGCAAGGCGTTTGCGCCCCCTGGCGGCAACCGATCGCGTACCACTTCAACGGCAGCCGATGCAACGGCGTACGCCTGAAACGCATCGTCACCGACAGCTTACACAAACTGACAGACATGAACCTGAAGGTGATGGCGTTGATGTGCGGCACGGACGCGAACTACGTCCAGATGGCGCAAATGTTGGGCGTCAGCGCGGATAAACCGCAGTTCTGGGCGGCGGGCCGTCAGGCGCATTTCTTGTTCGACGTTCAGAGATTGTCGCAGGATCTGTGGAACGCGTTTCTCACTGTCAAGATCAGGCTTAATGATTGCGTCATCTCTCAGTATGTGAAGGTACATATATGTCAATACATTCTGACATTCATAATGATATTTTTCCAGTTTTACAAGCTTTTATTTAACTTGATCTGTTCGTTAGTTTGTATACAGGATGTTAATTAAGTATGAACCATAATTCTAACAGAAGATTCTTTGAGTAATTTTAAAACAAAAAATTCATGTAAACGTAACTCCGCAAATTCTTCATTCTCAAGATACAGGGTTTTAAAATATTTTTTTTTTTGTAAATATCTTAAATATCCTTTACCTAATTTAGTTGTGATTTGGCGGTGATATTTATAACAATAAGGAGCTAACATATACTAAGTGACATATAAATCCGAACACCCAGTTTAAATGGTTTTATTTTAATAAAAGTTGGTGAATGCATTTATCTTACTGTAAATAACAAGTGAAAAAATTTTCAGCCTTATCAGTTGGACATTCCGGTTTTTATACTGCTTTTTTTAATTCACTAACGCTCTAAAAATGAATATTTCAGCCGCAGTAAGGAATCAACGTTGGCGGATTTTGGTTCTTGACATCCTTTACGCTCGGTTACGATGCCTAGAGTACGGAGACCTGTACGATTTCGTCAACTTAGTGCGTTTGATAGGGGCCGTATAGTGGGACTTCGGGAAGCTGGACTTTCTTTTCGGGCAATTGCAGTTAGAGTGCAAAGAAGTGTAGACACTGTGGTTAGGTGTTGTCAGGCATGGCTTCGAGAAGGCCGTACGCAAAGAGCAAGGGCCACTGGACGCCGCCGTAGAACAACAGACCGTGAAGATCGCCGCCTAAGATTATTGGCCTTAAGGGACCATTTCTCCACTACCAGGTCCATTGCAAATGAACGGTTTGCAGAACACGGAAGACCTATTGGCATGCGAAGTGTTTACCGACGAATGAGAAGTTTTGGCTTGTTTTCATACCGGCCACACTGGGTCCTCCCTTTAACTCGAGAACACCGACGTAATCGCCTTGAGTGGTGCAGACAACGGTCACTCTGGGATGAGGAATGGAACAATATTGTCTTTAGTGACGAGTCTCGATTTTGTTTAGGCATGCACGATGGTCGTGCCAGGGTTAGAAGGCGATGTGGTGAAAGGAATCCACAGGTTTTTGTTGAAAGACATGTTCATCACACTGTTGGAGTTATGGTTTGGGGTGCTATAGCTTATGGTTCCAGGTCACCTTTAATCTTCATCAGAGGTAACATGAACGCTCAGCGTTATATCCACGAAGTTCTGGAACCCCATCTTTTACCCTATCTTGACACCCTGGCAGATCCAACTTTCCAACAAGATAATGCTCGACCACATGTTGCAAGAGTCACAATAGACTTCTTTCAACATAATGATGTCACATTGTTACCATGGCCACCAAGATCTCCCGACTTATCCCCAATTGAGCACGTGTCGGATATGATGGGTAGGAGATTGCTCAATTTGCAACGTCCTCCTCAGACTCTAGAAGCACTTCGAGAGGAGTTGGTGGTTGCCTGGAATGAGATACCATAGGAGGACATTGACCACCTGTTCAGAAGCATGCCTAGGCGCGTTGGAGAATGCGTAGCACATCAGGGTGCATCCACACATTATTAAAGGTCAAAGGGCTTTAAAGCGGTGCAATCGTTTTGAAATTTTTATCGTTTACTTATTATGCTTCATTCAGTACTTATACAAAATTTTATTAAAATAAAACCATTTAAACTGGGTGTTCGGATTGATATGTCACTTAGTATATAATATTTGTGACAAAAAAAATGTTCGTCACTGACTTCTGTGTAATTTTTATTATTTTCTTTAATTTTTTTTCGTCTCTTGCTCAGTTTTCGAAAAAAATTCTACCAAATTGTATATTCCTAGACCGCACAAGGAATATGAGGAAGCGTTTTTCTTGGGATTTATCATTCGGAATATAATTTGAGGATCGGGAATTTTGAAAAGAAAGAAATATCTAAATTTCAAATTTTTTGGTAAATTCAGATTTATTGTCAAATATAAATACATATATCGAATTCAAAAATTTTCAAATCTTTAAATTATTTTCACAATTCCAATTTTTTCAATTATTTTCAAAATTTTCAGATCTATTTTTTTAAGGAAATGTTTCTTTTTGTATAATTTTTTATTACTAATTAAAGTTTATGGATTGGTGAGGATTAACTTGAAAAAACTGTCTTCATTTTTTTGAATTTCCTAATGAGTTATTGCGGTTATTTGATTCGGTAACTTGTTTTTACGGCAATGTATGTATATAATTCGAAAATCAATTGATTTAAATTTTGGTCTGGTTATTAAAATGCCTATTCTCCAATTTCAATGTTTATTCGAAGGCCCAAGCTGAACAATACCCGCATTTGTTCCCGACGAAAAACTCGAAGGCGTGCAAGGTGGGACGGAACTATCGCAAGCGGATTTTCACGGATAAGCTGCCCGGCGGCATCTATACCTACGGCGACAAAATCCACTCGCGCGACTCGATTTGCACGAACAAGTTCCTGACCATCGTAGACAATTTCAGCACGTTGATGCTCGACAAGACGGATATGTTCCATGGGTACGCGGACGAGAGAGACCCGATAGATGCGTGCTTCGATCTTTTCAACAAGATACAACCGGTGGACAAGGATATCGACGCTTCGGTCTGCATCAGGAGATGGAAGGTAAAATCAAGATAAAACACGTTGACTCCATTATTCCTTTTACGGAACCAGTATGAAATTATTTCTATGCTTTGAAGTTGAGTCATTAATTTTCAGATAATGATTGTAGAAGGAAGATAAACCAAAATATGTGCGTAAAAATAAAAAAAAAATGTTACCTTGTTTTATAAAGTATCCTCCCGACAAGTATTTCAGTGCGGACCTGTGCGCCCAAAAGCATGTCACAAAAACTGTTCGAAATGATTTCCGTTTTGCTCGACGCTGAGCTGGGCGCGTCTTAGCCATGTCAAGCACGCAATAAAATCACTGGTTGATTTCTGATCACTGTACTCATTTCCTCAATTCGAGCACGTAATTCTTCGCGTGTATTAACCGGTGTTTTATACACTAGAGTTTTTAGCCAACCCCACAAACAAAAGTCTAAAGGATTTAAGTCCGGAGACCTTGGCGGCCAATGTACAAAACCGCCACGGCCGATCCAACGATTATTAAATTGTCTATTTAAAAATTCACGCACATTTCTTGCATAATGGGGTGGTGCCCCATCTTGTAAAAACCACATATTTTGTCTAATATTTAAAGGCACATCTTCCAGTAAACCAGGCAAATTGTGTTGCAAGAAATCAAGATAAATTTCACCAGTTAAGCGATTTGGTAATTCAAAAGGCCCCACTAAAATTCCATTAACAATTCCCGCCCACAGGTTGATTGGTTCAAATCGCTGTTGAAAATTGGTTTACCTTATTTCATGGGGATTTTCAATAGCCCAAACGTGAGAATTACGTGAATTAATAATTCCGTTTCTAGTAAAGAGGGCTTCATCACTCACTAAAATTTGATTTAAAAAATTGTCATCATTTTGATGTTTATTTAAAAGCGAATTGCAAAAGTCAACCCTTTGTTCATGATCTTCCGGTTGTAAGGCCTGCACTTTTTGTATGTGAAACGGATAGAACTGATTTTCACGTAGAGTTTTCCAAGTTTTATATTGACTAATCGCCAATTGAGTTGAAATTTGTCGGGTGCTTACTGTTGGATCATCATTTACTAATTCTAAAATTTGTTCTTCTAGTTCTATTTGATCGTGCGGTCTTGGAGCACCGGCATGATCTCCTCTGTGAGGTCTTAAGTCACCTGATTCACGAGCTCTTTGCACTACATTAACAAAGGCACGAGGGGTTGGTTGCACTCGATTGGGAAACCGATCCGCATAGATCCGTGATGCCGCGGCAGCATTTTGTAAAGACTCCCATGTCCACAAGTGCAGCATTTTCGTAAACATGTGCCATTTTTGATTTGAGCCACGCAACAGACACCACTATTCACTCACGCGTTACCGACTGACCGTGACTGTATACAACTGAAGAAAATAATTGTAAAAACATCGTTCCAAATTCTTTCGCTTTTTTGTTACCGATGCGATGAAAGGATAAGGCGGATTATATCCGTTGTTGCCAAACACGAGCACAATATTACTATTGAGACAGGGCGGTACTCAAACTTCCAAAGGGCTATAACTTTGTTACTTTAATTTTACCAGAAAAATGGTAAAGGAAAAAAACATTTCTTTTGATCAGATCTACTCACTGTTAAAATAAATGACTCAACTTCGAAGTCACCCATAGATATAAGCACGTCTCCCAGATTTACAAGAATTTATATTGTTTAAGCTTCTTTGATCTTAAAATACATGGTGGCGCATCGAAAACGAAACAGACGCATTTACTGGCAGCTCAGTTTTTTTTTGGAAAAACGCTCAGACCCGTCGATTTTGTTTTCGAGGCGGACACAAGTTTGGCAAAAAATCACGTTAGCACGTGCAGCCAAAATCTTAAATAGAAAGGAGGGTCGAGTGATACCTTATTTTAAAGGTCTTTCAAATCCCTTTATAATGATATAAAATTAATGTACTTCAGTTCAGTAGTTTTGAAGATTTATTGATCAAAAGCTTAAATAAAACAAATACATCATCATTAGTGGGGATCAATACATTTGGCAGCAAAATAATTTAAAAATGAAGAATGAACTGACCCGTTAGGCAAGTAAATGTTGAAAATGGCCACCATGACTCTCCATGCAATAATAAAGATTTTGTTCAAAACGTTGCCGCACATTATGCAATATTTGAGGAGTAATTGGAAGGCACTCATTCACAATTCTTTGTCGCAGGTCTTCTAATGATAAATCTGGCCATCTTGCGGGCCATTCAATGGCACCTCTTCTACCAATCCATCGATCTGGCAACGTCTGATCTAAATATTATCGAACACGTTGATTCGAGAACATTGTAAATAAACACGACGACGTACGCGAACAATAACTGACCACTGTTACCGTTCGCGATCGATTGCCGGTTCGATAAGAGTGATGAATGACCGACGAGCTATTGTCATGTGTGTTTTGAATATTTAGTTTAATGAAATTTACTCACTTACTGACTACAAATTTTGGTCGAACTTGGAATAACTCGATGCCATTTATTTGTCAATTACCCAATTTAAAAACGTTTTAGATTAGATTATAAAAATTAGACAAAAATTTATTCACTTTTGAACCATGGGTCATATGAACTTTTTGACTTTCTTGTCACCTCTATGACTACCATGACGTTTACACCCTGTATATGGTTATTATTTTTGCTTACGTCAATAAAACAGTAACAAAGGCCTTAAATGAGTTATTCTCTTTTTTCACACATCCTTATTTATATTATCCGCTTAAATTTGGCATTAGGATATTCAGATTCTCAGAAAAACAACTCAACCTTTTTATGTATAAATTCACTATTCTATTTTTTCACTATTTTTTTTTTGTGCTTTGGGCACCCCTGCAAACGTTGCTCTTACGGTTTACGCTGAAAATGGATCTGACCAGCGACTTAAAAAATGTCATGTTTACAAAGTTTGATATGTACAAGTCCAAGATCAAAATGATACTATAATTGAAAATATTTTTTTTTTAATTCTAGGCGACAGTAAGAAGCATCGCAAACCTGTGGGAGGAGATCCGCGGCCTAGGCTTTGCCCGCATGTACATCCCGAGCATGCGCTGTTTTTCCGAATTTTCCCAACATCTGCCAGGCAAAGAAAAACAAGATTTCTACGATCTTCGCTTAACGCCGATTCAATTCACGCGCGCTTTCATAAACTGTTTCACAAAGGAGTTACTTAAAACGGAACGGACATGTTCAGATGAAAAAATGTCGGAAAACGATACGATATTTTATGCGAAACTGCTCGAAGCAGCGAACTTGCCGCAAACGAACAAAGATGATAATCTATTTACCGACGATATCGACTACCGTTCAGTCGAATTCCATTTTCCGAGCGATCTTTTGTGCGAATATTTGCTGAACAAATGTCTCCGCCAACATTCGTGTCCACTTTGCGTGAACTACATAGCGATTCATCGGACGTACATGCTACAAAATCCAGAACCTCGAGGCGATCGTTTCATCGAAACGCTGGAAATTTTGCATAAACCGCACAAAACCTTCTTCGGTTTCGTCGCGGGCATGGACAGTACGTTCAAGTTGAGTTTCAAAAGCGCCATCGTTCATAACTGTACGGTAAAATATCTGACGGGACTGTTGAGGAAGCTCAGTTTAGTGCATCCGTGTTTGAAATTCCCGTTCAAGTATGTTACCAAATTGTACGCCAGGTTGAGGTTGTATCACACGTTGAAATATGTTGACGATAAGATCAAACGTAGCGATGAATCTTTTCAAATCAACGATGGTTTGTTGATGGAAGCACGCGACACGTTTTAGTTTTCAAATACTGTATTTTCATTTTCAGGTTAATGATGGTTACCTTTGCTGTACCTTTGCAAAATATAGGTACAGAGATGTGTTTTACGTTTTAGTTTACGTATTTGAACATCGGTTGGGTTCAAGAGATTATACAGGGTTTGTCCGGAAAGTAATAGGACTCATTTTCTTCCGCCATGACTGGACTTCGGAGCGTGCACGCACCGACTGGATTCGGTAGAGGACGTTCCTACAGTATATTCAGATAAGAGATAGACCGGACATAAACAAGACCACGTGATCATCGAACGCTGTAACATTCGGCAGGGACGTATTAAGAGTCACGCAGTACATATTTTAGATAGTAGATGCTGCTTTGCGTAACTTTGTAGTAAATTAGCACAATTCGATGTGTATACGATTGGTGATGGATATAGGATCATGTGGGGGTGGGGTAAGAAATATATAATGATGTAAATATACATAAGGGTTTCAAAATTTTCGCTTCGATTTCCAGCTTCGGATGCCGCCTGATGTTTGGTGAAATACAGTCGAATATAATCTCAAAATGGCGTTTAAATTAGCCTAAATTAAAAATAATCGTATATCTCTTAAAATTGCTTTTAGAATATTGATTAGTATATTTTTTGATTTCTAGGTAAATATGTAACCAAATTAAAACGTTCAAAACGTAAAAAAATGTGCATGGTTGAACATTGTCAGAAAGTAGATTCTTGAATAGGTTTTGCCAAAATGGGTCCAAAAATGTCAATAATTAATTAAAAAATACAGTAGCTTTATAATTACTTATAACTTACCGAATTTGATGAACGACATCTTTTATTGGAAAGATGAGCTTGATGAGCTTTCATCATCGCTACTGCCTGAAGCACCAACGTCAATAATGAATGGCTCGACTTGTTCCTCTAAAATATTGTACAGTTCCCACATTCTTCTGTTTTCAACTTTGTCTTTCACGTGCTTAATACAGTTTTCCCATTTTTGCGCTGTTATTAATTATAAATATAAATATTGAAAGAAAGAATATTGAACGTCGTATGATTACTCAGCGCTTCACAATTTAATTTAAAGTTATAAACCTTTAAAAAATGAATGATCAGGAACCTGAAATACGCGCAAATATTAATATTAACAAATTATAACTTTATAAAGCTTAAAGTATGAATTAAAATGATTAGAAATATTAGGAACGGTACACAATATAAAACTTAGTAACTTTTTTTAAGTTTATAATATTCGACATATTTTAAGATTATATTAAAAAATTATTGAAATATCGAAAACACATAAAAACATGGCTTAAAAAAGTTCTAACAAATGAAAATGACAATAAAACATCCACGCATTTTATCGAAAGTTATAAAAGTTTTGTTACTTGTAATATGTTTTATCTGCCCCCTGGAATTAATGTTTAGAACCTTGTTCCCAAGGTTTGAAAAACATCCAATTGTTGTCTATTACTCGTATTTACCTGCTGGATTTTTTAATCCGGTGGACAGTCCATCTAGAAAGGCCCTCCTGGATGAAGTTACAGAATCATCAACCCATACTTTACTTGTAGTGTGTCCTGCGTTTACCCACGTTTCATCAAGGTAATAAATCTTCCTGTTTTGATTTCTATATTTCCCAATTTTTGTTAAATAATCCCTCCTCCATAGAACAATTTCTTCTCTATCCAGTAGTAAACTATTACGACCCCGTTTTTTCCATTTGAAATTTAAATGCTTCAGTAACGCATGGAAAGTTGATCGTTTGAAATTTGGCAACGTTGTATCTCCATTTACCTCATGCAGTACTTTATCTATAGTAGGTATTTCATTCCTAAAGAAGAATTCATGCACTTTCCTCCTAATTGCATCGTTATCAGCTTCATCCAATGATTTAACAATACTTTTGCGATGTTTACTGGTCATTGGCTCAGAAAAGGTGTGATTTCTTTTGTATTGTCTTAACACATTAAACACTGATGCGCGACACACCCCAACTTTGTGAGAAACCTTCACAACAATTTCTTTGATGGTTGATGGCTCGTTCTCCTCGCGCTCGATCATATATATATTCAAAATGACCTCTTTCATTTCTGCACTCAGGTGTCTTTTTTTAGAGCGTTTCCTAGGTGGACTACAGGAGTTTACAACTTCATCGGCAGTATCTGTACTACTGGGCATTTTGCGCAAGCAGTTGATAACAATAACAATCAATAACAAGGTATAACAATAACAACGACAAACTCAACAACTTAATAAGATAACAAACGAAAACGTCCAAAGAAATATCAAATTGCAATGATGCACACGACATACGTAACACGTCTGAACCTGAATGTGACTCTGCCTTGATACGACTGCTCTGCCGCTCGGCATAGGCATTTAATTGCGAATTGACCAATGAGGGCTCCTGTTTTACGTCGAGACGGCGGCGTTAGCGTGAAAATCACCCGAACCTTTTGTTTACATCCGGTCTATCTCTTATCTGAATATACTGTAGCTAACGAATGAGCGGCTGGTCAGTTGTCTCCGAGCATTTGGAGAGTCAGGACAGGCATTTTCGCGCGACGTGTTTCTGTGAGTGGTGCAAGCCGAAAATGCAGCGTTCGTTAGAGCAGAGGTACGCGATTAAATTCTGTGTGAAACTCGGTAAATCTGCGACAGAGACGTTTGATATGATCAAGCAGGCTTACCGAGGTGTTGCTTTAGCAGGAAGTGGTGTGTTTCGGTGGCACCAGGCGTTTTTGGAGCGCCGGGAAGAGGTCGCTGATGAAGACCGTGCTGGAAGGCCTTCGACTTCGACAAACACCGATAATGTGTGCGCAAAGTTTTGAACTCAGACCGTCGACTAAGTATTCGTTTAATTGCCCAGACGTTAAATTTACCAAAATCTGTGGTTCACGACATTGTGACACAGCATTTGAACATGCGCAAGGTGTGTGCGAAGATGGTCCCAAAAGTGCTCACTGACGACCAGAAATTGCGGCGAGTGGAAGTGTGCCAAGAAAATTTGAACATGTGTGAAAGTGACACCCAATTTTTGAATAACGTAATCACAGGTGACGAGTCGTGGATCCAAGCAGCATATTTTGAAAGTCTTTAAAGAATTGTAACGATTGGCTCAATAAGTTTTTTTAAATCGACTCAGTCCTATTACTTTCCGGACAAACCCTGTATGTTTATGTTATTGATGGGCTGTCAATGCATTGTGAACAGTGGCGGTGATAGTGTCAGCGACATCAGCTTTGCGGGCCCCTTTGTAACTAATTTATCGCTAGTCAAATGATGATAACAAAAATTTAAAAAAATACACAAATTAAAATATATCAACTTCTCAGCTGTTTAGCCTCACTGATTGTTAAGAATATATTTTTTGTGTAAATGACTGAATCGTATGATAAGTTATTTATAAGAGTTATATATTTACTTTATATACAGACTTAGAGAATTAGGTGAAACATAGTGCAAGGTTGCAGCATTTTTGCGAAAGTTATATAAAACGTGGCTGTGTTAAAAACATTAAAGTAATAAAATATTGAAAATCTACAACTCTACAATTATTTTGTTTCTTTAACTAAAAAGGTATCAGCTTTTTTCAACAGGTCATTGACTTTGACTGTATAGTTTATACAGGGCGAGTTTTATTGGAAGAATAGAGACCAATTAATTGGTTTTTCAATAACCTATAGTTGTTGGGTCTTTATCCTCTTATAACCGAGATACAAAGACATATCGATTTTGGTCATTTCTTTATGACCTCACGACTTTTAACCACACTGTACAATAAGGTAATTTGGGGCGCTGAATGTGAAGATCATAGTGAAGAGATTCGAAAGTGTCATCGGCACGGGTATCACGTATCTTGAAAAGTGACATTATGCCGATTTTTTTGACATTATGTAGGTTATTCTACAAGATGTTCTGGAAATTACATGTACAAATTTGCTAAATTTCAAAAATGAGAGAGATAAGAAATAATTATATTCACTGCACACTGTCGAATTACAAGCCATATACATGCTAACAGTAATTACACACAACGCGGGCGCGGTGATGGTTTCCCATAATCAGTTTTTCGTAATTTATAACTTTGAACATAACCTCTCTTCAAAAAGCACAACATATAAATAACCCGTCATATTCGGCATATTCAGTAATGATTTTCTCACACAGCAAATATCGCTGATTTTATACGCATTCAGACCAATACACATAATCATCCAGATGTGATCTTGCTATTCAACCAACTTTCTTCTCAGAGATAAAAACTACAGACCCGGATCACTTAGCCTCACAAAACTATGCAACCAATAATGCGTAGTTTAGTTTAGTGATTCCTCCATAGATGGACGTTCACAACGACCCAAGTGAGCAAACGTGGAATGACTGTTTGCACCCTAAAAACTACCTAGTATGCAAGTTGACATCTTATAGGTTTTTTTTGACGTTTTGTAGGTTTTTTACATGATACCCGTGCGGACCGGAATCTTGGCAAGAAACTATTTTTTCCATGGCTACCGTGAATCCTAGCCTACAAATGACCTTTATTCTAAGTATTCTGAGCCACTAAAACCGAATCCAAAATCGTTTCCCATGTATCTGATCTGATAACGTTTACCATGTAGATCTAACCATTTAGCGAAAAAATGCGAAACTATGCGTTTTTGCGACTTTAAGGTGCTAAAAAACAATTTTTACTATCGATGACTACATGCTCTGTACAATTATTTAATTTGGGACGCTAAATATGAATATTATAGTGAGTATATTCTAATCTAAAGTGTCATCGGACCAAATTTGGGGTGAAAAATTGACGTCCGTACATCATCTTGGTCATGACCTTGTTTTTATACTGGAAAAGGAGGAATATTTAAGTAGGTACGAATGTAGCATTGACCTCAAATAACACATTTAATCTCGACACGACCTTGACCTTGAGGTCATGATGATGGCCGTATCCGGACGTGAAATTACCTCCTCTTTTTAATTCCGAAGTAAGAACCACTATTTGAAAATGTCAACTTGAGCTTGAAAGGACCTTAAAGGCCGTTGTCATGATCACCAAACAGGTTTTGACTGATACTGATAGTTTTCGAAATATAATCAAATCCAAGCGAATAACCAAAATTTCTGTGTTATGTGCCGCGGTTATAATATGGTTCAAGATGACACACGGGTTGATGACGTCAGTTACACGAATCGCTTGAACGCGTTGGTTTAAACCGCGGTTTTGTTGCAAGTTGTTTATTTTAGATTATTTTTATTATCACTTAATAATCGGTGCTTTTTCGTCTACAACTGAATATGGAAAGTTTAAATAAGAAACCTTTCATAATATTCATGGGAGAAATGTTTTTTCAGATTTTTTTTTTAATGATGGAACCATGGCTTTGTAGCTATGATAACTTTCAATTCTCTAAATTTTTCCGCATGTCAAAGAAAACATTTATTGATTCAGCAGAAATGATGAAAAAAGAAATTAGCAAAACCGTATACAGGTGGATATCATCTAGTGAGTTTATATGGCCATATTTTAATATTCTTGTGGTATATGGCTACACAGGATACTTTGTTAAGCATAGGAACTACATTTAAAGTGTCCCCAACAACCGTAATGAGTATAACTAATAAGGTGCTCCACTTTATGGTAAAACTGAAGTCAGCCTGTATCATTTTTCTCAAAAATGAAGCTGAAGTACAATAACAATATCCAATACCCGGCAAAATTCTAACTTGTCACATTTCAAATAATAACCAGAAATATAAAGCTACGCTTGAGTTGGGTAAATACCACAATTTTGCGGTGATAACTATGACAGCTGATTCGTGACGTCACGGATCTTATAACCAAACTGATAACTACACTCGCTTGAACGGATTGGTACATACCAACCCAAAATGGTAAATACCATTTCCATTTGGTTATCCGCTTGAATTTGATTTATGTGTGGGGTGATTTAAATGGGACACTCTGTATATCAATCTGACGATCGACACGATGTGGTGAAAATGCCTATAATACGTATTCGAAGAGGTCCTCTATTAAAAGATTTGGTTTAGCTAGATTCGGTTTTATTTAGCTAGGATTGGTTACCATAAACCAATTAACTTTTGGTACGCCCATCACTAACTAAATGGAACAGTTGACAGTTGATTTTTTTAGGTTATTCAAAACAAAGATTATAACTCAAAACAAAAAAACGATGGAACTTGTACAATATTAGCAAAAGCACTACAAATACTACAATCTTCTCAAATATAATGGAATAAATGTTGAGTTGAGACTTTCTTATAGAATTGTACTTGCTTAACCATCTGCATTTTGGTGGAAGCATTAATTATGGATAAAATGTATGGTATTTCAGATATCTCAGAAAGCCAGAGTGTGTTTTGTTCAGATAACAGTGATTGCTCTGCCACTGAATCATGTTCCAGCACAGCACAAATATATGGTAAACAATTAGTTCTTTTTCATTTAAAAATTTAAGATCATAATCTTCATGTATCTGTTTCTATGAAATGCTGTAAATGTCTTTCGCAGATGATTCTACAGAATATTATAATCCTGAAAATTCTCTAATAGAGATTGATGATCATGATAACACAAGCAATGATCATTGTGTTGCGAAAGGTAAGAGATTTATCTAATGAGATACTTTATCGACTATAAATTTTTTTTAGTTCCAAATTATAATATCGAATGTTGTTTTAGGTCAAAGAGGCAATAAGAGCCATGCGAGCGTGCAAACTTCGCACCGCCTGGCAAATGCACCGACGCCTTCAATATTGGAACTGCAGAGACGAATAAAAGAAGCCCAAAGTGAAAAAAGGCATTTGCTCGGAGGCATCAACAGAACTGTATCCAGAAAGTCACACCTTATGGCGAAAAGGATACAGTTGCCGGAGTACAAAAAACTCACCGAAAAGTTCTTTCCTAACAGAGGTGTTTCCGATTTCATTATCACTCTGTTAGGTTAGTCTCTATATTTATTTCACAGAATGTTACTGGATAAAAAAGCTTTGTAGATTTTGAATATCTGTCTAGTGGCGTCGTAGTTGGGGCAAACAAATATAATTTATGTTTCGGAGGCTGCTGATCATTAAAAAAAATTGTACCGGTTGGGGGTACAAGCTTATGCTAACCTTCGCCCTTATGATTATTATTTTCAGACGTCTCTAACAAATCGCCTCGCGGTCGCAGATTCAGCCCCTCATTCAAACGCACCTGTCTCAACTTGTACCTGTCGTCTCCCACCTTCTACAACCGGAAGCTGTCCGAGGGTTTCCCGTTTCCCAGCTTGCGAAAGTTGCGTAAGCACGTTGCAGCAATGATGCGCACCGTTAGCGATGGTTGCGAGTTGCTCAGAATGAAGGCGTGCGCCATGACGGACGAGCAACGCGCGTGCGTGCTCAGGGTGTTCCAGGTAAAGCTGAAACCGAAGGTCTATTATGGACTCAGGTCGGATAGGATCACTGGACTGGTAGGTGCTAAAGAAATATTCTCAGTCATTTTCCTAAAATCGTCGTTTGAACGTCTCTATTCCAACGGTGGATCAAGGATTTGTGTCTGGGGAGGGGGGGTCGCACTGGTCAAAGAACTTCGTGTTCAGGAAGATGTTCTTCTCGTTCTTTTCACGTCTTCAATGCTTATAACCATAAACTTTCACAATACTGTGCATTTTTTATTTGATGACATATCTATTTTATTCGTGATAATATCGCGGAAAAAAGTTTTTGAATGTATCATCAATTGCAAAGAAGATGAAGAGTGGGAGCTTCTGGCGAATATACAGGGTGTTTCAGTTTATTGTTGCATAACTTTAAGATTCGATAGAACTTTTCAAATTAATGCACAAAGTCTATATAAACATGGGTCGAAAAATGCGTGGCTTCCGAAATACAGGGTGTTTAAATTTACTTTCTAAAATAGTCTTTTTTAAATATTTCAAACAATATTTGATGTATAATAGTGAAAATTGGTATACGTGGGTTTTTTGGTACGACAAAACGAACCATGGGCATAGTTTTACTGTAGCCACTAGAGGGCGCTCTCTACTGTACCTGTAGTGAATTAAAATGACCGAAATTGTTTTCTTAGTGCAATTTTTTGCTTTTTGAATACAAAAACTGATTCTTCGCACTTTTCAACATAAAAAAACTCTCCAGTGAGTTTTCCTTATAGTTAGCCGTTTTTGAGATATTTCGATTTTTAAGGTTCGATGCATTTTTAATTACTTATAGGAAAATAATCTTTTTTTTGAACATTTTCGATTTGGGCATTACAAGTAATTAAGATGATCGTTTAGATTGTGTTTTTAAACACAGCAATAATTCCTAACTCCAAATAAACAAAAAAAACAATATTAATTTGTTTAATTTTCCAATATTACTTTTAACAAATTTAATTAATTATTTACAACTAAAATGCTATTGGATAGTTAGGACAAACATACAAAATCTAAAGTAGTTGCTCGAAATGTAAACCCAATTGTTCAATACACAATTCACATCTACGAATGATCGAACGTGGTATAGCATTATTCAAATGAGGTCTTACTGCATCACATGCATTCCTGATTCTGTCTATTAGTCCATTATGTCCAGCCAGTTTCTAACTATTCTGGAATAAAGAGCTGGACAACCATCAAGCTGGAACCAGGCCAATCTTCTTAAATCTAACATAACATCATCCCACATATTTGCATGTTCAGCCTTTAAAAATTCCAAGAAGGTCGGAGCATTTAACCCTGCAGGCAAAAGGTAGGGTCCAAATAGTCGATTACGGTAGATACCAATCCACACGTTCACACTAAATTCATGCTGAAAATTTCTTTCCCGAACTGCGTGCGGATTTTCATGCGACCAAATATGTTAATTATGAAAATTTACCACTCCACGTCTAGTGAAGCATGACTCATCGGTCCATAAAACGTTACTTAAAAACTCCCTATTATTATCAGTTCTATCTAGAATCCACTGACAAAATTTGATTCTTCGTTCTCCGTCCCCTGGCTGTAGTCATTGCACAGGTTGCAAATGGTAAGGACGTCTATGGTCATTTCTAAAAACACGGTGAACATGGCTTGCTGAAATTCCCAAGGCACCAGAAACTCTCCTAACACTTGTGGTCGGATCTCTATCAAACTCACGAAGAATCATACGGGTAAATCTACGCTGACGAACATTTATGTTTTGATCCCTTTGGAGATTTCCAAAACCATTTTCAATTATTTGGCGATGCACTCTTACAAATACTGAGCCAGTTGGATGTCGTCTGTTTGGAAATCTTCGTGCGTAATCTCTGGCTGCTTCTGCTGCGTTTCCATTTACAAAGCCATACACAAAATGAGTATCCTCTAACTCTTGATTGGAGAATAATAATGGCATTTTTATAAATCTTACAAAAAAAACAGGTAAAAGAAACTAAATTTCGTGCATTCTCAATTGCAAAAACACGTTTCAGGTTTCAACAGACAACAAAACTAACTGTCAACTAATTGACGTTTCACCTTATTCTGCTTGCAATTTCAAAAATATTTGCAGGAACAGTCTACTTCTAAAAATTATCGAGATACTGACTTTTTAACGTTATTTTATCATAAATAATTAAAAATGCATCGAACCTTAAAAATCGAAATATCTCAAAAACGGCTAACTATAACGAAAATTCACAAGAGAGCTTTTTTATGTTGAAAAGTGCGAAGAATCAGTTTTTTCTATTCAATAAGCAAAAAATTGCACTAAGAAAAATTTTTCGGTCATTTTAATACACTACAGGTACAGTAGAGAGCGCCCTCTAGCGGCTACAGTAAAACTATGCCCATGGTTCGTTTTGTCGTACCAAAAAACCCTTGTATACCAATTTTCACTGTTATACATCAAATATTGTTCGAAATATTTAAAAGAAACTATTTTAGAAAATAAATTTAAACACCCTGTATTTCGGAAGCCACGCATTTTTCGACCTATGTTTATATAGACTTTATGCATTAATTTTAAAAGTTCTATCGAATGTTAAAGTGATGCAACAATAAACTGAAACACCCTGTATAATGAATGCAAGATCTCTCCTTTCCTCCATGAACTGGACCTTTTTCCTCAATTTATTATGGTGGCATTCAGTAATTAATACTGTGCAAGTTCAAATGCAAAAGAAAGAAATAGACTTGATGATGGCTCAAAGGTGCATTTCAGCAGCAATAAAAAAAATAAAAGATTTGAGTTGCAAAAGCACATACGATAATTTTGTTCTGAAGGCTAAAAATAACTGGGAAGAGATGGAATGGAAAAATTCTGGTTTTCCCATTGTCAGAAAGAGGGAAATAAAAAAAACTGTCGACGAAAAAGCTGCTGACTTGCCACTGGAAACACACAAAAAACATCGAATAAATTACTACGAAGTTTTGGATTCAATGAGTAACGAATTGCAAGAACGAGCTGAAGGATTTCGTGAAGTGAATGATGTGTTTGGTTTTTTGATGCCAAAGAAATTAGTCAATCTAAAAGAAAACAAATTAGAAACCAGCGTCACTAATTTGATGGAAAAATATTCGGAATTTTTCACTAACGATCTAAAATATGAATTAGTAAATTTTACGAGAAACCATATTTTACTAGTGACAGCCCGCTAGATTATTTAAAGTTCATGATTGCAAACAATTTTGTAGACAGTTTTTCAGAGAGCTGCAGTTTATTCAGATTGTTTTTGACTTTGCCTATCGGTTCAGCTAGTGCTGAACGTGTCATGAGCTTTTTGAAATTCATTAAAGAATACCGTCGAGCTTCTTTGGCTGACGACACACTCAACAACTTCTGTATCTTCTGTATCGAAAGATCAGTAGCTAATACACTCAATTTGGATTCTGCTTTGGAAGTTTTTGCTGAACGAAAAGCAAGACGCGGATTTAAATTAGAATAATTCTGTTATTTTGTAATGAATAAAAAATGTTTGATCTCACAGTCTCTACTTGATTCAGATTATATAGACATACAGTAAAAAAACAGAGGTAACAGTGCGCAGCAGCTACTATTGTGCATATAATTACAATTATATGCACAATAGTAGCTGCTGCGGGGCTTACAAGCCCATGTTAATTCGTGACATCCTTATTGCCAGCAAAATCTGTAGTTCGAACTTTATCTGAACGATTTAGATGGATTTTACGTTATCGAAAAATTTTAGATCCGCGTGAATATTGAAACAGCTGTTTTATTGCAGCATCAGATTAACTTTTTGCATCAAATTACTGTTAAAAAACCTTTAGCACTATCCATGCGCTTGTTACGGTTACATGTGCAGGTCTTTCTAATTTTTTTATTCTCAGTTGACGTCATTAATTTGCAAATAGCGATAAATGTGGAGAATATCATTTTCGCAAATATTGCCCAGTATATATCCCATAGTAATGCACATTATTTAACGTATTTTAGTGTTGTTCAACAAGTTTATACGTATATTCACTGAAATATTAATCACGGCAAACATAACAACAACTATCGATCATATTTGTTTTTTTTCTTATTTATAATTTTATGCGAATCCTATATATATATATAGCGTGCACTTCAAATTTGACTCGACGCCCTTTACTTATCGGTAGCATTTGTGATAACTTTTAAACTCTATTATGCACAAGAAGTTTGCTGGTGAATCATCAAGTTTAATTTACTTCAAAAAATTACGATGTGCATTAGAAGCTGTCCCGTGCGGTGTGCACTATTAAATGCAAAAACCGGACTGATGTACGATTGCACTAGCATGACATTACGCATTAAATTTTGTTATTAATTTCTGAGTTATCGTGCAACTTTCAAAGTTTACATTGTCGTATGTTATTTGTCAATAATTGCAATAATTTATGTTATTCGCAAAACAGTTATAGTGCGAACTATTTGCCGTCTGTCCCCGATCATACCACTGGGGCCCCCCAGCGCATATTACCGACCGGGCCCTTTTCCTGCCACTGGTCCATCAAAAAGTATTTTTTATCAAATTTGCTTACAGCTTAAGCGCGCGCGAAGAAGTTTTTCCTACATCAATCTGACCACATAGGCAACCAGTTTTGTCTGGGGGGGGTCATGACCCCCCATGACCCCTCCCCCCTGGATCCGCGCCTGCCCTATTCTCCCTCGAATTTTGTTGTGTATGTTTCAGATACGAGACGAAACAACTGGCGAATTGAAACACAGCCGACTAGCGACCGTGTTCATGATCAACGGCTTCACAAGCAACTGGCATCAGCTGGTCTCCTATCATTCCTCCGAATCGGCACTGCCGCCCGACAAACTGAACGATTTAATAGAATCGACCATCGCCCGACTGCATTCTATCAACCTGAAAGTGGTGGCGATTTGCATCGACGATTCGAACGCCGGCACAACTGAAATGGCGTCCGCGCTTCAAAATCGCTGGAAAGTACAATTTATGTTTGATATTCAACAGCTGGTCATCGAGTTGTGGAAGATCTTCGTGAAAACTGATCTCACGTTGGACGGGAAGGTTATTTCGTGGACAACTGCGAACGAGTTTGCTAGACAGTATAAGCACTTGCTGCCGAGACACCACTGCAGAGTATCCAGGATGCTAGGAAGGAAGTATTACAAACGGGTCGTGTCAGAGAAAATGGTTCGTAATGATACTTTTTGCAATTTTATGAGTCACCCCGGTTACAGTTCAGCACGGGTATTAAGTATCTGGAAAAGAGATATTTTGTCGTTTTTGGTTGTAGGTTGAATCTGAGACCAGATGTCCTTTAACCGTCCCCGTAAATAAAATAATAGTCAAGATTGCCTCTAATATTGTCTCTAAGATCGTCTTCCTGTTGAATTTTCTTCATCCACTCAACTAATGGCAGGTCATCGTCGGGTTCAAAATGATCCTCAACCTCCTAGAAACCCCCATGCGTAAAACAACTTAAAATTGTTTTTTTTGATGCCTTCTGCCATGCCATATGAATGATATTTATTGCATCCTAAAGATTAATTGTAAAATTTTCCCCGCCACTATCAATAAAACCTACCATTCTCGAAAGAAGAACTTGACGATAATGGCTTTTTAAACTGTGGATTATATAATAATAATAATAATAATAAATGGCCTTTATTCGTCACACGATTACAAAATAATTGGTTTAAAAGGAACAGTGACGAAAAGGTGGAGTGTCAGCTTATGCTGTTTTTCAACCCGACCTGGAAAACATTGACACAAACTATAGAGAGAGAGAAAAAAACTTAGAATATAACACTTATCAGAGAAAGGAAACAATCAATTACCTGTGGATATGCATAAAGTAAAATTTTAGCCATCCGACTGCTTTAAACTCATCTTTAACCTTTTTTTAAAATTGCTTAGGCTATATTCTTTATACTCACTTGATAAGCAGTTATACAGGGTGAATTTGAAGTTGAGTCATTAATTTTCAGATAATGATTGTAGAAGGAAGATAAACCAAAATATTTGTGTAAAAATATATATAAATTGTTTTATAAAGTATCCTCCCGACAAGTATTTCAGTGCGGACCTGTATTTGATCGTGAGGTCTTGGAGCACCGGCATGCAGTCCCCTGTGTGGTCTTAAGTCACCTGATTCACGAGCCCGTTGTACTACATTAACAAAAGCACGAGGGGTTGGTTGCACTCGATTGGGAAACCGATCCGCATAAACATGTGCCATTTTTTATTTCGTTTGAGCCACGCAACAGACACCACTATTCAAACGCGTTACCGACTGACACTGACTGTATACAACTGACTAAAATAATTGTAAAAACATCGTTCCAAATTCTTTCGCTTTTTTGTTTCCGATGCGATGAACCAAACACGAGCACATAATATTATTATTGAGACAGGGCGGTACTCAAACTTCCAAAGGGCTATAACTTTGTTACTTTAATTTTACCAGAAAAATGGTAAAGAAAAAAAACATTTCTTTTGATCAGATCTACTCACTGTTAAAATAAATGACTCAACTTCGAAGTCACCCTGTATAGTTTGGGTGCCCAGTACGAGAAACTGCGTGTGAACAATGCTGTCGAATGCCGCGGGATAAGTAAGATGAGTTTATTCCTAGAGGATCTTTGATCGTACTGGCAGAGGAGGCTTAGTTTTGTATAAAGATAATATGGCGCTTTGATAAGGGTCTTATGTACCAAAGATAGGCAATGCAGTTTCCTCAATTTGTTCATCTTAAACCATCCCGATTGGTCAAAAGCGCTACTAATATGATCAAATTTACGGATTCCATAAGAAAATCTGATGCATGAGTTTTGTATCATCTGAATCCGCTCGGCATCACGTTGTAAAAGAGCAGGTCCATAAACAGAGTGACCGTAAGATAATTTTGACAGGATAAGGGACTCGCAGAGTTTAAGCTTGAGCTGTGTCGACAGGACACTTCGACTCGGGTATAATTGACGAAGCACATTACACCCTGATCCATAGGCTGTAGTTTAGAACTCGTGGTTGGGGGTAAGAATACTAGGTTAATACAGTCCAAATTTTTAACATTGGATGAGCTGGACAATTGTCCACGAATAATACAATTTTTCGTTTTTCGCGGCGTAACTCAACATCCCAATGATGCAGTTCAGCATCAAAAATCCATGCTCTTTTATTGGATTTATAATTAACTGGCAACCGTGAAACATTTCCAAAACATCGAGGGTTTCTCGATCTTCCGATTACCAATAGCTTTCTGTTTTCTGTCCCTGTTAGATTTGCCACTACAAGCACAGTGATTCTTTCTTTAGATAGCTTCTCAGCCTCATGCTTCTCGCCTTTGAATCTTAAGGTCCTGTCAGGTGTAAGCTTATAGAATAACCCAGTTTCATCTGCATTGAATATGTCCTCGTCTTTGAAGTTCCTTCTAAAGATTGACAACTTGTTCCGCAACCAGTTATTCACACGGTCCATACCAACTGCAGCAGACTCTCCAACAATTTTTCCACTGGTAATGTTATGTCGTCTTTTGAATCTTTCGATCCAGCTTCTACTAAATTTAGGTTCTTCACTCAGTTCTTCATATTTCAATAACTCCTTCCCAAGGTCTTCAGCCTTCGATTGCAGTATAGCACCACTTATGGTTATTTTTTTATTTCTCTGTTGAGAAAACCGTTTCAGAAGTCCCTGATCAAGTTTATAATTCGTGGGCTTTTTAATTTTCTTCTCCCTATATCTCGGTAAGGGACATTTTACGACCCATATTTATCCTTGTTATTTTCTTTGTTACAGGTTCAAGCTTTCGAAAAATATTCAAAGGATACAGAAGCAGGCGGACAAGAATTGCTGATTTTCCTGGAGATTCTCAACGGTTTCGAAAATATCGTAGACGGATCGGCACGTTGCACTTTAGAGAACATCAAAGGATGTCACGATCGCTTGGCCGGACTCGAGACGGTTGGCGACGCGAAAAATGTCGCTTTTGAGGCGTGTCAAAGTAAAATCCTGTTGACACTAAAAAGCGTCATGGCCCTTTGGAAGGATGAGACGTCGTACAAAGGATTCCTTCTCTCTGTCGAAAGTGTCGCAAATTTTCTCTATCACTATCGTTACACGTTAAAAACGAAACTTCCGCCGTCGCTGATGAACCCGGTGCAGTTTAATAGAGTCTCGAAAAAGTTTTTCGTCGCCGAATTGATGAACGTCTCTTTCATACGGCACGATCCCGGTTTGCGGGAGGTGAACGATATTTTGTGCGAGTCGCGCGACGCGTTCCCAAGTAAGAATGCACGAGTTACGACGTTCAAAGAAGCGAGGTTCGTAGGTACGAGCTACCGTACCGACGAAGGTTTGAAAGAGAATTTCCAGAAGAATATCTGCAAGTATTTGTTGAAAAAGTGTCTTTCCGTTCACGAATGTTCGCACTGTGAAAATTACGCCGTGTCTCAATCTACAGATACAGAAAACGAATTTTCAGAGTCGGGCAAGGAGGGGATCCAACAACTCCTCGATTTAAAAACAGTCCATTCGCATTTCTCGAGTTTTGTCGAAAGCATGGAGCTGATTTTCCAACAGAAACTGGAAAACTTTTCGGATTTGCAGGACGCTGCTGTATTACAGTTGACAAAATCTTTCAGGCTGCTAAAATTGAAACATCCGTGCAAAGATTTTCCATTTTCATATGTTACTTTGTTGTTTGCTAGGGTTAGATTGTATTATGAGTTGATGAAAATAAATAGCGCAAAATGTGTTTTATAAAATGTTGTTTTATTATACAGGATATTGCTTTTCCTCGACGTCATCCAATGTCGTATTTATAAAGACATCAAGGCGTTACCCGAGATGGTATACGGGAGATATCAAAATATTCAACTGACCAGTACCTGAAATGACCAGTAGTTCAAATTACCAGTCGTGTGCCAGTAGTTCAAATGTTCCAGTAGTTCAAATGTATCAGTACTTCAAATGAGCGGTAGTTCAAATGTACCAATAATGTTCTGTACGTCGAATGTACCAGTAATTAATCAAATTCAAGCGGATAACCAAATGGTAGGTGCATAAATCGCGAGCTTCTGGACTACCTCGAACGTCACGGCTTGATTAGCGACAGGCAGTATGGTTTCCGGCATCAACGATCCACAGGGGACCTCCTAGTTTACGTCACGCAACTGTAGAGTAAACTCATCCGGTCTTATGGTGAGACCCATGTCGTTGCTCTTGACATCACGAAAGCGTTCGGTCAGCTGTGGCACGCTGCCCTCTTAAGCAAACTTCCATCCTATGGCCTCCCAGAAAAGCTGACTTTATCTCTGGCCGCACGATATCCGTCGTAATTGACAGATTCTCCTCTTCATCCCACAACGTCAACGCGGGTGTTCCCCAGGGATCGGTCTTGGCTACGATACCGTTTCTCTTACATATCAACGACCTCCTTTCCTGCACGATCAACCCAATTCACAGCTTCGCTGATGACAGCACTCTACATGCAGGAATTAAGAGGGACAAGCCGATCTCTGCCGCTGAGCTGGAAAAAAGAAGGCTAGCGACGACATCCTCTCTGACAAGAGACCTGGAGGCTATCACTGCTTGGGGACGCAACAATCTTGTACAGTTCAATGCTTTCCAAAACACAGTACAGTACAGTTCAGACGGGCTTTGCTCGTCGGAGCTCTCTTCCATGATGTCGTCGCGCGATGTCCCTGCCCGACAGACCCGCCTGACTTTGGCCTCCCATTCTAACCGTGTCGAGCTTCGTACATCTAGAACTGGGCGATACGACAGCTCCTTTATCCCGAGGGTGTCGAGACTGTGGAACAATCTACAAGAGGAAGCTTTTCCCAGTTCTACTAACCTTCAAAAATCGTATTAACAAACTTTCTTTGGTATCATCATAGCAGCCGCGGTGTTCCGGCATTTAGGCTTCTGCCCTGCGCGGCTGCTTCGATATAAAAAAAGAGTAAACTTCTTATTTCGCTGCTCCCCAGTTAAAAAATCGAGTGAATTTAAATCAGGTGAATCAATAACATCTCATTTTCGTAATTACGATAGTTCCTCGCTAATTGGGACATGAAGTAATTACGACCAACTCAACAAATATATTACATAGTCATGCCATAAGTTCTGTCCCTCGTTTTCAAACAAGTGTAGACCTGTTAATACTTGTCCGATTGTTTACATTGTGGTGTCAGTTGATTAAGCGCTTTTCGGGTAATTACATATACCTCAGTTTGTATTGATCTCTCGAAGCATAACGATGGAGTGGGGCAAGGCAGAGAACCGTATTGCAGTGATAGCTTTACATAAGTGTAATCACAGTGCTAGTCAGATTTTTGAACTCTTACGCGGCCTTCAAATATCGCGTAAATTTGTGTCTAGGACCATTCAGCGGTACAATGAGACGTCCTCTGTTGATGACAGGCCAAGAAGCGGAAGACCTCGTCAAGTAAGGACTCCAGCAGCCATCAAAGCCGTAAAAGCCAGGATTCAAAGGAATCCACTCCGGAAGCAGAAGATCCTATCCAGGGAAATGAAGATTCCTGTCCGGACGATGTCGCGCATCATTAAACAAGACCTAGGGCTAGGGGCTTACCGGAGACGTACGGGCCAGCGACTTACGGCCACCTTGCGACACATCAGGGCGACAAGATCCAAGAAGCTCTTGGAGAGGTACGCAGCTGGGGGATTCCGAAAGATTTTGTTCACGGATGAGAAAATCTTCACCATAGAAGAAAAATTCAACCGACAAAATCACAAAGTGTATGCAAGGAGTTCACAGGAAGCTTCGGAGATCATTCCGAGAGTTGAGAGAGGCCACCACCCTGCGTCAGTCATGGTTTGGTGGGGGGTGTCCTACGAAGGGGTCACTCAGCTCCATTTCTGTAAACAGGGCGTGAAAACAAAAGCGGCAAACTATCAGAGCGACATACTGGATCCTATCGTCAAGCCTTTAAGTGGTACATTGTTTGCCAACCAACACTGGGTCTACCAGCAGGATTCCGCCCCCGCTCACAAGGCTAAGAGTACGCAGCGCTGGCTGGAAAGCAATGTGCCAGAGTTCATTGCTGCGGAAGATTGGCCCTCAGGGAGTCCGGACCTCAATCCTTTAGACTACAAGTTGTGGGACCTGCTAGAGCAGTTGGCCTGCTCCAAAGCCCACCGTAATATCGAGTCCCTGAAAGCGGATTTGATCCGATCAGCGGCAGCTATTTCTTTGGAAGCTGTGCGTGCAGTGATAGATGAGTGGCCCGCGAGATTGAAGCAGTGTGTGAAGGCCAAGGGGGGACATTTTGAATAAAACTGTTTGATTATGAATTCTAAAAATGTTGTCGAATAAATAATATCTTTCATATAAATATATCTTATCTTGTTTCATTTTTATCATGAGATTATCATGGGACAGAACTTATGGCACGACTACGTATATGGTAAACAATAATAAGTAGTCAACGTCACGGCTATAAAAAAATATACGATACCTCCGTCTATAAATAAGTTTTCATAGTGCAAACGAAGCACTCTCTGGTGAGAAAGCTAAAGATTGCGTATCTAACAAAAAACATGGAAATCAATCCCACGGCTTGCATTTATCTTGACCTTCTGGTGATTCCCCGAAATGAATTATAGACCAGGCGTACGCATCGGGACGAGTTGACAAAGTATTACGGATATGATGAAATACCGCAGAAAGATCAACTGCTACAAATTTAATCATTAATCAAATTCAAGCGGATAACCAAATGGAAATGGTATTTACCATTTTGGGTTGGTATTTACCAATCCGTTCAAGCGAGTGTAGTTATCAGTTTGGTTATAAGATCCGTGACGTCACGAATCAGCTGTTATATGTCATAGTTATCACCGCAAAATTGTGGTATTTACCCAACTCAAGAGTAGTTTTATATTTCTGGTTATTATTTGAAATGTGACAAGTTAGAATTTTGCCGGGTATTGGATATTGTTATTGTACTTCAGCTTCATTTTTGAGAAAAATAATACATGCTGACTTCAGTTTTACCATGAAGTGGAGCACCTTATTAGTGATACTCATTACGGTTGTTACTTTAAATGTTGTTCCTATGCTTAACAAAGTATCCTGTGTAGCCATATACCACAAGAATATTAAAATATGGCCATATAAACTCACTAGATGATATCCACCTGTATACGGTTTTGCTAATTTCTTTTTTCATCATTTCTGCTGAATCAATAAATGTTTTCTTTGACATGCGGAAAAATTTAGAGAATTGAAAATTATCAGAGCTAGAAAGCCATGGTTCCATCGTTAAAAAAAAAAATCTGAAAAAACATTTCTCCCATGAATATCATGAAAGGTTTCTTATTTAAACTTTCCATATACAGTTGTAGACGAAAAGGCACCGATTATTAAGTGATAATAAAAATAATCAGAGATTATATACGCGCTTTTCTAAAATAAACAACTTGCAACAAAACCGCGGTTAAAACCAACGCGTTCAAGCGATTCGTGTAACTGACGTCATTAACCCGTGTGTCATCTTGAACCATATCATAACCGCGGCACATAACACAAAAATTTTGGTTATTCGCTTGGATTTGATTATTGATAAGGACTTGATAATAACTGCAGCTTCAAGTATTAGAATCCATCTACGCGGATTATACGAAAGCTTTCCACAGAGTAAGTTGTCCGAGTTAGAAAGTTTGGAGTAAAAACTCTCCAGATTTAGAAACTGTCAGGACTGGCCTTCGGTGACTTCATTGTGCATCAACGAGAGTATAGTGCGCAGGATGTGAGGTTAAGTTTGCTGAATGTCACCATGCCAGAAAAGTATTCGAAACCAAAGATTTATTTTCAGTTGTGGCGGGTAGACTAAAATTTCAGTGATCGGTAATAGAATATTTGGCAAGAGCAACTGTTATCTAAGACAAGGCTTCTGCGGAGTAACGAATATTTTCATGAGCATCCAGCAATTAGTTTTGACTCCGACTGTTACACCCGTTTTACATTGACAATAGCTTGTGTCATACAGGTTGTAGAGAAAATCTTCAATATTTTTTCCATGCAAATTTTCAGCATAATTATGACCATAATTTTCGGAGTACTTCTCTTGTATGTGAAACGGCTCTAAAACAGGGGTTTGGCGTCAAATAAAGTCATAAAATAATGTATGCAGCGCGACTGCGTTGACACGAATTTTCAACTTTACAATTCCGTAATCACCAATGTGTCGAAAAAACGTAAAATACTTTTATTCTTTACAAGAAAGATATTGTTTTATATTCTTAGATTCATAGTGTAGCCATTACAAGTGGAAATATCGTAACATGTACATTTACCGTTAAATTTCTAGTAAGCTGTTGACTATACGACAACTTTTTATAAAAGTAAAATGATGAATAATTCAATTCCCTACAAAATTGTTTCTATTAGTTTTTTACTTAGGAAGGATGGTTTTCGAGATTTTCGACCAAACGCGTTTATCAAAATTGCGGCAAATGATCCAGCCCTATCATGACACCAATTTTAACTCTTCATTAAAAAGCAATAATCTAATGTTAACATGCAAAAAAATAGCAAAAATTGTGGAACTTTCTTATACAAAATTTCCATATTTCTTGGTCTGAGACACCACGAACTCTGTCTCCCAAAGTCTACTTGTACTAGGAATAGATAGATCTATTTCAGTTTTCTTATCCACGATACTGAAACCCTCTTCGGCTCCATTTTGTTTTAAACATTTAACTGGCGCACTCTGTTGTGATTTTAAAAACTGTTCTCGTTTGTCCTTTTTTTCTGTTTTTCATAACCACTTTCAAATTTCCTAAACTGATATTTTTCTCGGATCGTGTAAGTTTTTGGCTTGTGGCTATTGTGGCGAATTTAGTGATTTTTCACTCTAATCCAACGTAATCACAATTTTGCTCAACAGTTCTTTTGATTCCTGTCGATTTTTAATGCATATACTTTTCTAAATTTAAAATCCCTACTAATATTTTAAATGTCTGAATAACCTCTTCTATATTGCCTGCAATGCCTGCACTATATCCTATTTGCTGTGCTCTGTACTTCTCCACTATAAAATCAGAAATTCTGCGTAGCGTCTCATTATTCATTATTCGCCACGCGACATTCGCACATCTTTATTTGTGGGAGTAACTCGCTACAGTTGAGTCTTCGATTTCGAGAATTTTTCAAGTGATCAGTGATATTCTTCGTGTCAAGATGGCTGACCAAAACAGAGGCAATCAATTGAACTCCGATCATTCAGCATATTGGAAAGGCAGAGGTGAATCTGACCTGCCATCTCAAGCTGACAGGTAATTAAAAAAAAAGATAACGGTTCATAGCATTTGTTTAATGAACTCACTCGGTTTTCATTTTTTTCTCGCGTCGTTTGTAATTTGATGTGACGCAGAAATGATTAACAACAAATTTGAATTTCAAAAGTTCCCAATCTGTGTTTCTAAATAATCCACAACGTTGCGAGACCTCGTTTTTCGGATTTTAAAAGTTCTCATAGGTGGTGGGCGTCGTCAGAAATTTTTTTTAGTTCATGCGTGCATATCGGGTGCTACAAATTCGATGCATAACCACTGCCATCTTATAAACCGCTCTCAAGGTACGTAAATTTCGGCAAAAATGTGGATTTCAATGCTTGTCGCCAACTAGCAAAGATATTTTGGTACTGTTGCGTCTGGTAGAATTTCGCTGTTTTTTCACTTGAAACTTAAAGAGGGTAGTCCGATTGATTATTTTAAATAAAAAAAAGTGTGGATAAAGCACGCTTTACGAGAACATTTTTTTCCCGAAACACTATTTTTAGCAGTTATTTCCACCATTATTTCCACCGCCATCAGCCATATGTCATATGTCATATATGAGAGGCGCTTGCATGCGGTGTTGCCGGATTGGCTCCGCATTTAAGGAAGAATATGAAAACAAGAGTAGCAAAATAAATAGCGATTCTTAATAAGTATAAAACAAAAAATAGCGATAGTAAGCTAAAAAACAATAAATTGTCAATACTTATAAGACACAAAAAATAAAAACAGTAGTAGAACAAAGAAAAAAACAATTCCATGTTATTATAAAAAACAACAAATAAGAAACATTAAAATAAAAAGCAATTTTTCATAATTACATGGAATTGTTTTTTTGCTTTACTACTGTTTTTATTTTTTTCATAATTATTTACAGTTTATTGTGTTTTAGCGTGCTACTGTTATTTTTTGTTTCATACTTGTTAAGAATCGCTTTTTATTTTGCTATTGTTGTTCGTTTCAGTTTCTCCTTTTCGTGTTTCATTGATTAACATAAATGTATATAGATTTTCCACTTTTCATATTTTTGCCTAAATGCGGAGCCTAATCCGGCAACACCGCAGGCAAGCGCCTCTCATATATGACATATGAACAGACGTCAAAGTCGTCATAATTAGAGATGATCTTAGCAGCGACTTGCAAGTCGCCGGGATAACGGTGACAGCGACCTTAAAGTCGCCGGTAGATTTAGCAGCGCTTTAGGTCACTGCTTATCTATGGTCGCTGCCAGCAGCCAGCGACTCCCTGGCGCTGATTAAATTACTCGATATGGCGGCGGTTATCCATTGATATTAAGGAGGTGTAGATGTACAGGTTCCTGAAGATTTGAATTAAACTATATTTAAGGTTTTTGTTTTTAACAATATTGAGCACAAAACACATAAAATCATAAAAATACATAAAATATATTTCTATGAATCTTAAAAAGTAAAACAAAATACTATTTTACCAGTCAAAATAAAACTTTTAAAACATAACAAATGTAGTATAAAAATGCTTCTTTTATATGTTAAACATTGCTTAATAAACGAAACATTTTTCTATGAAACAAGAACTCACAACAATAAAAATAAAAACTAACAAAATAGGTTAGGCTACGCTGTAGCGACCTTGTACTTCCCGCGCGATGATCGCGAACATGATGTGTATATGCTTCCTGGCAGCGACCGCGACCGAAACAGCGTTACAGCTACCGATCAGTGGTTACCGATACCGATACTTCCAAACAGCGATCTGGGTCGCTGCTTCATGGAGAATCAGGTCGCCGGGACTAACGGCGACCATTCAAGTCACCGGGAAAGGTCGCCGGTACCGATATATCGATCATCTCTAGTCATAATAGATGGCGGTGTAAATAATGGTAGAAATAACTGCTAAAAATACAGTGTTTTGGGAAAAAAATCATGGAAAGCGAGCTTCATCTACACTTTTTTTATTCAAAATAATCTGTCAGACTACCCTCTAGAAGTTTCAAATGAAAAAGCAGTGCAATCCGAAGTTTTGCAAGACGCAACAGTACCGATATTTTATAATTTTCAACTGTCCGTGCTATTTTATTGTACATGTAATTGCTTTATTACTGATCACAGAACGCGATACTGTTTTAATAAGTAAGACAATTGAGCTTTTAAAAAGTGTTCTGCATTACAAGGTAGTCGTAAGAACGTACTTAGAGGTAAAAATACAAGACAGTTTTACGACAAATTTTAATATTGTTTTATGAATGTTTACAACATAACAATTTTATCCGACATTCCAGCTTACTGAACAAATTTGTTTCATAATAGACTTATACCGGTATTATTTGATACTAGTTTATTCGTTTGCGAACATCACTGAAATTGTTTTATTAGCGCTATGCTAATCATTTATAAAATTTATTCATTATAATTTTCTGATATTATCGCTCACTAAAGCATTTGGCACTCAGATGTAACCTCAAAGAATTACTATATGTATAATTATCATGAAACAAAAAAGTGTTTGTGATGATACAAAAACAAGGCATTCATTTCGCGTATAATTCTGACACGTCTTCATAGTCTTAGACCTAGAACATACGAAAATTATAAAATGTATTTCCTTGTTGGGAAGTCGGTAGTGCAATATGCTTTAGCGAGCGACAGTATCAGAAAGAAAAATGGATAAATTAATTGTAAGATTGTTCCACAGAGCGCTAATAAAACAATTTTAGTGATGTTCGCAAACGAATAAACTCGTATCAGATAATACCAGTATAAATTTATTATAAAACAATTTTTTTCCGGCTGTTTTCATACCACTTTCACATTTATAATATTAGATAGGGTTTTCTTGTACCTAATATAAAAATATATCATTCCTCGAAAAGTACTGATGGAACTACTCAGTTGCACCTGAGACCTGAGACCGATTTTTTTTTCTTCGGTGATTGAGTTATGATTCGCAATTGCTATTTTTGTTGCAGGAGCAGCTACGCGGCCAGTCATCCGTCTCCTACATATGGAAAGGCAGATGTTGACAACAGGGCGAATCAGCTCAACCCCAACAATTCGGCTTACAACAGCTCGAGAGCCGGAAACAAGAAATAAACAACGAACATTTTATCTTATATATCACAAAATGTAATCGTTAATTTTCTATTATATATCACAAAATGTAATCGTTAATTTTCTATTATATATCACAAAATGTAATCGTTAATTTTTTATTATATCAATAAACTTAATATTCGGTAATCTCCGTTTTATTCAAAACAATCGGCCATTCAAAAAATTCAAAATTTTTTCAAATAAAGTTATCAACCGTGAAAAAAGAGGCATGATAAAAATGACAGGTACTTATGCGATATTTGTATTTTCTTAAGTTTTTGACTGAAACAGAGTGTTGGAAAGAAAGGTCTCTTTTTTTATTTATTTTCACTTTTCAGTATAAGTGATGTCTCAAAAATTGTGCTATGAAACATTGATAGATAGACTTACACAGATTAACATGACCGAAGAAGTATAAGCCTCTATGAAATCCAACATCGTCAAATCATTCTTCATGTAAACCAGCACGAGCACTAAATACATTTTCAAAATGATTGCGGCCACAATAGCAAACGGCAGCAATTTTTGCTTCCAGGTTTTGTGTTTGCTGGGACGCAGACCCAGAACTTCGAACACTTTCAGGCATTGCCTTATGTTGTACAGATGCACATCCGATCTGATAAACAAGGTGTTTCAAAATATTTGCAAGAAAGCTTGAAAATTGAAAACATCTCAGTTTGGTTGAACACGTCTATAAGTTCCAGATATTTGTTCTTTTATAGTATTGGTGAACGTATTCCCTGCTAAACACTTTCTTGAGGTTAAGGAATCATTTTTATCAAACTTTTGATTTTTTCAAGGTTCTTAAAAAAGCGTAGGAAAAAAGTGAGCAGATAAAAAATTCTAAAGTGTGTCGAAAGATGTGAATATTACAAAACGTTGTCCTTTATTTTTTCTGTGTGTTCAGACGATTTTTGCGTCTATCCTGAAACACCCTGTATGTTATACAAAGAAGTATTTCTGAGGCGACACCCCACGTAAATCACAAAATTTTCTGTTTAGGGAAAAAATGTAAATTTTTAGTAATTTATCTTCGGCAACATGTTTACCTTGCCATCTCATATACACAATGCTTGTTCACTAGCAATTATTTCACATTATATAAAGCTCATACCGCCACTGAGCTTTTCATGAATCTTTCATTTCGTGGATAATTTTGTGTAAATTTTTAATGATCTTCTTTTGAAGTAGTTCGTTCCGCAATCACTGAGGCTCAATTTATCTGATTGAGAGCAATTACTTGGCAATTTCTGATAGAAATTTGCCCTTTGTCTTTCGGTACGGAAGGTAATATGATATAAATGTCAAGGTTTCGTAAGAAACAGTTAAAGAATAAAAATGCTCGGCTAATAAATTAATCGTTATTAGTAATAGACTGCTGACGACGTGATTGCTTACAATGCCAAACGGCTCAAAACCAGCAGACGTGAGATTCTACCAGATCACATTACAAGAACCTGTTCTCACAATATTGAAAAACTTTAAAATTTTTTCTGTCCAAGTCTTGTATAATTTTTAGATTCTTCAATCTTTATCTTTAGATATCCCATTTTATGCCCATTTTATTTGTATGATTATTTTATTGACATACTAATTGCGTTCCGGAAATCTACTGTGACTAATAAGTGACTCCCTCATTCAAAGGTTGGATTCGTCATTCGGTTCTGCTTTATAAAAGTTATAAAAGTCTTCAAAGTTGAGTCTCCATTTGTTCGATTAACGCAAAATCTTGGTGTCCACAAATTAAATGAAAAGCATTTTCAGTAAGCTGTTGAAGTTGTTCCAGAGTATTTTCTGCTCCATCATGATGCACCAACTCTTCCAAATAGTCAAATCGCAAGGCCTTAAGTCCGGGGAGTGAGCAGGCCAAGAACTGGGCCCATTGCGCTCTATTCATCTATTCGGAAACTGATTATTTAGAGGGACATCTTCTCAGTGGTCGAGAATATCAAAGAACCTCTGTAAGAACTTTCTTATTTTTTTTTAAATTTTTATCCATTTTTTTCTTTTATTACGCACTTTTATCAACTCCTTTTGACGAATCCTACAAGCAATTGAAATAAATGACTCAACTTTGAAAACACCCTGTTTTTCGCTATTAAAGAAGATTATGTTCGGCTTTGGAAGTCAAACGTTCGGCCAAATGCAGGTGAGAAGTCTCGTGCTGGAGACTATAATAATATTTTCCTGGAAGGTAAAAATAAGCATGTGCAGACAAGCTGCGCCCCCTACCGTGTCGGACAGAATAACATAAAGCATATCCAAGGCTAAGTGGTTAATAGTGTTCATTGAAATCGAACGAATTAATAATGAAAGACGGTCACGCGACATATGTGAATGTGACACCCCTTCACCTCTTCCAGTTCACCTGACGTTAGCCACTGTGTCCAGTATTCCACCCTTCCATAATTCAGGAAAAGTCGACTTATTATAAGTATGTTGCTATGATTATCATTTTGATTTTTTTTTACATAATTAACAAAAATTCTGCTGGGAGCGATGATATCCCTCCTTTTATTTTAAAACATGTAATCGTCATAGTGATTCAGCCATTGACATTCTTCATCAGTCTTTTATGTAGGGTGCGTTTCCGGAAATGTTCAGGATTGGCAAAGTAACTCTCCAAAAAAAAGGATAACAGAAAATGCTTGGAAAACTATAGGCTTATCGCTTGAGCACAAAGTCTTCCCAAGTTTATAGAATTTGCAATTTTTCTCTTTTTCGTATATGCCGATACTGAATAAGCATTTAATCAAAACATATGCCTTTTGTTATTAGCATTACTTACTTACCTTTTAGCTATATTTTGTAATATTTTCATTCTGACGAATAAAAAAGAATTCCAGGCAAGTGATTTTAAAAAATAAAAATGTCCGTATAAAATTTTCTTTGGCTCAAATTTTAGGTTAGGAGCAAGATATCGAAATGCGGTTTTCGCGAGCTTGTTTAGACATCATTTAGCGGCCATTTCAGAAACCTGAACATATTTTCCAGATTTTTCTCTTGGCCGTTTTTGCTGCAAGTCTCTACGACGGATAGGTTTCCAGTTACAGTACCTCGCATTGTTAGTTGGCCACCCTGTACATCTTCGAAATTGTGTTTTTATCGTATCGGTTGGTTGGGGAAGAAGGTAGACGGTCCAGTAACAACTGATATATTCAACACACTAAATACAAATTGAATTAACGATGTTACGCGCGTGGGGATCAACACGGAACCGACGTAGGTGTCGTTGATCAAGAGGGTTGTTACACCTCAACGTTACCCAACATTCAATATGATAATTTTGACCGGACTATCAATCACCCTGCAACTCCCGACTGCCCCTTTGCCCGCCCACCGCGAATGGTCAGAACATGCCGTGGGATCCGAACCGGACTCCGGGACACCGGAGTTGGTCAGTCGGTTGCCGCCTCAAACGTCGCTGGTCATTGCAATCGCTCAGTACGGCTTGCGTCGTATCCTTGGATTAAACGGTTATATTATGTATTCGCTTTATATTTACTTTCGCATATGGTAAGTTGACTTTCCTGATTTCTATTCTCGCTGAAACTGTACCCGCACGGGTATCACGTATCTTGAAAAGTGACATTATGCCGATTTTTTGACATTATGCTGGTTTTTTTTGACATTATGTAGGTTTTTCTACACGATATTAACTTAGCACTTAGTTGTACGTGTTGCCTAAACGACATGAGGCTTGTTATCAATCTTTGGCTCTGATGTGATGTAAAATCTGCTTCTGAGATGGCATTACTGGAGGTCTAAGCTGTAAGTTGTATGTGTTGATGATAATTACACTGGGTTTTTGTCTCAAATACACTTAATTGAGACTCGAAGCTATAAATTAGTTGCGCATCCACTTTTTCTTATCCATTGTGGAAATTACATATACAAATTTGCTGAATTTCAAAAATGAGAGAGATAAGAAATAATTATATTCACCGTTCACTGTCGAATTACAAGCCATATACATGCTAACAGTAATTACTCCCCAGATTTTCGTAATTTACAACTTTGAACATAACCTCTCTTCAGAAAGCACAGCATAAAAATAACCCGTCGGGCACCGCCAATAGATATACCTCATTATTCAGTAATGATTTTCTCACACAGCAAATATCACTGATTTTATACACATCCAGGCCAATACATATAATCATCCAGATGCTCTTGCTATTCAACCAACTTCCTTCTCAGAAATAAAAACTACAGACAAGGACCACTCGGTGCATATGCAACCAATAATGCGTGCAGTTTAGTTGTGTGATTTCTCCACAGATCGACGTTCACAGCGATCCTAGTGAGCAAAAAGTACCTAGTTTGCTAGATGACATCTTATAGGTTGTTTTTTTGACGTTTTATAGGTTCTTTTGCATGATACCCGTGCCGGTGGGCCAATAATAAAGGTCGCAACCAAATAAAAATTGTTTCTGTTAATCATCAGGAGTGAATAAGCCATAGCGCTCTTGCATTAACTTGATTGCTCTTTCTGCCGTACCGTTAACTGCTCTCTGTGTTTGCACCTTACTCTTAGCGTGTTCAAAAGATTTCAGAAAGTTCTAGTTTTGTCAATTTTTTCGTAAGCGTTTGTTGCCTTTAAAAAGCATAAATCGTGAACCCTACTGTCAAGTATGGACGCATATGAAATGATATGCAGGGATATTATGTAATAAAAACCTAAAAAACGTCAAACGGAAATGCCGAAATGTCATCTTGCAGACTAGGTAGTTTTCAGTGTCCAAATAGTTCATTCCACGTTCGTTCGCTGTTATTGCTGTTCGCTGACGTTTAAGCAACATATATATGACATTACTAAACTGCATGCTTATTTATACAAATTAATGTATTCTACACCTCGATTCCTCATCGGAATGAGGTCGAACAGGACACCTGCATATGCATTAACCCAGTGGAAATGACCCAAAATGGAGTAAATGTGGACGTCCTTTCCGAAAAGCCGTTTGCAGGGCAGCCAATTGCTGATATGCTGATGGTGATAACATCGTATGCCGACACCCCTGCACCTACCTACTTTCGAGAAACGTTTCCTTTGCGTGCTGATATCACAATCTTTATATGGCTCTATGATGTTCCGGGTGAGCCAATAATAAAGACGCCGACAACCGGTCTGAGCGTTTTTCCAAAAAAAAAACTGAGCTGACACTAGATGCTTCTGTTTCGTTTTCGATGCGCCACCCTGTATGTATTTTCAGCTTCCTAAAATGACCGCAAGATGGCGTCGTTTCAATGTACAAAAACGTCATTCCTTTGCAAACATTCATAATTGACATACTCGTTAAATAGACTTACAGTGTTGACAGCTCAATTTCCGAACTTTTTTGTTTATGTCATTTTTTGATATTTTTGCTAACTTAGGGCGCTTGGGAACTGTTGAATGTCATTTCGGAAAATTCATCTGCGCTCCTAATGAATGCTCAGTCTTGCTAGATGGCGCTTTGTGGATGTGTCAGCATTTTTAGATTTTTTTTTAAATCTCCAATACAACAATAATGTTTTTTATTGATGTAAAAGTGCATAAAAGGTCCCATAAAATTCTGAAAACCGCAGATCATCACTTTTCTATAACCGCTAGCCTGTTATATGAAACAACATTCCTTTTTCAATTATACCTCATATTTTATCTTGGGTGATTTTGAAATACAAACAATTCAGAAAAGGCCGTGTTTCTATCTTTTTTTCATATATTCACTAAGAGTGTGAATTGTGTTACATCTATTGTAATATAATAGCGGCTATTTTAAAAGAACGCATTAGACGTGCAGTTTATGATATATTGAATTATTGTATTTGAGACGCTCTGTACAGTTTTGTAGAGCTAGGGAACGCGGCGGTGTTCCACTGGGGAAAAAAGGGGCAAGGTTATTGGGTCAAAATACGTCGACGTCGAGGATATTACACACCACCCTATGATAATGACAGAAGTATTGATTGTAGTCGTCCATAAAAACAGTGTTGGCTATGAGAACTTAGTGGTCTCTAAGGGAGACACATTTGCCTCAAAACAACAAGGTGTTGCTTCTATTTATAAATTTGCGTGGAATCCTGGAATATTTTGACTGGAGACAGAAAAGACTGGGTATCCTTCCTTAACTATGTGTTTCAAAGAAGGAAGATCAAAGCAAAGCGATTCAAAAAACGTGTGATGCATCGGTCCCTTGGTGTCAATAACAATAAGCATATATTATGCATTCTTAAAAAATGCGTCAAGTAGGTTGACTCTAGTACACGGAATTTTCAATACGCGGAACGGGAAGAGTAATACTAATACATTTTTGTGCATTTTTATTATGTTCTTTGGTTTAAGCAAATAGAAATACAACTTTTGGAGAAGAACACCGAAGGTTTTTAGAATTTGTTTTACCTGGATTTTTAAAAGTCATGGCAATATGCACGACGGGGCAATTTTTGGATGGAAATTACCTTAACCGCTAGGTTGGGAGGGCAGGCCCACACCTGTGGCCCCTTCGCTCACCCGATATGAATCCTTTAGATTATTTTCTCTGGGGACACCTTAAAGCGTTGGTATACAAAACTCCTAGTGAAAGCGAAGAGGATTTACGAAATAGAATCATTAATTCACGTGATGAGTCGGCCAGACGGCTGTATTGAAGCCGATTTTATAAGGTTCTGATTTTGTAGAATCATGCATACAGCAGTTGACACTTCTCAGATTCAGTACTTCCAGATGCTTATAAGCCTTTGAACGCACCAAAATAATTCCTAGCATGTTGTTCGTTGTAGACTATTAACAGTTTTTTGCTTACTTCATATTCCTGAATCTGTAATACCATCTAAAGTAGTCACGATATTTGCATAAAACATCGATTATCTCATTCTAGGGAAATTAGTCCGTATAAATAAGTAAAAGCCATTTTCTAGGAAGCCTTTAATTTTTCATACGTAACTTCCAACTCCCCGTGAATAGCGTATGACGTTACCAACTCACAAGGTGTCTCCAAAGTTCGCGTCCAAGCGAATAATGACGTAAAGTAGGTTGACTCTGCATTTCCTACGCAAGGGCAGAGAAATAATGTTCACGGACTAATTGTATGACTGACTTGGTGCGTTTCATTTACTCTGTTGTACACGTTCGTAACTTTTTTCTCAGAGGATTCAAATCGTACTGCGCTTAATCCTTCACGCACTGATGACGGCGACATTATACTAAATAAATAATAACCCGTATCGATAACTTTGTGGACACTGGGCGAGCAATAGAAATGGTCATAAATTAGGTAGGGCGAACGAGTCAATGCATACTGCCGGTGGCTTTCGGAGATTTCATTGTGCATCAACGAGGGTTGTGTTTGCTGAATCTATCCATGCCAGAAAAGTATTTGAAAGATTTATCTCCAGTTGTGGCGGGTAGACTAAAATTTCAGTGATCTGTAATAGAATAAATTTGGAGTATAAAACAGGAATTTGACGCCAAATAAATCCATAAAATAATGTATGCAGCGCCACTGTTCATACGAATTTTTAACTTTGCCTCCTTATAATTCCATAATCATCAATGTGTCGAAAAAACGTAAAAGACTGTTTTGTAGCAAATTTTATTCTCTACAAAAAAATCACATTTTATATTCTTAGATTCATAGTTTAGCCATTATAAGCGGAAATATCATAACATGTACAATTTACCTTTCGACTCGCTGGTTTACCGCCGATAGGTAGTCTGCATTAGACGAATCGAAAAGTGAATTTAACTTATAAGGCGGTTATTAGATAAATGTGGGTCACTCCGCAGACATCATTTATATTTTAGGGTGATTCAGGAATAATTCAGGAAAATGAAATACTCTTTGTTCGATAAGTAATATACAGATAATACAAACAGATTTATAGCCTATTTTTTTATTTGGTTGTACATCAACAAACAGCTTTTGATAAATATCATATCGCATTCCCTGTAATGGATATTTTGAACTGTATTTTGCAGGAAAAGTCCAACGTGCGATTAAACATGAGAGTAATCGGTAGACTGCACCTGGTTAAAGTTAGACAAAGATTTGTCGTAATGTTATTCAGCAACGCGTTCTTTCTCACCTGAATAAACGATATTAGAACAACGGCCAGAAAAAATGCGGTGGTTCAACTTTGAGCGATTCATTTGAATAGACATGAGTCGAACTTTTAACTAAAAAACGATGGTCAGTCCGTGATCTAACCAGCCAAACAAATAAGAGCTTTCCGTATATTTGTAGTTGGTTTCAAAAGTATTTCTAGATAGTATCAACTTTGCCTATTAGGTTAGGTTTTCGTGTGTGAATCAATGATGATTCTCCACTATTAAGACTCGCTGGTCTATCGTGGTTCACACCTATTTGTATTTCTCTCAATAATTCCAACATGCTTAGTTGGGAAATATCCTTCAGGTGTTTACCTGATGTACATAGAAAAATAGAAACAATAAAATTACCTTCACTTTCATGAAATAAAAACCATAAATACATGACAATATTGCCGAAACCAAATCCAACATAGTAAAATGTAAATCAATAAAAATGACACGACGCAACACATACGATCGTTGAGTTTTCCTAGCGAGCTTACAAACGACATTTCCTCAGGAAACTGTAGTATATATAAAAATGCATCGACGAACTGGTTTTCCTGATCGAACGATGTTATATTTGTTGCATGATGTTGATGGAAAACTTTTCTAGCGTGCTACGAAACACTGTCCACATTCAGAGGTGCTGTTTACGCTGCGATGACGTCGTATTTGCCGATCAATTTCAAAATTTCACAGTTGAATATTTTACAATAGGAAAACAGTAATTTTTTCTTACCACGCCTATACTGGCGAGGAACTATTGTAATTGCGAAAAATTAACAAATGGGATGTTATGTTTTTACATGTTATATCGGTCTGTCTATCTGGCTGTCGGTTTGTAACTTGGCAAGTGCCGATCCGATTTTGATGAAATTGTCACACAGTGTGCCAAGGATGACAAAAGTTTGTGGTTTCTCAAAATCGGCCCAAAAACGAACGAAAAAGTCCAAAAACAAAAAAATAAAAACCGCTCAAAAGTCGTTTTCGAGTTCGTTTTTTTCTGACCGGATCCAGTTAATTAATTTGTTATTCGTGTAAATAGCTAACTGTTTCTTTCGAACTAATGACATCGTGGCGTCCATGTTTGTTTACATATTCGAACAAAACAACAAGAAGAAATTTAAGCTTTGCATCCGGGATTCTATCCCAATATTAACGAATTTGATGAAGCTATTTCTTGATCTAAATAAATTTTGTAAAACGACCTCAAGCTCTGTTTTTTACACTTTCAATACACAATGTTTTTATTTGATAAAACTTAAACTGGATAATAATTATTTTGACGAACAAAACGGGAAATATCGAATGGACATACTTGCCCTACTTTATGCTTATAGTTAGCACTATATTATGTAGGTGTGTTCTTTTATTCAATCGATAGCCATTAGGAATATTGTATGTATTTACCTATTTTAGGTATATATGTAATGAGCTGTTTTCAACTGAACTTTTACAACTGCAATCGATTGACGCATTTCGTTTTTATTAACGAAGCTTCCATTCTTTACAGATGGTGAAGTGATAGTCCGTTTTTTAGTTTGGCATGGCAGAGAACGTTAAAGTCATTGTAAGATGTCGACCTATGAACAGAAAAGAAATAGACTTGAATTGTCAGGTAACGTTTATTAGAAGTTATATTCAATTTTCTGATTGTTATTGACAAATTGGTTATTTACAGTGCGTGGTGAATATCCAGAACTGCGTAGTAGAAACATGGGACCCAAACGAAGGATCGTCTTTTCCAAAACAATTTACCTTCGATTCAACTTACGGTCAGGATTCAACCACAGAGGTTATTTATAACGATATATGCTACCCTCTCGTTGAGGTAAGTTTACGATTTTGGATTTGCGATCTCAAATATCTGAAACGTTTGCCGGACATTCGCAACAACACAAGAGATACAGTACGGTTTCCTCGTGCTCTCTGCAGAACAGCCAAATAAAAGCCTCGTTTTAAAAATGCATTTTCTATTGCGTTTATTCTGTTCCACTCGAGTAAATAAGCCTAAGCGACACTTGAAAATCAACCAGCCGCCAAAGCTTATAAATATTTCAATGAGTCGACGGATGAATCATCTAGCAAACGATGTTTCATTTTGTTTAGTCTGGAAGCAGTCACGCAAACCACATTACGATAAGAAGATGCAAAATCGGCAAACAGATAGAAACGCACACTGGTCAGAATAATGACATCGGAGCCTCTGACATAAAAATTAAAAACTTGACTCATTTTTTTTTTACAAGGCCATGAATTGCTGGTCTACTGGGACGAGTAGTAAATTTTAATTATTTGCAAGCGTTGTTCGTTCGTGTACTTCACCACGATGAAAATATTTTCTTTACTGAACATTTTGACATTCACATTTTGGTAATTCGTTTAAAGGTGCGTTCACAGTGAAAGTTCGAAGTTGTCAAGTCCCTATTGGAAAATCCGATACCAGCGCATAGTTAGAGAAGAGTCATCGATCTTGTTTACCTTTATATCATCCTTACTAACTGAACGTTATTTGTTCGTCTAGAGTGTCTTAGAAGGATACAATGCGACGATATTTGTCTACGGCCAAACGGGGTGCGGAAAGTCATTCACGATGGAAGGGATCAAAGACAATCCAGCCCAAAAAGGAGTCATCTCCAGAGCTTTTGAACACATTTTCGAAGCGATCTCCGTTGCTAGCGGGATTAAATATCTCGCACTTGTCAGCTATTTGGAGATATATAACGAACATATCAGGTAACAATTTAACAAATCTTTAAACAACGGGCGCATCAAGAAAACGACAGCGCTTGACATCACTGGTTATCAGAGATGGAGACAAGACTATACTTTAGCGCATATCGCAAATACTTCATTTCTTACTTTAAAATGAAAGATTAGAAGTTAGTAAAATAAAAGAAATTACTACTTAACAATGAACTATTATCATCATTAAAATAATGCAAAATTGCATTATTGCGATGAACAGTGTCACAGTAATTTACATTGTATGTTATATTCGTATAATTTTGAGCAATCTTTTGTGTAAACAAGAAAAAAACAGCTTATAAAGCAGTATTCTATACCACAGTATTACCACAGAAAATGCGTTGAAGTTCTATAAAATAGCAAGCAGATGGTTCCTTAAAGAAAAAATGATATTTTCGTGCAAGTTGCATCCTGAACTTTCATTTTAAAATAAGAAATGTAATCTTTGCGATATGCGCTAAAGGATAATTCAGCCGAGATGGGATTTATTCAAGATACAAATATCTGAAATACAGATACAAAATACGTGTTTCTACGCATCGCTGAACACGACCGAGTTCCATTCCATATTCCATTCAATCGTTGCCGATTACCCTGAAGATAGTTCTAATTCTACTAACTATTTTTGATACATTCTTTATTTTTTTTCAGAGATTTACTATTGTGTTCGGAAAAGCTCAACGGAACACCTTTGACATTGAAAGAATCACCCAATGAAGGTGTCACTGTACCAGGTAAAAATACTACAATTTTTGGAAAATGCTACATTTCATCCCTACTTGCAAAAAGCAAGTTTCCACGTAACGTAAATTCGATTTTTAGACAGATTTTGGAAATATGTACTTGCTTTTCAGGATTGACGAGTCATCCTGTCCATAATGCTGCCGAATGCGAACATCTGTTGAACCTCGGCTCAAAAAATCGTATGATCGGTGCCACATTGATGAACCAAAATAGCTCTAGGTCTCATAGTATTTTTACAATAAGCATAGAACAAATTAGCAACGTTAATAACAATGAATGTATTATGAAAGGTAAGTGAACGTGTGCACGAAAGAAGGACAATCAAATATGGCTTTTATACGTCGATACATCGTTGCAACTACGTGGAAATGTCGAAGGGTTACAAAAGCAAAACATTCTCGGCTCGTTTATCATACACGTCAACTATTAAACCGATCAATATATGGGTAATGAAAATTTGTTTTGGACAAAAGTTGTCTTAGGCAAAGAAATGTTCTGTAGACATAGTAATTAGATCCGTTACACTCTGCGTACCCGACGTGTGAGACCTTTAGAATGTTTGTCCAGTGAGTCAACATCACGTCTGAACCACAACGCGGAGCCACGTAAAAATCTGCTTACTACCTGAAACCCGAGGAGGATATATTCATGATTTTATCCACCGCAAAGTTGGGGTTTTCCTTTACACGAAGTGTAGATCCTGAAAACATAAGCAATTTTTCTTAGTACCATATCCACCAATGTCTTAAGGGAACCGAGATAAAGGGCTCTGCAACATCAAAAATATCTGAATACCGTCCTGTAGCCGCGACATCTCCGAGTGGTACTTGGACACTAGCTCAACCCAACAACAACAACTGGGTCGGGGTCAGTGTGTCAGGTCAGTATGCAACCTTCAACCGACGTAGACGAGAATCCCTCAACAAGCACTAGAGACGTGGCTAGAGAAGTGCAAGTATCAAAAACTAAAGTGTGGCAAACGCTGCGTGAAGAGGGGCTGTATCCGTTTCACGTCCAACGTGTACAAGCCCTTCAACCTGACGATTTTCCAGCAAGAGTGCGGTTTTGTGAGTGGTTGTTGCATCAACATGACAATAATCCGGACTTTTTGAAGTGCATATTGGTGACAGACGAATCTACGTTCACGCGTAATGGGGTGAGTAACTTTCGCAACACTTGCAATACCTAGACTTTTTACGCAACATTTTGCCTTCCTTGTTAGAAGATGTGCCATTAAGTGTAAGACAATCAATGTGGTTTCTGCACGATGGTCATATTTGTTACCTCTGTTCGTGGTCTGCACCACCGCCGGCGTCTGCTCGGTAGCGCATCAGCTGATATTTCATTTTCTGTTGGAGCGGTATGATTTCGGGCAGAGACGTACTTAGCCCTTCTCGTCAGCTGGAGAGTGAGTACTTTTTTCTTTATTTTTTTTTACTTGGTCGCCTTCGTTTCACTACACACATTTGTTATTTCAAGGGTAGTTGTTTCTGAAAAGGAAAACCCCAACTTTGCGGAAACCCTGTATATCTATATCCGCGACAATATACAGAGTGTTCAAAAAGTATTGATAGATCTCGAAAAATACATAAATTCAAGGTCATTTGTATGTCAACACAGTTTTCTTAAGCGAAACTCCTATTTTTCCCGTTGTAGGCAAACTGAATCTAGTCGACCTGGCTGGATCAGAACGTCAGACCAAAACCGGGGCAACTGGAGAAAGACTGAGAGAAGCCACTAAAATTAATTTGTCATTAAGTGCGTTAGGAAATGTTATATCGGCTCTCGTTGACGGAAAAGCCAAACATATACCTTACAGAGATTCCAAACTGACTAGGCTACTGCAGGTATGCAATATTTCTTTAAAATTTAACGCTTACTATCAAAAAAGTAGACGGCGAATAAAATTTCTTTTTCAGGATTCCTTAGGTGGCAATACAAGAACGCTCATGGTAGCTTGTATAAGTCCTTCCAGTAGGGACTACATGGAAACCCTGTCTACTCTCAGATATGCGAATAGGGCCAAAAACATCCACAACAAACCGAAAATCAACGAGGTAAAACGCATACATCATATTAAGAATCCCACAAGACGTTAGAAACAAAAAGCTCAGAAAAAATTACTCACACTACCTACCTCAACTTCTTCCACTAGAGCATTAAAGTAATTATAATAATCACTCAGATCTACAAAATAAAAAAAAAAACGGGGTATTATTATTATTATATTACAGCAGACGCTCGATAATGTAAACTAATTTAATCCAGGTGTGGTTCACATTATCGAAATGTTTACATTAGCGAACGTGATGTATATAATATTTGATTTATTAAAAGAAACGTTTGATACATACTATTTATAACAAAATAAACAAATATTCTAACAGCGATAAGTATTTTTTTAATTAGAAGAAAAATAACTAACAATTTTTGCCTGCGTAAATTTGCGCTTAGCATTGTCTTCCAATGCCTGCGACCGTAATTTACGAAGAACTAAAATATCCGTGTATGAAACTTCTTTTCTTTCAACCCAATCTAAAGCTTGGTTAAACACTTGTGTAGCTTGCGCGTCAGTCACTACACTTCTGACTTCAACGGGATCGTTCTCATCATCTTCACTGTCCATATCCTCCTCCTTATCAGCATCATTCGTCTGCTTATCTTCGTTCCATAAATTAATATCAGCAGGAGTACAAACAATGTTGGGATTCACTGTTTTCAATAAATCAACAACATCCAATGACACACTAATAACATTATCTTTATTGGATCGCAAACGTTCTCTAATTACGCTTAAGGGGACATCGTCTTCTTCATCATCTTCATTATTGGTACAAAAGAGATTGTTCCAACATTTTTGAATAGTTCGCTGGTTAAGTTCATTCCAGGCCATATGTAAATCTAAAACAGCTTCTCGTAATGTTACTTTTTTTAAAGCCTCAGATAACTTTTCAGGATTCTTTGTTAAGACAGACGAAAGTAGAAACTTCCTATAGTATAGTTTGGTGAGTCTTATTATATTCTGGTCCATCGGTTGAATTAACGGTGTTACGTTGGGCGGCATGTACATGACGAAAATTTACCCATCCCTGCTCCTCAGTTGTTGCTCGGGAGGATGACTTGGTGCATTATCCAATAGTAACAACGCTTTTATTGGAAGCTTCTGTTGTTTTAGGAAAACTTTTAACTACAAATTGAAAACACATCTTCAAGTTATGAATAGAGCATTTGTGATAATTGATTGTCATACCTGAAGGACAAAGCACCTGTGGAACCATTTCAGGAATATACTGCTAGTCATCCAAGCGGTTTTTGAACAGTCATAATCAACAGGGATATTAACATTTTTAAATGAGCGCGGATTTTTTGCTTTCCCAATTACCAGTGGCTTTATTTTGTGTGAACCATTAGCATTAGTGCAGGCTAGAAACGTTATTCGTTGTTTCTCCGGCTTTCTTCCCGGGGCAGATTTTTACCAAATGATGCAGCATAGGTTTTCTCTGGTAACATTTTCCAATAAAGGCCACTTTCATCTGCGTTGTAAATTTGTTCCATTCTTAAATCTAGCTTGGTAATTGTTTTCATCAATTTTTCTTTGAATGGTTGCACTAATTGTGGTTGTGCTGATAATTTTTCACCAGATATAGACAGCAGTCGAATTCCATATCTTGTTTTGAATCGTTGTAGCCAGCCATCACTAGCTACGAAATTTTCAGTTTTTTTCAGTTTTTCATTTAACAGTCTCGCTCTCTGTTTAAGTACTTCGCCACTAACTGAGACATGATTTTCCCGTTGTTTTAAAAACCACTTATACAGGTTATTTTCCATTTTAGGTGCCTTCGCATTTTTTAAAATTTTTCTTTTTCCCGGACCTCCAAATGTATTGCACGTTCCTTGTAAAATTTGAGTTTTCATACGCTTAATTTTTCAGATTGTTGCTTTCGATACTCCATATTTTTTTGCTAACTGTGTCACTCCCGCACCTAGTGCAACTTCGTCTATGATTTTCACTTTCTCACTCAACTTTAAACACTTTCTTTTATAGGATGTGGATGCCATAGTCGTAAAATATATTAACGCGTGCAATGTATTCACTTAAGTTCAAAAATGAAATACATACGTACGTATAAACGTATCCTAAACGATCATACGACTTACCGAGTTTGTCGTATTTTATCGCAGAGGTGAATCCCCTACACTGTACATCATAAATCGGGGACTCCCCGACGCCCGACATAAATCATCGAGGCTTCAGCATTTTACCGTCGCGCTGTTTCCGTGCGCCGAGAGTTGTTTACGTTATCGAGCGTACACATTGTTTACGTTATCGCGCGTTCCGTTTGATCCTATAGAACGAAGTTTGTGTTTACATTAGCGCAAGTTTTCATTATCCCGTGTTTACGTTATCGAGTGTCTGCTGTATTTTCCAAAAAGGGATTTTTGAGGTTAGAGGAACCTAACGATCTAAAAACTTAGCTTTGACACAATATACCTTAATTTTCGTATACATTTTGTGCACCGACCCACAATTTTGGCTTCAGATTCTGGTTCAGCGTGAAAAATTACACGATTAAAACGTAGTCGTATCTCGAGCACACGCCTCTTTTTTATTTTGTGGACCTGTGTTATTTTCAGGACCCCAAAGACGCTATTCTGAGACAGTACCAAGAAGAAATCGACAGACTAAAAGCTCTTCTTCAAGACAACCAAAATAGGGACATATCGGACGAATTCGAATTGATTCCATATCCAGAAATAAACAAAAACGTCCAATCGCATAACGCGGAGCTTGACGCAAAACGCGATAGACTTCTGCAAGAATACCAAGATGAAATGCGGAAGTTGAAAAACCTTCACGAGAGCGAAAAACAAGAAAAGGAATCAATACTCAAGCAGATCGAAACTATCAAAGCAGAGTACAACAGGAATATTAAAAAGCTGAACGAGGAAATTGAAGAAAAAAAGAGTAAGAAACAGTTATGTTCGCAAGAAGAGATTCTGAACAGGATTGAGGCGTTGAAAGCTGCTATGATTGGAGGGGAACGAGCGAATGATAAGGAGCTATCCGAGAGGAGGAAACGGAAGAAAATGGAAGCTGAAAAACGGGCCAGGTACACGATCTGATGCAATTCCAAGTACTATAATGTTTCCACGTTTCCTATAAGACAATTTTGAAAATACCTTGCCTATTCCATCTTTATATACAAAGTTCAATCGCTTGTAAAAATAGCAGACGAAAATAGAAGATTTACCCGACAGACACATATTTTACATGTACAAATTTTGTATCCATTTGTGCGGTTTTTTAGTATTTTAAGTTGCGTTGTTTTCATACTTCTAAATAACAACAAAATTGGAATAGATTGCTGAAATAGGTTTTGAGAATTTCTAATTGTTTATCCCAAAACACCTGTTTTCCGGCAATCACTACTAGTTTACTGAGCAATATACAGGGTTAGTTCAAATGACATTTTATAGCAAAATACACTAGTTTACCTAGCCGATATGAATCACAAACCATTCCGGAAGATAAATGTTATTTTTACGCGAAAAACAAAGGTTACGTTTTTTTTTTCTAAACAAATTCTAACATTTCGTATTTGTGAGTAATTCGCAACAAACGATGATGGACACATCCGCTTTTTTTAAAATGTGTATAGCAACGTATGTTTTTCGAATATCGTATTGCATTTGTTCAATTACTCACAAATACGAAATGTTTGAATTTGTTTAGAAGAAAAAACCTAACCTTTGTTTTTCGCATGAAAATAACATTTATCTTTCGGAATCGTTTGTGATTCATATCAACAAGGGAAGCACTTGTATTTTGCTATTCAATGCTCTTTGAACGAGCCCTGTATATTGCTCACTAAACTAGTATTGATGGCCGGAAAACACGTGCTTTGGGATAAACAACTAGAAATTCTCAAAAACTACTTGACCAATATACTCCAATTTTGTTGTTGTTATTAAGAAGTATGGATTTGAAGAATTTCAAGTATTTACGTAAAGTTATCGTCGCATTACCAACAAGTGCCAAAACCTACATTTTGCCTCTCGTTTTTCGGCCATTTTTGCTATTAGTTGGATCTTTTCACGTGTGGTCTTACTTTGTAGGCGTCTTAAATGCCTAAAAATCTTAATACAAAAGGTTTTCCGTTCCTGTCAACATTTTCGATTAAATCCAAAAAAACACGTTTTTTCATTCTTTATTGTCGAATAAAAAGTTTTCCCACAAAAATTGGTGTACCCATTTTATGGAACAACTTGCACCAATAAAACCAGACTTTACAATTATTTCGGGGAAATTTGTTAAAATGGTTAGTCTTTATATTTTGTCAGTGTATGCATGTGTCAAAGTAAGAATATTTCCACAGTGTACAAAAATGGTATAACCAGTTTGTATGAGTCTCCGATTTTATTCTGAATATAGTGTTTCATATAGAATATCTATGTAAACAAACAAAAAAAAAGCGAAAAAAGAACTTTGTTTAACAGGATCGAACCTGGGACCGCGGGATATTAAGGCCCGTATCGTCAGTCGTCCCTACAATTATTGTAGGGCGCGTTTATCGCCTCCTTGATTGTGATAGTTTTATACTTCTCCGTGTCAGCGCTCTATTTTGAGGTTATGTCACAAACATCTATTTGCATCAAATTGTGCTTGCTTTTGAGTTATATCATGTTTTATCAGCCTGAAATTTCCTACAATTTAAAAGGAAAACATATCTTAACAATAGGAGAGCACTGACGCTGACACGGGACGAGTGTAATCTAGAAATTTTTGAAGGAGTGAAAAGAGTATGACAATCAAGGAGGCCATAAACGCGCCAACGACAGACGAAGACTGCAACAGCGCAATTGTGCAGCAGTTAGGGATATTTCGGTAGATTTGATACTTTTCTCAATATGATAATAAAAAAAGCGGGGTTATTCGAAATGAATTTTAAACAAAAAAGTAAAAATATCCTTATGAATATATGTCGACAAATCAGGGATTATGTATGAATGGGGAGATCTTATGGATTGTATTTTATTGTCTCTCAACAAGTACCGACACACGGTTTGGTATTTTACAGAATATAGCTAGATTCTTTATGAATTGCTGTTTTTCCTGCTGTCCCGATGAATTGTGTACCGAATTCCATCTGTCGATTCAATACTTCCTAGTCGGCTGCCCCAGAACAGATTCAATGACCCCCACAGCAGAAAAAATGTTTAAAAATCTTGACGCTATCAATAGCAATCGACATATCTTAAAATAATGATTCTGTACATATAAATCACTCGATTACAATCGAACCATGCCAAAATAAAAAAAATTATTGACTATATTTCATTCCACAACACATCTCAAGACGCTAATCACCATTACGGCCATAGTAATTTCCGTACGAATAAACGCATTACAAATGACGAATTCGCGAACGAAATTTCATATGTTTTTGTAACAAACAAAACTTCTAAAGTCGCCAATTCCATATATTTTCCAAAAACATTCTAACATAGTGTTGATTGCTCTTGGTGATAAAATTTATCGAACTATTTCAGCGTGATAGCCCACCTTTTGGCAAAGATCGACATGAACGAAGATCGCGAACTTCTGCACAACCAATACAAAGACATCAGTCAAGAGTTGAGCTTGAAAACAGATGCTTTAAGGAAATACCGACATAGAGTGAAAGTTTTAGAAAAGGAAATCTCGGACATCCAGAGCGAGTTCGAGACTGAGAGGCAAGATTATTTAGAAGCAATCCGAAAACAGGACAGACAGGTGAAACTATTGACGCAGATCTCTGAGAAGTTGGCTGGCAATTTGAGGAAAGAGTGTAATTATAGGTAATTGCAGGAATATGTTTACCTTTCTTTAAAATAAAGTCTTCGTTTATCAGTATCGCCCGGAAAAATTTTGCGCCACCCTCACCTCAAGCTCAGATGATTGTACTTCGAAGTATATTTTCTTCATTGTATGAAATACTTCATGAAATTAGTACACAATTAATAAAGACTTGAAAACGAGAAAAATATATTTTCTTTCTGATTTTCCAGCGATCTGGAATCGATAAAAGAACAGACTGTATGGTTGGACGAGTCGCAAAAATACAAACTTCCAGAATTGATTGTAACAAGAACGCGACTACCTCCACCAGGTATAGTATGAGGATTTCTCATTTAAAAAAATAATAATTCCACATGTATTTTTTTAATAACAATCAAATCATGATACGCAGGCCGTGTAGACGATATTCAAACAGCACCAGCGAGACTACTTCAATCTGAGGAGGATTCCCTAACTGGTAAAACGTTCAATAATCGAGAACGATTGAAAAAGGTGAACTATTTGAATAAACCGTTTCGGTGTGATTGGCTTATTTTTATTGCTTTTCGTGAAATTTTAACAATCCTCAAAATTCTTCGCCATCACGCGTATTCCTCTCAGAACCAGACTTGTCAGAAAGCATTTTAAAGTGCTTTCCGAAATATTATGGACATTTGCCAAGAGTTAAATACCGTTTGAGTGAATCGTTAGACATTTTTATTTGTTTCTTTTGCACGCTGCTTTGCGTATGGCACAGGGCAATTGACACCCAACGATTTTGAAAGACAAGGTGCTCCCTACTTCTTCAACGATGAAGAGGTAAAAATGTTTTATCAATCTACACGTAGAAATGTTATTCTCGCACGTCTTCATGCAGGATATATTTCGGGTATGTAATCGAGAAAAATTTCAAAATAGAAATGGACGTTTATCGTGGATTACATGTTTCCGGGATGTGTGTCATGGAACTTGGTTGTGCTTTCCGATTACAAACTCACTACGAGGGATGTCTTTTAAGTTTTGCATATAGAAACATAGTAGGCCGCGCCAGTACTGAATCTTGATCTCACTCCTTAGTGGACTTAAATTCAAAGTCTCACTACAGTAAATTTTTAAATGTTACCAAGTCATTAGAAAAATGGAACTCAACCGAGAACATTTTCGCGCCCTCTTGCTGAGTTACTGTCTGTTTTCGGCTACGAAGCGCCCCATGAGTCGACAAGAAAACGTGGAATTGTTGGACCATCCTCCATATATAGTCCCGATCTAAGTCCTAACGATTTCTTTACTTTCCCGAAAATTAAAAACAAACTGCGTGGTCAAAGGTTCCAGTCACCAGAAGAAGCAGTTGACGCATTCAAAAATGCCGTTTTGGATCTGCCAGCAAACGAGTGGAATAAGTGCTTCGAAAATTGGTTCGAACGCATGCAGATGTGTATTAATCTTCGCGGAGAATACTTCGAAAAACAATAAGTCATTTAAAACTACCTACCGCGTTGTTTTATTTCCATACGCAAAACTTAAAAGACATCCCTCGTATTGCAATAATATGATAGCAGTATTCGTATTGGTGGACGGATGAATAATAATGTCAGTACTAATCAATAACATGAACTGAAATATTCGTTTTCAGAAACTTCAAAGCGTTGATGGTAACATAATCGACACCTATTTTCAACCTACAATGAAAAGGGCCAACGAATTATTAAATCAATCATCTAGAATAGATCCACATAAGGTTATCAACACTTGGAAAGGTAATGTCGGTGATGTCCATAAAAACATGTGTATGTGTATAATTTTTAAAACTGCTGTGGTTGTTTCATTCAATTTGTTGTTTTTCATTACAAGTAGCCGATATATTTTTTTACCATTGTTCAATTTAAAATGATTATTTCTATTACTGAAGTACAGGGTGGATCATTAAGTTGAGCGGATTCTAAAGAATCGTAGAAATCAACCACAAAGCGTAAGAAAGATGATTTATATTTTTAATAAAGTAGACACATGGGAATTTTATTATTTTAAAATAACATCATCGAGATGTGAGCCATCGAGACGTACGAACTCCTCGAATCTCGTCGTCAAATTCGTGAAAACTCGCTGGCACATCGTTCGTAATATAGCGGACGTCTCCTCGGTAATGTTGTGCTTAAGCTGGGCAATTGTCGTCGGATTATTGGCGACGCGGCTCTTGAGGTATCCGCAGACAAAAAAATCCAGCGGCGTGAGATCTGGGCTCCGGGGAGGCCACTGAATGTCCCCTCGACGCGATCGTTCTACTGAATATTTCGTATACAACTGCTAAAGACTCGTTGGCGATTTGGTATGTCATGCCATCTTATTGAACCCGGGTCCGGCTATGGTAGGCTTCAAAATTATGCAAAGAAAAACTTACGTAGCATTGCTGTGTGGCGATTAAAATTTACTGTTGCAGTCTGGCGCTGCTCGTTTTCCAAGAAATAGGGTTCGATGATTCCTTCAGCCGTCATGACCGCCCAAACTGTAACATAACGCGAATGCAAAGGCCGTTGGTGTTTTAATTTGGGATTTTCTGCGGCCCAATACCCACAATTTTGCTTGTTGACAAATCCACTCAAATGAAAATCAGCTTCATCGGAAAAGAGAATATTGTTCAAACTTGGAAAGCGCTCTAACACGGCATATATAGTGGTCGTGCGGTTTCAATCCGTTCACTAGCAGAAATTTATACGTCTTTTATTAAAATAAGCCTCACAGATGTGCTTGATATGGCGAATGATAACTGTGGATCGCACCGTACGGACGTCGCAACTTCGCTTACAGTTTATTTTCACTAGGACATTGATTTAGATCATGTGCTTAGCAATGCAATGCGGTTTTGAAATTCATGCGTCTTTCTGGTCCAGCCTGTAGAACGCAATTTAAAAAATATAAACAGTAAAGGACAGTAAGATTTCATAGCCGAGATGGCTATTTTTATTTGTACTTTTCAAATAATATCGATACTATTCTTTCAGATTACACAAAAAGGATGTCACCAGACAATCTGATGAGTAATCCTCTCTCACCTGCAAGTAGTAGTTCAAATAGTCCAAAAACTAACATTATTAACAATGTTTGGATGAATGGTAAAGAAATATTTTAAACACATTTAAGTATACCCATTACCACTCAGTGTTTGTGGTGTCTTAGTTTACCATTTCCCATAATTTTGATGTTCAAAATGCGATTGAATGTCCATTTGTACAAATTGATATTTTGAAATGACTCTTGATATTTAGGATTTGACAAAAAGATATTTATGTACTTGCTGTAATAAATCTGTTGATTTTAATGTTGCGTTTTTATTTTAGGTTCTCCCACAAATGAACCCCTTATAAAGAAACCCTTTCGACTTGAAGCATTGCCAAATATTGTGAAGAACAGAAAACAAAAACTAAATACACTTGAACTCATATAAAATGTCAACATCATTTTTCATTTTGTGATAACGCTAGTACACTGATAAGTTTTTCAAGTCTATTGTAGATTTTATAAATACATAAAATAAGTGCTATGTGATACCTTCAATAATTTATTTTTGAATAAAAAAGTCAATCTACATATAGTACAATTTGTTTCATTGAATAATCACATAAAACCTAGATGTGTCATTGATGGAAAAAAAATTATCTATGGAGGTAAACCTTGCTGGAATCCCAAAGTTTTATTACTCTGTACCTCCTTTTGCATCTCCAAAGCCACAGCTTTGTATTTCTCAGCCATTTTTTCATTTTTTTCCACACCTAAAAATCAGTACTTCATTCACTACCACATTTTTTATAGTATATATATATATATATATATATATATATAGGTGAAAAATTAAAGCTTCCGCCTTTTGTTGGGTACTTCGACAAAATTTAAGCAAAGAGGACTCTTTATACTTTTTTTAATTCTGTCTAGCTTTCAATGGACTTTGCCATCATCATCAGGAGCTGCAATTACAATGATAACAGTAGCAACAAAAGTGTAAAATGAATTTAAATTGTATAAAAATGTGTAAAATGTATCCTCACCATGTTACTGGACGTTTCCCTCATCCTATATGTAAACAACAATTAGCAACATCCTCACATACTACTGTAAGTTGAGTCAATTTAAATTCATTTTACACTTTTGTTGCTACTGTTATCATTGTAATTGCAGCTCCTGATGATGATGGCATTGAAAGCTAGAGAGAATTAAAAAAAGTATAAAGAGTCCTCTTTGCTTAAATTTTGTCGAAGTACCCAACAAAAAGCGGAAGCTTTAATTTTTCACCTAACTGGTCTAGACGACAATGACCACGTCTCAAGTTATATATATATATAAATAATTGTGCAACTAATTTATTTGGAGATACATACCATCTCCTTTAGCATACATCTGACTCAGGTTCGCACAACTGTACATATTTCCAAGGCTACAACCTTCTAAAGCAAACTGAAATGCCTTTGTCATGTCTTTAGGAACTTGAAATTCTTCTTTATTTGAAACTTCACTTGCAGTTACTGGGCCTGGAGTTGAGTCTTTTTTCACACCAACTATGTACATTCCTGATAAATAATAACAAGCATTTGCATTTTTTGACTTACATGCTTTTTCTAAAAGCTGCATGCCCTAAAAAATTTCAACAGTTATCATGCTCAGCTTATAGATAATTATTCAGGCAATATAGAAACAAAATTTAAAGGATATAGGTATGTATTATATAATTCTTATTTTTTCATTCAGTACTAAAATATTTATAATGACATCATAAAATATCACTATAGATTATAAAATAATGCAACATTAAGTATTACTGTTACTAATTGCAATAAAACAATGTTATCTGAATAAGAAACACACTGAATCCTGAATTTGGTCAATGTGAGATAAGATAGTGAAAGTAAAGTTCAAAAAACAAGGTCTACATAGATTTATGATTTACCTTTATCACATCATGTTGCAACTCTGGCTTATCGTTTTTTGTAATCAAAAGTAGCCCTTGGTTTAGACAGGAATCTGGTTCTTCCAAGTTGCAGCCCTTCTCAAAATAATCATAAGCTGTTTTGTAATCAGACTTTTTCGTTCCTCTTCCTAGCATGCTGTATGTTCCATATTTTAAGCAACTTTTTCCATATTTGTATTCATCACAGTTATTCCTGTAGACTTTCGCGGCTTTTTCGTAGTCTTTTTTGATGGATTCTAGGAAGTCTGCTAGCAAGTGACATACTGAAAATCAAAGTTTATGTAAGCAGAATCGGGTTGTTCAAAAAACGTTCCCCTCAATTAACGCTCCAGACAATGTGAAATAAAATTTGAATTAAGCAAAATACCTTCTGGTTTCTTTTCACTGTAGCATCCGAATCGGTACTCTATGCCTAAATTATTGATGTAGTCTTTTACTTCATTTTCGGATTTTAAATTATATGCCATTTCAAAATAATTTGGAAAATTTTAGGTTAATTACATTTTTGATTTGTAAAATGTCAAGCACAAGTCAGAAGTTAGAAAGTGTATTGTCAATGTCAAATGCCTAAAGCTACTCTTACACCACAAAACTAAATTCAACGTTATTCAGAGAACAGAGATTGTAGAATCAAAGTCCAACGTCGTATTTGTATATGCGAATATCTGGAGAATGGTTTGAAAGTTTATCATTTCCCATTACAGACTTTGACACTTTCGATTTGATAAGACGAAAGGAGACCCCACAAGTTTTGATACATATTTTATGGTTTGTTTGGTATTCTGGATACCTCTTTGATTTCTGCCTCACCCGGCACGGGGATCACGTAACTTGAAAAGTGACATTATGCCGATCTTTTTTTGACATTATGCTGTTTTTTTGCCTAAACGTCATGAGGCTTGTTATCAATCTTTGGCTCTGATGTGATGTAAAATCTGCTTCTGAGATGGCATTACTGGTGGTCTAAGCTGTAAGATGTATGCGTTGATGATAATTTCATTGGGTTCTTGTCTGAAGTAAACTTAATTGAGATTTAAAGCTAGTTGCGCATTCACTTTTTTCTTATCCATTCTGGACATTACATATACAAACTTGCTAAATTTCAAAAATGAGATAGATAAGAAATAATTATATTCACTGTACACTGTCGAATTACAAGCCATATACATGCTAACAGTAATTACACACAACGTGGGCGCGATGATGATTTCCCGCAATTCTCCTCAGTTTTTCGTAATTTATAACTTTGAACATCCTCTCTTCAGGAAGCACAACATAAAAATAACCCGTCGGGTACAGCCAATAGATATGCTTCATTGGCAGCATATTCAGTAATGATTTTCTCACACATCAAATATCACCGATTTTATGCACATGCAGACCAATACACATAATCATCCAGATGCGATCTTGCTATTCAACCAACTTTCTTCTCAGAGATAAAAACTACAGACAAGAACCATTTGGTCTCACAAAACATATGCAACCAATAATGCGTTTAGTTTAGTTGAGTGATTCCTCCTTAGATGGACGTTCACAACGATCCTAGTTTGCAAGATGACATCTTATGGGTTTTTTGGAGGTTTTATGTTTTTACATGATACCCATGCCGATGTGGCATCCTCGTGATCATAGACGCCTGCAGGGAGTCCCAGCGAGGCCGAGGCAAAGAATCCGATTGACCTTGTATATTTAGTATTATTTTGCTTATAATTTTGAGGATGTTTAGGATTTGCTCCCCCTGAGAAAATGTTCCATCACTCGCTCTTCAAATAGTTTTGGGGGCAGATACACTCGTACTGCTAAAAAGGTATCTCTGTCCAGTAATCGGTTCCCTCCGCAAGCTACAAACCGTGCTTAGTCAATATGTGAGAGAGTCAAGCTCCTGTACTTTCCCTGCATAAATTCTATGTTTGGCAAACTTGATGAGTGACGTTAGTACTAAACTACTAGTTGAACATCTATTTTGGTTTTCAGCTCTATGCTGTTTGGTGTTTTGTGAGTGTAAGACAGGCTTCACACATTTCACTTTTGGCATCCGTCATGTGTCAATTAGTAAAAAAAAGTGACGTGAAGTGTCAAGGCGGTCCGGATTGAATGCTGTAAAGATTTGTTTGATATAAACTAAATTTGGGTGTGGCTTTAACTATTAATTAAAATCAATAAAATAATAACAAGTACTTAACGACAGCCTACCACCAAACAACTCGACACTATGAGGACCACTTGAATGATTTGGAATATGTCAGTAAAGCCAGCATAGTGATAGGTTATATCTTGAGTTTTTACCAATTTGATGGATTTTTGGCGATAACAGCACTAAAATGATGAGTTCCAAGTTGTGAACAATGTCCCGATTAGCCGACTACTTCGTAATTGTCGGCTATGATCACGAAAAAGAGCGTAAGTCACCAAAAACAAAGCAGTGAACTGTGTAGAAAGTGATTCCTGTTTGTTTATAGGAAGTGGTATCAGCAGTGGAATAATTCTACAAAGGTTTCCAGAGAAGGATTGGCCAGAAACACCTTTCATTGAAGGAATAGAATGGGTATGTTCCTTCTTCATTTAGCTTTCTTCTAAAGAAATACCATAAACTATAAAGAAATGAATGTCATGCATGGTTTAGCACTTATTATAGAAACAGCCAGAGCCAAAATTGCTATGTTAATAACTGAGCTGTTCTAACTAGAACAATCTTATCTAACTTGATCTGTTCATTCTATTATGTTTATATGAAAACTTGAATTCAATATGGATATGTAAAATATATGAATATAAATTCATTATATGATGAAATTGATATCTACCCTACATCTTCTGGCAAAAAAACTCTAAAAATAGCCAGGTAGAAAAAAAAGGTTCCAACATGAAGAATTGAGCTTAAATACATTTTATATTGTTTTAAGGTTTTTGTTGACTATGTTATTAGATAGATATTCTTATTTTTTTGAAGGTTACATTCTTAAAACTAAACTAAAACAATTACATAAGTGGGTCTTAAGAAGGTGAATTTTAGAACTGACACATGGTATAATATCGGTTATATATTAGACAGTTTTCAAGTTTAAGGCTGAATATCTTTATATTATTAATTTTTTTTTTGATAGCATCAAGGACACAGAAGTAAATTTTTAGAGCAAATTATTGAGTCTTTCACAAGCATTGATATTCTACTTATTTAGGATCTTGTTTTCATCTAATATAGTATCTTATTTTTAAAATTAAAAGTGATATGACAGCAATTATTTTGAGCTTTAGAAATAAAGGCCAGCATGTAGCTGTAGGATTGCTTTTAATTATATACCTATCTAAAAGTTTGGTGTTGAAGAATAAGCTCTTTTTTAAATAATTTTAGGAGCATACAAAAGATATTTGTCTACCTTAAGAATACTATTACATCCTTTAGTTTATTGAGTAATGAAAAATTGAAACCTATTAAAAAAAATGATTTTTTTCTGAAATATCTCTTTTCTCCTTGTAAAAATGATAAAAAACAACAGTAATCTAACTCAGAGATGCTTAGCTCCTCTGTTAATATCAATTACTGTTTATATTTAAAAAAAAATTAGCCTGATTGTTTGGAAGACAAAAATGGCTGTTACTGACAAATAAAAATATGTATTATAGCAGCAGTAAGAAATGTTTCAATCATTCTTTGATTCTATTTTCTGTTTTTTTTTTTCAGTTTTGTCAACCTCAAGGATGGGCATTATCCACAGAAAGGCAAGAACCAAAGTTTTTTGTGTCTGTTTTAACAGACATCGACGCAAACCGCCATTACTGTGCTTGTCTCTGTTTCAATGAAACTGTTTCCATAACACCTAGTAAGCCGGTAGATGAGGTAGGAATATGCAAAGTTACTGAATTTATGTTATTTTTGTTACCTTCTGTATAATCTAAAAACATCTCTGTAATTGCATGCTGTTATATTTCTTCATGTTGAAATAAAGTTGTACTGTCTTATAAAGTCCTTTTAACTGCTTGGTTTCATATTGTTTCTGGACTTTGAAATAAATACTCTTTATAATATCAGAATATCCCCGTAATAACATGCTTTAATAGGAAGAAGATGCAGTTGAAGGAGAGACCCCATTAGTTAGGCCTGTTCCAGCTATTTCACATCACAGCATCATGTATGCACCAAAATGTCTGGTTTTGGTCTCAAGGCTGGATTATATTGAAACATTTAGAGTAAGTTGATTACATTAAAACCAGTTTTCTATAGAATACAATAGATTGTAATGTGGACTCTATTGAGATGACATAGAATTAGACTTGAGTATTAGCATTAAATTAAATTCAAATTAGATTTACTGCCGACTAAATCAAAAACTTTAAAACATAGATATCCACAGAGGTGACAAAACAGTATCATTATATTAGACATAAAAGATAAAGTAAAATTGAGATCCAAGACAAAAGCATGACAAACCTTTAAGAAATTTCAGATTAAACATGTTAACAAATTGGGTGCACTTTTAATGTTGTCTGGTAGCTGGTAGTTATATGCTTTCTTAAAATATGCGGAAAAATGGGGAAGTACGCTTAAGCTACCTTTTCCACTGGGCATTTTATCTGCACAGTGACTATAACTATAGAGAGGTATATAGACAGTTATAAAATAAAAATTGAATAGCATAAATACGCTCCAAAGCAGTGATAAATGGAATTGTTTTTTATTTTTCAGAATTGTCTTGGGATCATATATTCTGTCTATATTGAGAATATGCCAGTGCCATTAGAAACGCTAGTTGGGAATATTTTGGGTTGTGTACAAGTGCCGCCACCTGGTGGACCTCAGGTAAATCCTTTTATGAAATAGCAAATGTATCAATTTATTCAAAGTAATCATAACATTTTATGAACTGATGACAGCAGTGCATAGGAATTGCACACTCAACTCACTCGACGATGCTTTTACTATTTGTTGTGTACGCAATAATAATTGTTCTATTCTAGTTTTAGTTCGTACATGAAGTTTATCTGAACGTCATCTTTGCTTTATATATTGAATAAATATGTGCTTTTTGTAGGTGCGTTTCAGCATAGGCGCTGGCGATCGTCAAGCCCTTCAGCCTCCATTGTCCCCTTCTTTACCCGTCACGCACGCCGCTGTCGCGCTTCTCTTCCACCAATTAGGCATCCGGAACGTTCTGTCGCTGTTCAGTGCCGTCGTCACCGAGCACAAGATCCTTTTCCATTCCAAAAGCTACAACAGGCTTACGGAAGCGTGTCGAGCGCTCACCGCGCTCATGTACCCTTTCAGGTAAATTAGAGACAAACAAATTCACTTTTGACACGTACCTATTTTGTTTCAATAGCCTAGTCGACACTTTTTTTTAGTATGTCTTAAATGGTTAATATTTGTTGTACGTATTAGACCAAAACAATCAGTACTATATTTTTTTAGACCTTAAAGACAATAAAACTTCATGGCTGACATACGGATGACGTTTCTTTGTTTACATTTTCTATAAATTTATATACAGGGTCCGGTACAAAGATTGGACGGTTTTCAAAAATCTCAAAATCGTAAAAATTTATTGACGGATTCGGGTTCGCAATGAAATAGCGTTTGTCACAATTAAGCGTGAAAAATCACATCAGTCATGTGACTGTCTTCAACTCGTCCAGAGTTTGGGCTTGACGTGTCCCCTTAGGAGAAAAATGCAGATGGATAAATCTGGAGGCCAATGAACATCACCAAATCTGAAAATAAGGCCCCGAATAGGCGGAGAGTACTAGCCATTTCGAAAACATCCGTCCTTTGTACCGGATCCTGTATTTCGTTTTTCTAAGCGAAATACTGTCAGAAATGTCCGTTTATTGTACGACATTAGTTATGAGTCGAGTAGCTTATTGATTCATGAATATACAGGGGTAAATACCATGAAATAAAAATTACACAAATCAAAATGGAGTTTTTTAATTTCTGCAAGTAAACTTTATAAAGTTTTGAAAAGATAACATAGTAATAGAGTACTATTTGCAGGTATACACATGTGTATATTCCATTACTGCCAGCACCTCTAGTCGAAGTTCTCTCTACTCCAACTCCTTTTATTATGGGAGTCCATTCCTCTTTAAGATCTGAAGTTTCTGAATTGGTGAGTATCGCTTTTTAAGAGTAGATTTTGAAAATTAAATCTCTCGTTAGCAGCGTATGTGATGTCACCTTACAATAGCATTGTTGAAAAAGGTCAACATCAGTGGCGACGCGTGACTTTTCCTAAACCGTTACCAAAACCAGATGTAATCTTATTAAAAAAAGTTTATTTTGAACATCCCAAATATAAATATTTGTTTATTTTAGGTATTTTATTCAAACTATTTCTAAATTATGCTATGACTAATCCAAGCCGTCCGAAAAAACAGTCGACGTTTCTAGATCTTCAGAAAATTTTTGATCTTTTTGGCAAGAAATGTTAACAATTCCCTGTAATTTTCTCTATTGTCTGAGTCATCCATTTAAAAATAAACGGTAATTCCTGTTTTGCCAAAAAACATGCGGTATCTAGAAGTGTGCTGCCTAAAAGCTTGGTTAAGATATCTTTCGATTCTTGTTTTGCCAAACTGTATTAAATTGGCTACACATCTCACATGTAACAGAGAAACTTCATGTCTCCTTTTTAGAGCCCTAAAACTATTTAAATCGTTGACTTCGCTGCTGGTCCACGCATTTTTTTCTGAAGCGAAGTGAAGAGTAACCAAATCAAAAAATGGTAATAACACAGTACTTAGTCATAAAATATTTGTTTTTAAGATTTTTAACTGTTACCAATGGTAACAATCGTTAGATGGACGCTTCGCCACTGGTCAACAAAGGAGCAATTTTTGATGCGCCATGCGTTATAACAACGTTTTTGAGCGTCCCCGTATCTGTATTACGTCTCTTTATGATAATTTGTAGATGGATGTGATCGTCGCCGACCTGGACGGCGGCAGCCTGACAGTCCCAGACGGCGTGAACGTCCCGTTGTTACCTGAACCTTTACTCACCGCGACCCGCGAGGCTTTGAGCCTCGTCTTGCAGCCCGAGTTGGCGTGCGCGGATGCCGCTTTTCCGCCTTTGGCCACCCGGGCGCCCCAGCCGCACATGCTCGACAAGGAGATACGCGCGGTGTTTATGCGCGCGTTCGCGCATCTGCTTCAAGGATACCGCAGCTGCTTGACGCTCATCAGGATACATCCGAAGCCAGTCATCACATTTCACAAGGTAAACTGTTAATTATTTTCATTTCCGGTACTCTTTTATAAATCATTCGTAGATTCGAAATTGTTGCATGGGAAATGCGGAGTATCAACCTACTTAACGACATTTTTGCTAAAAAAAGATTTATTATGTGGGTGATAAGAAAGAAAGTTATAGGAATATTTACTTTGATTGAATGCAAATACAAGACGCATAGCCTGTGCTTTACACTACGTTCCTACGCGGGCTGAGGCTACAAACCAAAGTGACTAAACGATAATTTGATTCCCTGATATCTTTTCCGTTCGTTGTTCGCAGGCTGCGTTTTTGGGGGAACGCAACTTGAAAGATTGCGACTTTACGACTCGCGTGTTAGACTGCATGTTTTTCACGTCTTTTGTCGGCGAAAGAGGTCCTCCTTGGAGGCCTTGCGACGTCTGGGACGAGCTGTACAGCGGATTGGTCGAACAGCTTAGGAAAGAGCATCAGGATCGAAGATTGTTGCTTGTGCATATACAGGAGTTGGCCGCACAACTGTACACGTAAGCGTTTTGCAAGGATTCTTATAAAATGATGTTACAACCTGCACTGAATAATATTTTGTCTAGTTGTTTCGCAAAGTCATCGAAATATATTTGTTTTTTAAAATGGTATATAATAATGAGAATTTGTTGTTGTAGGAACGAGACTCCGAACCCGCAGTCGTACGCTCAGAAGATCCTGGTGCCGCCAGAGGGCGCCTTTGCTCGTATTCACCAACCGCCTTTGCCAAAGATCGATTCTGTCAAAGTGCAACAAATCATCGACGAAGGATCGCAACAGAACAACATCAAATCTAGGTATTTACATACGAATGTTTATCAAATATCAATCATAAATCGCACTCTATACTTGATTAGAAATGTTTAGCTCATATCTTGTTTAAATCATAAAATCTTAAATATTGTATCGGTATCACGTATTTGATAGAATGTATTTAATCGGTCATATTCAAAACTAAATGTGTTTCTTTTTGTAATAAGCAATGGTGACTACGCCTGGTAAGTTTCATGTTCTTTGTAATGTTGATGTTGCTTATTTGGCTGTTTGTAATTACGTGGACACATCTTTATCTATCTATACATATGTATGCTTGCATATTGCTTGGTGTAATTTATCGATATGTAATATCTGCTAGATCGTAATGTTGACTGTATCACCATTACATTTCTATGTTTTTTACGCATTATGATCTCCTGAGCTGCTGTAAGCTATATATACCACTTAAACATTCAAGGATTTTTGTCACACCTCTTCAGTGCTTTACGAAGCCGTCTACTTGTTCCCTGGCTGTCAGTACTTCCACTCGTGCCATTTGAACTCTCCATGGTTAAGTATAACCAAAACAGTAACCACAGAAACCAGAACAATAACAATCACACAACAATTCTTATAAAAACACACAATATGCGATCGCTCAACGAAACACGTTCCAATGCGTTGCCGACGCCTATGAGTCTGCCGGTCGAGGCGCGTCTTTGATTTCATTGGTTCCACCGGCGGAGAACAATCAGCCATTATTTCCATCTCTGTCTGTGCTGTTGACCACCGCAAAGCCACAGAAACGACATATGTCGTACGCTATACGGCTGTACTGGAAGGAAGCCGGGATCGAGCTCTGATCACGTGTTGATCACGCGTATGAGTCGTTACGGTTTTAAATAGTTGTATTCTCGTGTGCCAAAAGTTCAAAATTCTCAGCCGTATACAAATATGCGACCGATTAATGTCTTGCTCTTCGAACGGATAATATACAAACAAATCATAAAATTCATTGAAGAAACCAAAAATTTGACAAAAAATCAATCTGTATTTAGGAAAAAATGTTCCACAGAAACGGCAATCCAAATGGTGGTGGAAGACTGGAGAAGAAGTATAGATGAGAAAGAATATATTGTAACAATATTTTTAGACTTCAAAAGGGCATTTGAGACTATAAATAGGGAAAAATTGTTAACGAAATTGCGTCACTATGGCTTTAAACGATCAGTATTGCACATTTTATAAAATTATTTAGTAAATAGAAGTCAAAAAACTAAAGTTAGAAATATTATGTCAAGTGTTCAAAATATATCAGTAGGGGTGCCACAGGGGAGTAAATTAGGGCCGTTACTATTTATTATTTATATAAATGATATCTCTGACATTTTTTAGAACACTGCAAAATTCAAATATTTGCGGACGATACACTTATATATATATATAGCACATAAGCATTTGGACACTGATATCGCTTTCTTACTTTTTTTTTGTAAGAACGAAAACCATTTGATCGATATTTTTAGTTTAAAAGCTGATCGTTTTTTGTAATCAATTCGTTTATCCTATTTTCTGTGTCACTTAATACAATCTCCTTCATTATTGTAACTACAATGAATAACCCAGCCATCCACGTTCTTCATACTCTATGCACACGATAATGTTGAAAACACTTTCAACGAATTTATTTCCTAAAAGTCATAATTTTTTTTCAAGGTTAGCCTCTTTACGGCCAATCCAGCCTAGGATCGTGCCGATGGGTCCTAACATTTCAAACTTGAACGAAAATAAAAATATCGTCAGTAACTCAGCGAGGAGGTTGGAAGTAAGTTGTTCTTTCTTTATTCTAAAATACAAAGTAATCATTCACAAAATGTATATTGACCCGTACCGTTTTTTTTCTGATTCCTGGATAAACCAAATAATAATCATTACAATTTTTTTATTTAGGTGTTGCGTAACTGCGTGAACTGCATCTTCGAAAATAAGATCAGCGACGCTCGCAAAACCTTCCCTGCCGTTCTTAGGGCGTTGCAATCGAAACAGGCTCGCTTGGCGTTGTGCCAGGAATTGGCGCACCATGTCAGCGGCACAAAAGCGATGTTGGAACACCAACAGTTCGATCTGGTCGTACGGCTTATGAATTGCGCATTACAGGTACGTACTTCGACACAAGTCTTTACGGTCCGACGTTCGAAGATCGGACCAAATCGCGGGACGACAAAAGGAATGCAATAAATTTCGGGTACGAGAGATGTTTTTTAAGTTTAGTAGGCCGCGCGGATCGAACGTCAGTACTGAATCTTAACGTCACTCTTTAGTAAACTTGAATTCAAAGTTTCACAACAATACGTGCAGTGTTCTCACTAAAGTGAATTTTTAAGTGTCTCACATCTGGCAATAATAATCAAGATTCCTTTCGAAAACAACGTAAATGAAGGCAGGTTATGCCTAGCAGAGTTTGCTAATCAACAGGAGGTTTTAGTCTCGATTGGAAGTTTATTTTCAACTTTTTGATAATTTAGCGATATTTATTCGTTTGTTGAATTTTCTTTTTTACCTAGGACGATTCGTCGATGGATGAACACGGCGTGGCTGCAGCTCTATTGCCGTTGGCTACAATTTTCTGCAGGAAGCTATGTACGGGCATTATCCAATTTGCGTATACCTGCATTCAGGAGCATCCTGTATGGCAAAACCAACAGTTTTGGGAGGCCGCTTTTTATCACGATGTGCAAAAGGATATTAAAGTAACTAGACTTGACAGTATTACTCCTATTTTTTTATAGTGATGCAACCTCATAGGCAGAAATTTAAATAGCTAGACAAACGCGAGTGCAATAATAATTTTTGAGCTGCTCAAGGTCAGTCTTCTTAAAAAGATGCTTTTGAGCGCGTTCTGGTCCAGCTCTATTTAATAATGATCAAAGTAATCGACGGCTGTCGAGATTCCACGAGACTTTTGCCAGTTATGCTGACCTAAGGCATCTAAAAAATCCGAGGTGTCTTCAAACGCCTCAAAACACCTGGTTCGTTATTTGAGTTTCTGTCTAAACGGCTGAATCAATATAGCAAAATGTAGATGTTTCATGATGTTTTTTAAAGGCCTTATATGCATCGCGAACGGATAATCTGTCATCTAAAGGAAGTGGAGAAATGTTGAGCCCCACATCGCCGAGAGATAGCAAGGATATCAGTACTTGGCACAGGTAAGATAACTTTGAGTTCATTTATTTTGATTATAGGTTATTTCTATTTTTTTTTTCGATATAGAAAGTGAAATATTACAATTTTATAAAAACTAAGTTTAGCTGTCTTTTTCCGACTGAAAAGAATATAGTATACTCAGTGAAATTAGAAGTGTTACACCCACAAAAAAAATTCTTCAACTCGATTTTTTGGCTTTGAGGATAACATTCTCACGAACTATTGACGAGTAATAAGAGAAAAATATAATAATGTGTTGGGTTGTGTAAGGTTTAGTATGGAAGGACAAAAAACATTTTACATGCATCCCTACATTGCACTTAGAGCAGCTTGTTTTTGCTCTATCATGACATAAGCCACATCTAGTTGGCTTTTCTTGTGGTATCACAAAATGATCTAAACGATCATAACGAATATCTATATATTCATTAGCCGAAGGACGTCCTCTAGAAAAAGATGGCGGTTTCTTGTTTTGTTGTAACAAGGCTGTGGCAAGTCGTCGTCTAAATAATAATTGATCCATACGTCCTCCGTGCGATCTATAAAGTTGCCAGGAATTATGAACAGCCATATCAATACAGTGGCTGATCAATGAAAAATACCACTTTTTACCCTGGATGGAAGTGCGATACCGACCAATATTTTGATCACAACGATCAACGCCGCTCATATTTGCGTTGTATACATTTACAAGATGAGGCTGTTCTACCTAAAATCAAAAGCATTTTTGAAAACATTGATTTTCTTGCAGATTGTGTTTATTACCTGAATACTTTTTTTGTCCTTTTGAGAGTATCGCTTTACAAAGAGAATTGGTTGCAATCCTGGGGCATTTGAACAGAGTGTTACTAAATTATTGTCATGCCATTTCACTGCAATTATATTTGTATCGGAAATTTTGTTATAATCGTAACTACCTCTTTTTTCGCTTTTCATAATTTTAGAATCTCTGAATTGGACGCCTTGTAAACGATTTTCTCTAGCAGTACCAGTCGCAAAGAAATTTTTTCTGTCAATTTTACCATAAGAGGGAGAGAAGTGAAAAAATTGTCGAAAACTAAATGAAATTTTTCATTTGGCCATTTTCTCCTCAGTGCATCAGAATATTCTAATACCACACCAGCAAATCAAACTAACATTAATTTCTCATGTAGATTCACACCCTTAAATATTCGCATATCATTAAGGAACACCCTGTATAGTTATTATGCTGTTTTCTGGGTGTAACACGTCTAACATCACATAGAACTCTATATTTAAGACCTTCTTAACGGGGTGTCAACTAGCCTGTTATCTGCAAACACTCGCACTTTTCAAAAATAACACTAAAACCCGAATTTAATGACATAACTGTCAAAAAATGAACTAACGTCTAATGTACTCGGGGCAAATTACGAGACAAACCAATGCTTGACTGACTCCTTCCACCCTAATCTGAATTCGTCGGATCGAACGGACGAAAGCAGCATACGTTTTACGACCGTACATTTCTTTTTTTTTTTTGTCGATCAGACGTTCGGGCGGCATGGTGGGTTGCGGCGTCCTGAGCCGCGTCCATCAGGAAGCGACCGCTCTCGAGATCGCGGCCGAGCAAATGCGCATCTGGAACGCGGTGGACCCGGAGAAACAGAAAGAACTGATCACGTGCGAGGAGAACACGATGTACAGCCAGGCGATACATTACGCGAACAGGATGGTCTATTTGCTTATACCGTTGGATGCTAGCATACACCATGGACACCACGGCCATCGAAGGCACAGCAAACAGGATCTGTTCGACGAGGAAAGGGCCAGCAATAGCATCGCAAATAGGTCAGTCGATTTATAGAGGGAAAACATTTATTCGCATTTTTTTTTGTAAAATTGTAATAGCCGTGTGATGGACATGATTATGAACGTGAAATTTAGAGAAAATATAGAAGTATGAGGAAAAATAAAAGTGGTGAGGTGATGAAATTTTGACGCTGCTCAGAAACATTGAATACAATTTTTTACTTTTAGTTACAATAAAACATATACCTGCACTTACTAAATATTGTACCTAAACAGTGTGCCGTCAACAAAATATATACAAAACTTCGCTGTTTGTACTGTTTTAAAGATCATTGAAGGTGAGATTTGTTTTCCAGTGTTGCGGAAAGTGATAGCGCCGACGCCGAATCAGGTTTTGAAGAGCAAGATACAACTGAGACTGGAGCTGCCGTCGTTAGAACAGTTTCCAGGTTTATTGATAAGGTAATAATTTCGTAACGTAACGTTTTTTTTTTGTAATAGTATAGGAATACGTGGATGTGTCAACTTATGCCTAACTTCTTTTTTGGTGAAACGATGATTTTTTTGTCAAAGTTGGTGAGGTAAGATTTAATGAATTTAACATCTCAACTCAATGACTATTATTGTAGTCGCTACTTTAGATTGCGTGATATTTAAAATTGTCCAAGGACAAGATATACACGATGTACGGTTCTGTTACAGGTTTGTACCGAAGGTGGAGTAACGAGGGACCATGTACGTAACTTGCATCAGATGATTCCTGGCGTGGTGCATATGCACATTGAAACTTTGGAGGCGGTTCACAGAGAGAGCAAACGACTGCCTCCTATACAGAAGCCAAAGATACTCACTCCTAATATGATCGTCGGAGAAGAAACGATCATGGAAGGTGAGTCGTCCAACATACTCTCTACCATCATTGTTAGTTCAATAGTCAAATCATTATATAAGAAGTTGAAACGGATTTTAAGCGCAGCTGGAACCGTAAACTGTTTTCGAATATATGAGTGGTTCGTTTCAGTTTTTGTGCGGGTATGTCGCCAATTCAGCATCTATGTCATTTGTAATACTAGATTTGGAATAATGTTATGATACTTGATCAATATTATATTTTATCGTCTGAATTACGTTTTTCTATTGATTGCAGGTTTGAGAGTGTACTTATTACCTGACGGCAGGGAAGAAAGCAACGCGGGACTTTTGGGTGGTCCGCCATTATTGCCGGCTGAAGGAGCCATCTTCCTTACCAACTACAGGATAATCTTCAAAGGAATACCGTGTGACTCTTTCGGTTAGTTTGTTTGCTGAAGATCTATTAATGCTACAAAATCAGATAATTCCCCAATAAGCTCCAACTCTTCTCAGATAGATGGCACTATAAAAAAATCGGCCTCAACACCACCAACTCTGTTCTTATACCAGGAGCAATTTCAATTCGATGAACTATACCGAGCGTATATATGGTTATTGGCGGTAGGAAGGTGGTGTTTAGCGGCGAGAGGTGTAGATACGTCGCTCATTTTTCAAAATAAATATAGCGGAAAAGATACGTTGAAAGTGCTGAATGTTAATAATGATTTGTCGTGATGTTCCAGCATGCGAGCAGGTGGTAGTCCGCTCGTTCCCGGTGACTTCGCTGACGAAAGAAAAGAGGGTAACCGTGCAGTATTTGGCGCATTTGGATCAGTGGCTGCAAGAAGGTTTACAGTTGCGCTCGTGCACATTCCAGTTGATGAAACTCGCGTTCGACGAGGAGGTCACCGCCGAGAATGTCGATACGCTCAGAAAACTGATACATAAAGGTAGGCGTAGCGATCGGTGTATTTTAGTGACTTTTTTCTTATAAACGATTTTCGTTCTAGTCCGGCATCCTCCTGACGTGTACCACCATTTCGCTTTCACCGGTCAAGTTGTCGTGAATCAAACGCCGTTGCACAAAACCAAAGAGAAGAACGCTACGTTGAGGGGATTCGCCAAGAAGACGTTGCTGAAAACTGCCAGGAAGGTCGGAGTCAAACAGGTAACATTCAATCTGTTCGTTTCGCTCACTTCACTTGTTCCATCTGTCTGTCCAGTAATTTTTGGAAAAAATACCGCTCAATATGTTGACACTAGGTTCAATGAACAAAGAAAATTATAAATTGCACAACCTTCGTTATAGATATACCTGCTCTTTTTTTAGATTTTTTTAGAGGTTATAATATTGGGGATGATGCAATATTAAGTTGAACATTTGTACAGGGTGGCCAAGTAAGAGTGCGAGGTTTGCGGCAAAAACAATTATTACTAAAACGGCAAATAAAAAAACCTGGAAAATATATAAAAAGTGATGTTTCTGTGAATTCCACTATAATATCTTAACAAAAAATACCTGATCTTCAAAGTCGAAAACAATTTGAACTTTTTTTTGCTTGAAAATTTATGCTGTACGAGGATGTCTTTTAAGTTTTGCATATAGAAATATAATAGGCCGCGCGGATCGTACGTCAGTACTGAATCTTGATCTCACTCTTTAGTAAACTTAAATTCAAAGTTTCACAACGATACGTGTCGTGTTCACCCTACAGTGAATTTTCAAGTGTCCCGTTGGTATGGAGAATCCAAACGTGGACGGGTGAGTCTTAGCGACGATCCCAGGGTGGGTGCACCAAAAACGGCAGTCACCCAGAAAAACGTCGATGCTGTGCGCAAATTCATCATTGAAGATAGACATTATTATTATTATTATTATTATTATTATGATAATTGAGATGAGCAGAGCAGTACTATAAGCTCATGCAGTAAATATAGTGTACGGACACGTAACACAAATACATCAAATAGAAAAAAATAAAAAAAAAAAACAGTTCATAGCTATAAAGATTGTACACTCCTCCAGCTATCATACTGCACTTTGACGCTATTAACTGAAGTAGCACCAACCACACTTTCAGGTAAACTATTCCAGGTGTTGAATATGCGGTTGGGAAGAAACCACTGTCGGACTGTTGTTTTAAATGGCTCCTTATGCAGTTTGAAGCTGTGTCCGCGTAGATTGCTGCGCGACAGACGGTATAGATGCATGAGGTTGGTGCCCATCAAACCATGAAGTATCCTGAACGTAACTATAAGATCGCCACGAAGTCTTCGCTCAGAGAATGAGGTCAGGTTGAATAATTCAAAGCGATCTTCATAGCTTGGTCTTCGTGCTCCAAAAGGGATACGAGTAGCCCGACACTGTACTGATTCGACGAGATTTCTATCGCGCAGAAGCACAGTGTCCCATACCGGGCCAGCGAATTCAAGAATTGGCCTCACGAATGCCTTGTAAATGTAGGCGCAAGTGCTGACATCGGATCCTTTGAAAGACCTCTCCAGCATGTATAGAAGTTTCTTGGCTTTTGATGTAACGTGGTGAATATGCTCTGACCATAGTGGCTGGAAACTGCTTGGATGTTATGGTCAGAGATCTTGTATGTAAATCGCGGATTTGTCTTCCCGAGGTAAAGGACACAACACTTAGTTAGATTTAACGGTAAAAGCCAACTGACTGACCATTGACAAATAATATCAAGATCTCGTTGAAGCATAGCAGAATTTACGACAGTATTGTAAATCTTGGTGTCGTCGGCATAAGCTGAACATGTGGAGGAAATCAATGCGGGCAGGTCACTTGTATACAGAAGGAACAGCACTGGCCCTAAGACAGAGCCTTGAGGAACTCCACTTGCTACATGATGAAGGTGAGACTGGCTATCACTGACGCGCACAGAGAAAGTCCTCCCGGTGAGAAAAGCCTTAATCCACAGTAACAACTCGCCTCTTATTCCCATACATTCCAACGTAAACAGAAGCCTTCTATGTGGTACGCGATCGAAAGCCCTACAAAAATCTAAGTAGATTATATCAACAGAAGTCTTTGTGTCCAGATACTGAGTCCAATCGTTAAGGGAGTGGAGAAGGTTGGTCATTATTGATCGACCAGGGAGAAATCCATGCTGATTCTTAGGGATAAGGTCATTTTCGAAAGCAAATGACTGGAGCTTATCTAATATGATTCTTTCAGCTATCGTAGAGGTTTGCGGCAATTATTACTAAAACGGCAAATAAAAAAACCTGGAAAACATATAAAAAGTGATGTTTCTGTGAATTCCACTATAATATTCTAACAAAAAATACCTGATCTTCAAAGTCGAAAACAATGTGAACTTTTTTTTGCTTGAAAATTTTTGCTGTACGAGGATGTCTTTTTAGTTTTGCATATAGAAACATATAGGCCGCGCGGATCGTACGTCAGTACTGAATCTTGATCTCACTCTTTAGTAAACTTAAATTCAAAGTTTCACAACGATACGTGCAGTGTTCTCACTACAGTGAATTTTCAAGTGTTACCGAGGCATTAGAAAAATGGAAGTCAACCGAGAACATTTTCGCGCCATAATTTATTACAACTTTCAGAGACAATTATCGCAACAAGAATGCCTTGGTGTGATTTCTTTTCATGAAAGAGTAGCTAAATGATGTTTTAACAAGCACGCGAAAATCTTATCTCGATATCTTGTTCTTTACCTAAAACTGAGGCGAAAGAAAATTTTATACGGAAATCCCTTAAATTTCTATTTTTTGAACTAATTTTTCTGGAATTTCTTTTTATTATTAAGTTGTGGCCCTATCGATTTAAAAAATAAAGGTTTTTAATGTCCCCTTAAATGCTCGAACGTATTGCATTACGAATCCGGTTTCTTCTTCTCTGGTTGTAGGTTGAGTCTGAAACACGATGTCCTTTAACCGTCCCTCTGAATAAAAATCAAGACAAGTTAAGCAAAGCGATATTTTTGTTATTGCAGAAATCATCGTCAAAACGGCAGAAATACGTCCTTCCGAACATCAGTCTGGGCGGTGGCGGCGTCGGCAACAAGTACATGACATCTCCGGGAAGGATGAGTTTGCCGGCGAATGCGGTGATAGACGGTTTCGATCACCATGACGACGACCTATCGGTGGACGATTTCGAAACTGCCACCGGCGGCGCCCCTTCGTTGCCGCTCGGGGGACAGCCAACCACTGATGCGAAGACGCTTGAAAGGTACGCGCGAACGCGGCCCGCATACGCTTTTATACAAATCAAGAAAATTATAAGTGAAAACCTATTTTCGATTGCCATGTATGCTATTTTCACATTACTCACATTTTAGTTGCCCTTTTTTGCGAATTTTTCTAGAGGCTTCTTCTTTGTAAATAATAATAACTTGAATGATTCAACTACTTCAATTATTTATCATTAATCATGAGCCTAATTGTATTGTCAACTGAATGTTTCTCTATAGACATACATTTTATTTATTTTCCCTATCGATAGTCTCAAATGCCCCTTTGAAATCAAAAAATACTGTTACTTTTGGCACAGGAGTGATGATGGAACACTTTAATTTTGATGAAAATTCACCATGTACTAAACAATGCTTTTTTTTGTTGTTGTTGAAGATTTATTTAGTATTAATGTCAATTTTGTATAATGATTCGATTACACATTTTTCTTCAATTCATTTTCTGTAATTTTACATTCTTGTTTATTAAAATTAAAATTACGTCACTATGCATTTTGATTATTCATAAAGTGATTCTTTAATTGCACCTTAAACATGTTTAAATGCGAACTCTGTTTAATATCATTATTCAATTTATTAATTTCAAATACTCCCTTTTGAAATATACATTTACTAATTATGTTAGTATTACAATTTTGCAGATGAAAATCTATACTGCCTCTAGTTTCGTAGTTATGATAATGATTATTTAATTTTGTTAACTTCTCTAAATGTGGTGGTATATAAATGAATTTTCAATTTGAATATGAAAACGAGAACTAAATAATATATGAAATTTTTTACATCCAACCACTGCAGTTCTTCTAACATAGACTTAATCCTAGCATATTTGTTTTTATTTAAAATGATTCTCATAGCTTTATTTTGTAGGATTTGTAGTTTTGAAAATATGTTTTCATTTGCTGTAAACAAGATGGTTGAACAATATAAAAAATGGGGAAGAATTATAGTGTTATACACAATTTATTTGGAATACATACTAAGATTATGGGAAACTCTATAGAAGTAATTAATCTTTTCCGATATTTTTGAAATAATGTATTCATAATGTTCGTGAAACAGTAGGTTACTATCCACATATATACCAAGATATTTAAATGACTCGACTACTTCAATTTTTTCATCATTAATCATGAGCCTAATTATTGTGTTGTCACCTAAATGTTTCCCTATTGACATACATTTTGTTTTATTAGTATTTAATTCAAGTTTATTGACATTTAACCAATTCATATTTTTTTCGAAATCATTATTTAACAGTTCTAAAGTAAAATGCTTATGTGCTATATATATATAAGTGTATCGTCCGCAAATATTTGAATTTTGCAGTGTTCTAAAATGTCAGAGATATCATTTATATAAATAATAAATAGTAACGGCACTAGTTTACTCCCATGTGGCACGCATACTGATATATTTTGAACACTTGACATAATATTTCCAACTTTAGTTTTTTGACTTCTATTTACTAAATAATTTTATAAAATGTGTAATACTGATCGTTTAAAGCCATAGTGACGCAATTTCATTAACAATTTTTCCCTATCTATAGTCTCAAATGCCCCTTTTAAGTCTAAAAATATTGTTACAATATATTCTTTCTCATCTATACTTCTTCTCCAGTCTTCCACCACCATTTGGATTGCCGTTTCTGTGGAACATTTTTTTCTAAATCCAGCTTGATTTTTTATCAAAATTTTGGTTTCTTCAATGAATTCTATGATTTGTCGCATATTTGTATACGGCTGAGAGTTTTGAACTTTTGGCACAGGACTAATGGTGGAACACTTTAATTTTGATGGGAATTCACCATGTACTAAACAATGATTCCCCAATAATAATAATTTCTCTCCAATTATATTGAAACAATCATTTAGAATATTTTTTGAGAGATTCTCATTTGGATTTTTATTAGATTTCAATTTTGAGATAGCTTTTCTTAGATAGTTGATGTTAATTGTCCTAAATTGCTTCATTGATGAATTCTGACATATTTGTAATGAACATAAGTTTGGATCACCGTCATCAATCGTCTTCGCTATTTGATTTACATTTTCTATAAAATAAGTGTTCACGCATTTTAGATAATTCAGTCTTTCTATTAGGAGAAACAATATTCTTTAATGTTTTCCATATCATTGTATTTTATTGCTATCGATTCACCAATAATAATAATTTCTCTCCAAGTATATTGAAACAATCATTTAAAATCTTTTTGAGAGATTCTCACTTGGATTCCTATCAGATTTGAGCTTTTCTTAGATTGAAAAAACTTTTAAGCTATTGGTTGTTCGGCAATTCTTGTAAATATCTTTTTAACTGTACTTTGCTGGTAAACAGTTGAAAAATTACACAAATATATAAAATAAGATATTATCACGTTTGTGACTTGGGGGGTTTGTTCTGCTCCTGGTAGAGTACACTAGCTTAGCTTTATCATTATGAATGATTGAATTATCCAGGCAATAAAGCATATTTATCTGTCTAGCTGTTCATAATCGTCGACTTTTTTTTATTCTGTTGATCTACGCATTTATATAGGTTACAAGAACGAAGTTACGTTCGCGATTGGCAGCGAATGGGCCTGTGCAATTCAAGCGGTTCACCAACTGGGAAACTCGCACCGGACCAATTCAGATTGACCACTGTCAACTCCATTTACATGATGTGCAGGAGGTAATCCAATTATTTAGAATCTATTTTTTTTTTTAATGATGCGACGCTTCGATCTCCGTTTATGATGATAGTTTCGGGTAAATTAAAAAAATAATTAAATTGCAGTTACCCTGCATTGCTGCTAGTCCCGGCCAGCGTTCCAGACGAGAGCATCCGTCGCTTTTGTCGGTGTTATCGACAGGGTCGAATACCGGCTGTCACCTGGCGACATCCACGCACAAAAGCCATGTTACTTAGAGGAGCTGGACATCATGGAAAAAGCGTCATGGGTAAGGTTAAAGCGTCTAATATTCGTGTCACAAATAACAATCTTAGCTTTTTATTTTACAAAAATCTGACAAATGCGTGCTCTCAATTTGAAATAACGAACGACCGAGCTTTCTACGCGAGTATGGTATATCTGAAGTCACTTGAAATAGCATAAAAGCCTTCGGTCGGCGCGTCCTTTGTAATTTCATGACGTATCATAGGCGTGCGGTGATTTATTTAGAACGATAATAATAATGTTTTTATATCACAATAAATGGATTTTACTATCTTCTTATTTTTTTGATTTGGGATAAAAAATACTTATATTGGGAGTTTAATTTATGTTGAGTGAAAGTTAAGAAATGGAAAAATTACAGAATTCCAACGTTTGACATAGGCAAATATTTACATAGCAGGTAGGTATATAAAAAGGTATATAAAGACTTACATTATAGGTATTTATATATCATCCTCGCCTTCGGAGCTGTCGCTAGGGTCATCTTGTAGAGGAATTACAACGGGATTTACAGGAGGCAAAACACAATATTCATTTTCTTTTTCAATAATATGCCTAGAACACTGCTTCTATAGGTCTGTGGCAGCAATATGAGATACTGCATCTCTTATTGTGGCCAATAGCGATTCACTTAATTGAGGGGTCTGATTATGTTTTCTTACTTTTTTTTAAAGCAGCCCAGACCAACTCAATCGGGTTAAAAATGCAGTAATAGGGAGGTAGACGTAATACTTCATGGCCATTTTGCTGAAGCAGATTGTCAACAACATAACTCTTTTTCAAATTTTTGTCTTTTAATAAGATCCAATAATATGGCTTTGGTTGATTTTTGTGGTATTTCCATTCCCTTATCCTTCATAAAATCAATAATGTCTTGTTTTTTTGTGCCTGTATTCGGAATTTTGTTTTTCTGTCGGGAATGGTATGGCGCATTGTCCATAATAATCACTGAATTTGGGGAAATGTTTGGTATTAACTGTTGCTCTATCCACTTTTCAAATAAGTCGGAGGTCATGTCCTCATGATAGTCGGCACATGATTCTTTGATATTTTTGGCAGATAACAGCAAGGCATTAGGTATAAATCCATTTTCACTGCCAGCATGGAGAATAATGATTCGTTTTCCACGGTTGCATGGTGAATTTAAAATGCACTTGTTGCTGTCGTCAACCCAGCCGTACTGCACAACATCATGGGTATCATACCACGTTTCATCCAGGTAAATCAGATTTCTTTTCTGCTCTCTATAGATTTTAACTTTGTGCAAACATTCTTGGCGCAATTCAACGATTCGAGACGACTCCATAATCACCATTCTTTTATCTAATTTTTTGTATTGAAAACCACACAGTTTTACAATACAGTACAGTGAGTCTAAGCATTTGTAATTATAAAAATCTTAAGGATAATCTTTTAATTTATCCCGTATCATTTCCAACGTGGGCACCAAATTTTCTTTATAAAATCCGTATATTATACGACGAATATCTTCTTGAAAACCCACGTCTATTCTTTTTAATTTTTGTCCTATGCGCTTTCTGTGGAAGGAATGGTTGACTACATCTCCCCTTTTTATAACCCGATAAATGGTACACCGGCTGATTTTTGTCAGGATACAAATTCTGTTTAAAATTTGATTTTGCGAGGAATCTTAATTTTCGTTTTTCAAACAATCATACATATTTAGGATTACTCTTTGGGTCTGTTCCTCTAAATCTTTATGAAAGAATTCTGCCTGCACAGATTCATCAATCATCTCCACGTGGCTTGGAGCATTTTCCCAAGGTCTCCAAAGAGCCATATTTAGGACACACAAGAACAATCAACACAACAATTAAATCAACAAGTAAACTGAGTATTCAAAAGTCAAAAACACACAAACTAATAAAATCTATGAAAAAACACGGACAGACTAAATAAAACACGTTTATTCACCGCTACACGGCACTGGCTAAACTGTTTCAATTTTCAGTAGCCACCTGCACTTTTTCGGAGCTCTGAAATACACGCTTTCTCATTGGCTATGTCCACGCATAGGCGTGCTTTACTCCACGTGGACCGGTGAAACTGCCTTTGATCTTATACGGGGGATATTTGCTGCGAAATTTGGCGATTTTTGCAGCAACAGAGCGTGTTAAATATAGATATATAAAACGCACCCGGTATTTCACAGTGTTTCAAGTGACTTCAGATAAAGTATACTACCGTATCTTGTTCCGAATTGTATGAGCCAGGAGCGCACCCATTTCGACATGATCGTTCATTTCCGTTCTTAAGTGCGTCGATTTTATTTTTTGTTTTCCTTATTTGCGCAGGTATGCTGAAGAGCAGCGGTGGCGGTGCCGGTCCAGACGTGGCACAATCGCATCACAACTATCAACAACAGCAACAGGTGCAACAGCAGGCTTATCAGCAACATCAACATGGCGGAGGTCATCAACATTCCACTTCTGGATCGAGCATCGTAGGACCGACGTCCACTTCTTCCACCGAACAAGAAAAGTACCTGTACGCTCTGGTAACACACGTTCATTTACCGCTTTTTTATCCATCATATTATAGAGAGAAATAGTTGGAGATTTTAAAAATGAGCATCGAAGTTACTTTTTGTTGATCCTTGGGTGTAATGGAGGTGGGAATTTAAACAAATGTCATACTTTGTTTTTCGGACTTTTTTTAAATTATGTTTGTATCAATCATACCGATAAATTGATAGAAATCTAAGCCAGTTTATTTTTAACACCAACGAAGCTTATGCTTTAACGATTCATTTGTAGGTGCGTGCGACGATGTCGGCCGGAAGCGGTGGCGGTGGGGGTGGTAGTCACGGTCGCGGAGGCGGCGCATGGGGCGGTGGAATGTCCGACAGCAGCCTCAGCATCGACTCTTTGCTATTGGCTGCCGAAGACACGTTGCTGATGGCCGCTGCCTCTGCCCCGCCACCGAGAACGCCGGAACTGGCCAGAGGTGGGGCCAATGCGTTCAATAAGGCCATCGGGACATTAGGGTGAGTTGAGAATGGCATATTTTTAAGAGACAAAAGTGCGGTCGCGTCAGTATTAATTTATTATCAAATCAAATTTTTTTGATATAATAATAAACCGTCTTTTATTAGAAAAAACAAATTACAGATAATGCATATATTATTATCTATAATTAGATTAGTGAGCAGCTAATGGCGAAGTTTAGCTATGGCAACTATTCTTACACTTAACCATTAACTGCATAAGAATAATAGATGGTAAAAAAGTACAGCTGTAAAGAAAATAAATGGAGGAAAATGCCCATGTAACTGATTACACCCTAAATAAGAATCACTGGACAACAAATTTTAGTTTTTTAATTGTATCTTGTGGGAAAAGTGCACTTCTTTGTTAATTTTCGGGCGCTGAATCAAAAAATGACAATGAAATAAAAAAATTAGTTGCGGTTTAGAAAAAAAACTTTTAATTTTTAAGGATATATTAAAAAAGTAACAAGATTCATATACTTATAAGCATCACTATATGCGCTGTCTTTTTGCTGTTCTTTTATGGATCGTTTCTGAAGCATCTCTACCAAGAGTCGAACAGTAGTCTGCAAGCATGGAAGGATTCCACTTTCCCTGGTACCTTTTTTCCATTGTTGAAATATCCCGATGAAAACGTTCGCCGTGCTCATCACTTACGGCTCCGCAATTGTCAGGAAAAAAGTCCAGGTGTGAGTGTAGGAAATGTATCTTAAGAGACATATTACAGCCCATCTTTTGATACGATGACAGCATATTTTTGACAAGGGTTTTATAGTTGTCAGCTTATCTATTTCCCAAGAAATTAGTGACCACCAGACGGAAATCATTCCAAGCAGCTTTTCAATACCTGTTAAAGTGTTTTCAAACTGTGAATCTTTCAAAATATTTCGAATCTGTGGCCCAACAAAAATACCTTCTTTAACCTTTGCCTCACTTAGTCTTGGAAATTTCTGACGCAGGTATTGAAAAGCTGACCCATCTCTATCTAATGCCTTGACAAAGTTTTTCATTAGGCCCAACTTGATATGCAGTAGTGGTAATAAAATTTTTTTCGAATCTACTAATGGCATATGCTGTACATTTTTTGACCTGACTCTAGGAATTGACGAACAGGCCAGTTTTGTCTGGTGTAATGAAGTGCCTTTGCCCGACTGTCCCATTCACACAAAAAACAGCAAAACTTTGTGTAGCCTAGCTGCAGCCCAAGTAAAAGTGCAACAACTTTCAAATCGCCACAAATATGCCATTGGTGCTCATCGTATTTTATGCATGTGAATAGGTACTTCATATTGTCATATGATTCTTTCATGTGAACTGCATACCCTACAGGAAGAGATGGTAAAATATTTCCAATAACACTGCCTTTAAACTCAATATTGAACTGTCTATAAACAATCTCCATTCTTCTGGGTTATAGTTTATATTTAAAGCCGCCAGTAAGCCGTTAATGTTACTGGAGAAAACCAAGTTATTTTCCATATTGAAAAATGGTTCTAAGTCTTTGTGGCGTTTACGAAAAACACATACCGAAACATCGTCTTCTAACAAGTTCCACTGCTGCAGTCTTGATCCAAGTAACTCTGCCTTACATTTTGGAAGTTCTAAATCTCTTACAAGATCATTTAATTCTCACTGTGTTATTTTGTGCGGTTGGTGGCATGACGTGCTCGGTATAAAATCAGGATCTCTTGACGTTGATGGCATATCTTCTTCCTGACGAATCACTCGATCGCCATGATCTGATTCGTTTCCTGATTCGCAAGTGCAGGATTCTGGGGGTTTTGGAATAGGATTTTCGTCACTGTGAGGTCTCATCGCAGATGGTATGTTTGGGTAGTTAATAACAGATTTTTTTTTCTTGGACATACCTGTGGCTTGTCCAACACAAGGTACCATGCAAAAGTAACAATCATTAATATGATTTGTAGGCTCTCTCCAAACCATTGGGACAGCAAAGCGCATAGACCGTTTTTTGCCATTTAACCAGCTCCTCAGACTTGAAGCACATGTACGAGTATTACAGCAGATGTGGGGTGCCCACTGTTTGTCTTGATCACCTAGTTTACAACCGAAATAAAGCTGATATGCCTTTTTTATTAGTGGAGTAGTAGACCGTCTCTGAGACGCAAAAGTCACATCACCACACACGTAACAAAACTGATCTGGATTGTTTACACACCTTCGAGACATCTTGCATGAACGCTGTCAGCCAACTGAGGAAAAAATGGCTAATATAAAACAATATAATGTACACGTATGTATAACGTAACACAATCATGCCGATTACATCATCTTTCCTTGCCAATATAAAAATGTAGCACGTGCATTCTTGTGAATTACAGTATATTAACACTGTCACAGCAGGAACACATATAATTACCGTATCTCTAAAACTAATATTGAAAAAATAAGTTTCATTCCGGTTTTAGCACATTAAAAATAGTAATATTTTGTTGATTTTATTTAGGATATTTTTTGGCTGTTGATCAGTGAAATTAGCTTAAAAATATGCTGGAGAAAAACACCTTTAAGAATCACCATTGAGCAGAAGAGCTCTTAAGTGTTTTTTAAAACTATACAGCGGCAGGCTTTTTGTTCTGTAATCTAAGCTATTGTACAACATGTATGCATTGTATGAGAAGGACCTGTTAAAAACAGATGAACTATGAAGTGGCATTGTTAAAGCGAATGTGTTACGGATATGTCGTTGATGAACATTATACCTAAAAATTAGTTTTTCACGTAAATAAGTTGCAGTTCCAGAGACAAGTAACTTATGTATAAAGGTTAGATAGTTGTATTTAACTAAATCTGTCATCTTTAACCAACCTATTCAAGGATACCGATCCGAAACATGATCAAATTTTCTTAAACTAAATATGAATCGTACGCAGTTATTTTCTACTACAGATATTCTGTTACGACTTGCAACATCCAAACAAGGATGATAAACTAAATTGCAATAATTAAAAATAGATAACACAAAAGATTCACACAACTTTTTTCGCACTTTAAAATTCAGCAAATTTTTATTCGCATGAACTCATGAATTCACATCATTGGCAGAGTGGTTTGTTTCAAATTTAGTTATCACTTTCTCATTATACTTGGAGCAGTTTATGCATTTCAAAGTATTATTTGTACATTCTTTTAGACGGTGATTACCAGTACAGTTTGGACAAGCAACATCTAAATTACAGTTTTTCTCAATATGACCCAAACCACTGACTTGAAGCAACGAAAAACTCTGAGATGATCAGTACAGTGCACTTGCTCCATCCAACATATAAAAACCCACGAGAGAGCAGAGTACACCTTAACACTGGACATACTTCCAGAACCAAATTTGTTGACTCACGAACCTTCAACTGGGTGATAATTTTCAAGTCAGCAACATCCAGATCACCGAGGTCGTTGATCGACAGAATATTCTGCAATATCCTGTCGTTACTCCATTTTTCGAATAGCCTAACGTTACGAACAACTAACCTGGGATTCATTTCATGACTCATTTATTGTTGTAGAGTGTTTCCCCGATCATCGGGCGGCAAAGGTTTGAACAACACCGGTGGAAAGAACACGTTCGGCCGTTGGGGTTCCTTGAAGGACGGGCATCGAGGCGGCGGGCGGCATTCCCAATCGCAGGCCTCGTTGGTTGGCAGCGGCGGGGGCGGCGGCGGTGTTGCCGGGGGACATCGACAGACAGCCAGCAACGTCAGCGGGAACAGCAGGCATTCGCAAGCTGATGCAGCGACCGATGTCGCCGCCGGAAGTCAGGCTACGGTGCATACGTTGCAGAGGGCCGCGCTATACATATTAGGTAAATTATTGAATCGATCAAAAGTTAACTGCAAACATGTATATAAGTTTAAAAAAACACGTTTTAATAGCAAATCGGACAAAAAATTGAAAATACTTTTAAAATATAGAAGAATTTGAGTTACTGGAATAGAAAGTCCGACCATCAAGTATGACTAATTCATTTCGGATAAGATGAATATAAAAATTATTAACAAATAACTCGAATACAGAAAAAGCGCGGGGTGCTCCATATGAAATTAATTTTTTAGTCGCTATTTACAAAATTGGAGATATAATGAAAATTCAGTTAGTTTCACCCCACGCTCTTCTTAATATGATAATTTTTATATTGATCTTATTCCAAATTCCAGTAATAACTCTACCATACTTATTTGAATTTGCTATGCTAAAGTTTTTAATTTTTTTTTAACTATAATTTATGTCCAGAATTTTCAGTCTCAAAACGATTTTTGGTATATTTTATATTGGACAGTAAATCTAAATTTACTTCGTTTCTGTTTGTGTAATCTTTCCATTCCATATACAGGGTGTCCGCAAAGTTGGGGTTTTCCTTTACACGACGTGTGGATCTTGAAAACATAAGCAATTTTTCGTAGTACCATATACACCAATGTCTTAAGGGAACCGAGATAAAGGGCTCTGCAACATCAAAAATATCTGAATACCGTCCTGTAGCCGCGACCCGCGACATCACCGAGTGGTACAAGGTCACTGGCTCAACCCGACGACAGACCTGGGTCGGGGTCAGTGTGTCAGGTCAGTATGCAACCTTCAACCGACGGTTACGGTCACGCGTGTAGAGGTAATCGCGTAGACGAGACTCCCTCAACAAGCACTAGAGACGTGGCTAGAGAAGTGCAAGTATCAAAAACTAAAGTGTGGCAAACGCTGCGTGAAGAGGGGCTGTATCCGTTTCACGTCCAACGTGTACAAGCCCTTCAACCTGACGATTTTCCAGCAAGAGTGCGGTTTTGTGAGTGGTTGTTGCATCAACATGACAATAATCCGGACTTTTTGAAGTGCATATTGGTGACAGACGAATCTACATTCACGCGTAATGGGGTGAATAACTTTCGCAACACTCATGTTTGGTCAGTAGAAAATCCGCACGCTGTCCGTCGGGCACATTTTCAACAAACATTTTCGCTGAATGTTTGGGCTGGCATGGTGAACCTAGACCTAGACTTTTTACGCAACATTTTGCCTTCCTTGTTTGCCTGCGTCTGCTCGGTAGCGCATCAGCTGATTTCATCTTCTGTTGGAGCGGTATGATTTCGGGCAGAGACGTACTTAGCCCTTCTGGTCAACTGGAGGGTGAGTACTTTTTCCTTTATTTTTTTTTACTTGGTCGCCCTCGTTTCACTACACATTACCTTTGTTATTTCAAAGGTAGTTGTTTCTGAAAAGAAAAACCCCATCTTTGCGGACACCCTGTATAACGAATCAATTTCCAAACTTTGCATTTATTTTCCAAATGTTCAAATCCTGTTTACGAAATTAAATTAAACACTTGAATTCGACTTTTTTTCCAAGATTATTACGTTGTCATTGGCCCTCGACCTCTGTTCACATTTTCAAGTTAATTAGAATTTTAACATTTGATATAATAAGAAATTTTTTTAGAGACCAGCTCCGAAAAACGTTTTTATTTTCTCGAAAACTATTTGAGAAGGTATGTTTTTATCAGATAAATAAAAGGATCTTTTAAATAGAAAAAATCGGAGTCTGGGAAATTTGCGAAAAAAAAAACTGCCATATTTTATATCAGGGTGGGCGTAGTTTAATACTAAAATCTAAAAAACACTTGTTTATGTCATTTCAATTTCTTGCACCCTTTTATTTTTATCTTTCCGAAATTTACCAATTATTTTGCTGCAACATTTTTCTCAAAAAATGCTTGATAAGCTCCGGCAGATTCAATTGTCTTTTTTTTTATTTACTCATAAATATTCTTTGTAATATATTTTTCTACGATTATGGTTGTTTTTGATTGAACAGGAGAGAAGGCGCAGATGAAAGGGATCAAAATGGAGTCCGCGCCGAAGACTGATTTCATTCCTGTGGAATACTACGACGTTAGGCATACGAAGGCCGCATTTAAGAAACTGATGCGAGCGTGCATCCCGAGTTCGCCGACCGCCGAACCTGAACACACTTTCCATAAGTAAATTTAAATTATTTAAATGCTGAAATTTATAGATATTCATTTACGTTGCTCTATCGTTGCGATTCTAAACAATTCAATGTTGAACGTAAAATTTGAAGAAACAGTTAAAGTAGCAAGAAATGTATTAATAATGCAGAGTTTCTTGATAGGTTAATAGAAAATTCAGAGTGGCTGCAGCAGATCCAGAACATAATGCAGTTGTCTGGGGCCGTCGTGGACCTGTTGGACCTACAAGGTTCTTCTGTTGCTATTTGTTTAGAAGACGGTTGGGACGTGACGGCTCAGGTGGCTTCCATTGCTCAGATATGCCTAGATCCACATTACCGTACCATTGAAGGTATATATTTAATGTTAATTTCAATAAAAATAACAAACAACAAGAAAATCACGTAGATTTATGGCGATGTCTAGCCATGGGCTAGCGAGCTTACCCTATAAGAATTATAAAAAATAATTAGCATTAAAGACACATCTACGGACCAAGACGGTTCGATGTTGAGACATAGTGAAGGCCGACATGTAACTGACTGGTGTGTATCTTGAATATTTGTAAAATGAAACGAAATACGTCCATTTTTTTCATCTTTACCTTTTATTGAAATTTAGAGATTATGTATGAATAATAATAACAGACCAATGCCCGCTTCTAGAAGCCGCGCAAACCTGACCTTGCTGGCCAGTTGACATGACCATATAGCAAAATTAAACGTCACGGAAATATTGTTCGCAAAAAATTCATTGTTTCTCTAGCTGTGTGACAAGTTGCTCCGTTCTGCTGGAACCGCACGTTTTGTAGGTTAAATTGTTGGATTTGGGGAGCCAGAAACTTTTTCACCATGTCACGGTAGCGGTCGCCACAGACTGTAAGAGAATTACGAGGGATGTTGTTTAAGTTTTGCATATAGAAACATAGTAGGCCGCGCGGATCGAACGTCAGTACTGAATCTTAACCTCACTCTTCGATCTTATGAGTAATGTGATCGTATTTCTTCATCCCATAAACCAGTCTGCAGCAGTATATGAAATCGCAATAGCTGAAGTGACTCAAAACATGACGTTCTCTTCATTTTGAGATCGAGTATATGCCTGTTACTAACAGTTAGTTTCGGCGATACATAAGACTTACATAGTACCATAGTTTTTACAGGCAGCAGCGGTGGCCGCAGTAGTAGACTCTTCGTGCGCTATGCGGGTTCGAGTCCCGTCCCAGGAGAAATTTTTCTCTTGGCTATGGATGTTGTGATTGTCCGTAGGTGGTAGACGCTCTCTGACTGTCAAACGCGGAGGTACCACCCGGCGGATCTCGTAGGCGGAGCAACAAGCACACGTGTTCCCTCGCCAGAGTCCGTGTGGCGTTCCCCCTTTCCCATGTATGCCCCTATAGCCCCACGGTACCCAATGGGTGCTTAGGCCTTAGGCCTTCGTGGTAGTTGGAGTATAGAAAAAAAACATGCATTTTTTGCAGTATTATGTCTCGTATCTAGCATTAATTTGTTTTTGTGTTGAAACTCGTTAGGTTTCCGCGCGTTGGTCGAGAAAGAATGGATCGGCTTCGGGCATCGCTTCTCGCATCGCAGCAACTTGAACAGCACGTCGCAAGCGAGCGGTTTCGCGCCCACTTTTCTGCAGTTCCTCGACGTCCTCCACCAGATCCAGAAGCAGTACCCGATGGCTTTCGAATTCAACGACTACTATCTGCGCTTCCTCGCTTATCATTCCGTCTCTTGCCGATTCAGGACGTTCCTGTTCGATTGCGAACTGGAGCGGGTCGAAAGCGGCGTGGCCGCCGTTGAGGATAAACGAGGTACCTGTCATTCAAATCGAAACGGACCGTAGAACATTTCAGAGACTGACACTTTGTTTTACTTGCTTGTATGTAGGTTCGTTGACGTCTCACCACAAGAGCGTCGACACGGTTTCGGACGACGAAAACATCTATCCGGGCAGCGGAGGTAGCGGAGCCGGCAGCGGGCCGGGCGGAGGCGGTACCGGGGGCAGAGGAGGCTCCGCGGGCATGCAGGGAGGCAGTCTGGGGCAGAGCGTCTTCGATTATGTAGAGAAGCAACACGCCAGGACGCCGGCGTTCTTCAATTTTATGTACACGCCCGATTTTGAACAGCCGGTGCTGAGGCCACAATCACATTTAGCATGTCTCGAGGTAAATATATAGATATACAGATATATTCTCTGAAGTCTTACGCTTTCCAAGTGATCCAGCAATTGCACAGGCAAACTCAACAAGGGGGCAGGGCTCCTCAAAAAAAAAGGTTGAAGTGCATATCATTGTATAGGAGTAAAGCGCTACATTTTGTAACTCAGTTGGATCACTGGAAACGAATTCCGGACTGGTTCCCGGTGATTTTTCCGAATGAAACACTGTGCAGGTTTGGAACTATTACCTGGACGAAGAGCTGAGGTACGGTCCCGCGTACGACCCGGAAGTGGTGCAAATGGACGCTCAGCAAGAGGAAGAAACCGAAGCGGCGGACGGCGTGCACAGGACGAGAAAGATCGTCGCGAAAGGGTACGACAACATCCAACGGGCGGTACCTGACGCGTTCAGTCACTTGTTGGAGGAGGTGCATCGCTTGGAAACGGATCTCGGACATTTGCCGCAAAAATGGAAGGTGCTCTGGGACAAGCTGGAATTGCCGCTCACCGATTCGCTAACGGTATATTGTATACACATTTTTACAACTTGTTCGTTATTTTAAATCAATTTGAAATTTTTATTTCATATAGATTATGTTACTTATTAAGTAAATTCTTTTAGTGAAATTTCTTCTGAAAGTAGTACAAACTAATCTGATGTACCTATTAAAGTCTACTTTAAGCTTTAAATTAAAAAGCTGAACTGTCAGTACATGCGTCTGTTTCGTTTTCGATGCGCCACCCTGTATATATATTTCTTAGGAAAGGGGTGATACGAGGAGGCGGACAGGGGACGTAGATTAAAACCTTTATATATTAAGACATATAGTGCACAGGACCCTTGAATTTTGGAAGCTGGCTTGGCTGGCTGATTGGACATTCTACTTTTGTTAAAATCGGGTTCACTGATCTGTCATGCTCGTGTTTAAGAAATTTCTTCTGCACCTGATCCAGGCATGCTTGCCACACTGTCTCCCAAAGTATGTCATCTGGAATGCAGTAGGGGCACTGCCCAACTCTTTTACATATCTACCTAAGGTATCTTTCTAATTTAAGAATGCCACCCATTTTCGAGTTATAAAAATTGGTATATTGAATGCTTAAAAACTTAAAATTATAATTTTTGAGGTCGCCAAGAGTCTAAATTAGAGTTCATACCTTACCCCCAAAGAGTATTTTAAGTGTATCAACTTTCATAGTCGCTGATCGTTCTCCTCTATGTTGAGCACATGCACAGAGAAACTTTCAGGTTTCATAAAATAACGTAGATCTGACCTTTGCTGTCTCCCGGTCTACCATTATAGGTACGTACTCATTTGTTTATTTTCAGCGTCACGCGTCGTTCAGCACCGCGCTAGTTCGATCCCACGGCCGTTTGGTGCACAAACGCAGCACTTTGGAGATCCTGATGCGCGGCAAGATGGCCGGCGCGGCTGCAGCAGAATCGTCGACGCTCGTCTATTCGCACCCTCACCGATTCGACAGGTACAATTACACGACGCCCACGTATTGCGACCTCTGCGCTAATCTGCTATGGGGACCTGTCAAGGTAACGTTTCTTTGTTTCTTTAACATTTATTCAGCATGATTGCTACAATTACGTTCTTCTAAAAAACTAAACAATTACATAACATACAGAAATTCAGAAAAAAACTAAATTTGCATTTCTAAGAATTTGCATTGTCCATGAAATATTCCTTGAATTTTCTTTTAAATATCTTTAAATTACAAGTAGACATTATTTAGTTTATTGAATTCAAGTAATCCTTTCTGAAATATTGATTTGCTAGTTATATTACTATTGCAATTTTGTAAATGAAAATCTATATTCCCTATTGGATAATAATTATTCAATTCTATGTAGTGTTCTAAATGTTCTGGCAAAAGAGGATTTTTTATTTTAAAAATAACCAAATACAGAGTGTCCCAGAAGTCGACGTCAAGCCGAAACCGGGTGATAGGCAAAGTCATAACAGCTGTCAGAAAAATATTTAAAAAAATTTTATGTATGTGTTTTGAAAATTATAGGTCTTTGAAAAAAATATAGAAATTTCACACCCTACGACAGTCTGTCAACTTCTGTTACTACAAATATTAACTTTTTTGGATTTTATTTTTACAATGTAATGATGAATAATGCATCTTCAAACTGGTGTCTCAACCTTACTGCCAACTTTTCTCGTTCAGGAAAAATTGTCACTTATTTCCCAACCAAGTATTCCAAAGTAAAACTTTGCTCAACTTTAACTGGCTGTACTGGAAAAAAATGTACTACGAGAGTTTGGCAAGTAACCTTAAAAGTTGGCGCATTTAATAACGATTCCAAAATGGTATAACACTTAGAAGATTACTCGTTAACTTATGCACAATTTTTATTTGAAAAAAAACATGAAAATTTTTCAAAATTTCCTAATTAAACAGCGATTATGAAAACGCACAAGGACCCTTAAGGATAACTGTTTGCACAACAGTGGGCGTCAAAATGCTGCTGATGATGATTTACCTTTACAGCAAATGCTCAAACTGTTTTCCTTCAGCCGCAATACACGCTCGTCATCTTCTTAAAAAAGATCGGGTTATTAAAGAGCAAATCCACGGTTATTCTTGTTGCGATAATTGTCTCTGAAAGTTGTAATAAATTATGGCGCGAAAATGTTCTCGGTTGACTTCCATTTTTCTAATGACTTGGTGACGCTTAAAAATTCACTGTAGTGAGAACACTGCACGTATTGTTATGAAACTTTGAATTTAAGTTTACTAAAGACTGAAGTTAAGATTCAGTAGTGACGTTCGATCCGTCCGGCCTACTATGTTTCTATATGCGAAACTTAAAAGACACCCCTCGTACAATGTCGTTGACACTTTCTATGAAATAGATATTCATTCGATCTGCTATTATTTCTTCATTTGTTATTACCCCATCGCCGAATTTAATTTTAGATAATCTCTTCTATTTACTCTATTCTATTTCCTTATTTATTCTATTGATTCACATAATGATACATTAATTATAATAATAGGTATTTATTAGGGCGACGCGACGTTTAGTATACGCTATTCTTCCATTTAACCATTTTAAAATAGTCAAATTTACATGTGCGATGTGTCTGGTGGTAACTGAGATAAGACAGACAGGTTATCTGTCAAATACCATAAAAAATGGTGGCAGAACTTCTGTAAAGCTGCTTTTGAAATGATTTTGTCAATTAGCCTTCATTGCCTTTATAAAGCAGAAATTCTGCTGAGGCGCTTTTACCGCTAAAGTGCATTGCAACCACGGTTTCATATACCTGTATGTTGTCACGTTAAACAGGCAGATATCTAACAGAGCTGTCTTATCCTCATTAGAAAGTTTGAGCTATTTTTAATGAATACATTGCTGTGGCCATCCATCGAATTTGATGCCTGGCGGACGAATCTTAAATTTTATCTCTATATCACTGCCAAGGAATATTATTGAAAGTTCTATTAATTCCCGATTGTCGTTTCCAGCCACATCTTTAGAAAATTTAGTAAATTGATTATGGTTTGTTTTTTTTTTTAGACTGGTCTGCGTTGCGTGGATTGTGGTTATAGTTGTCACGAAAAGTGCGTGGATTCAGTGCCGAAAAATTGTACAAAGTACAAAGCGATCGCCGATACCGCCACAACGCAGACGTTGCAAGGAAATACAGGAGGAGACACTGGATCTGTCAGTTCGGGTAAGTGGAAAAACGCAATCCGCATCACCAAATATTGCACAAATGATCGCGTTTGCTGAACAAAAATAATCGAGCGTTTATTTAGGTAAGAAGAACGCATAACCAGGGCTGACTAATTTCTGAGATTTAACCCCCACAATTTTGGAACATTAATTTTTCTTATACTGTTTATCCATAAAGATTTGAAATATGTTGTAGGAATTTAGGACGTTTTCGGAAAAGACAACTAAATAAAAAATATTATTCGTTCACAAACGTGTGATAATTCAAGAGTTGTCCTAATTTGAGAAATAGCGCACGTATTTAACGGGAGTTTCAAGCTGGATATATGTATGTGAATTTCAGGATCGGCTCGTCAGACGAGCAGCCAGCAATATTACGACCAGTTTTCGTCGAACGTGGCCGAAGACAGAACGCACGAAGGATACTTGTACAAAAGGGGAGCGCTTCTTAAGGGATGGAAACAAAGATGGTTCGTTCTCGATTCTATCAAGCATCAATTGCGATATTACGACGCTATGGAGGACTCGCACTGCAAAGGGTACATTGGTGAGTTGAGTACATCACAATTTGAAATACTGTTTGTCTATATGCACATGCTGAGATTCGCACAGATGTAGTTCATTTTGTATGTCCAAAACCATGGCAGAAGAAAATGTTATTGCAGCAACCTATTTGTTCGCGTTTTGTTTCAGATCTAGCGGAGGTGATGTCCGTGACTCCCGCTCCTCCGGCCCCGGGACCTCCCAAAAAGACTGACGATAAGGCATTTTTTGATGTATGTAAACAAATTTTATTATATCAAAATGCGTTATCACTGGAACACAACATTTTGCTTAAATTCGGAACATCGTAGCTTTGTTATTTTTATCTCGATTTTATTGGCTTTAATTCGCAAATAGGAGTTCATGATTCTAGCCACAAGTAGACTTTGTTTTTTATTTACTTCATGTACAGTGGTTGAAATCGTCTCCGTTTCATAACTTTTTTTTATTCCCGTACGATTTTAAAAAGTATCCCATCAAATCGTACAGAAATCTAGGCGCATAGTGATTAAAATTTGTCGTGATACAACAATCATTCTTCTCCAAAATGAGAATCCTCGCACTAATTTTCACACGTCCAAAACAAGAATATTCAGGCAGCTCAAAATTTGAGAGACAAACAATACAATAAATGTATATTCACAAAATCAAATGATGATTGGGAGGTATATAAAACTTTTAGGAATAAATGTGTATATGTAATTAGAGAAGAAAAAAGGAAATTCTACGATAAACAAATCGATAATAACAAGTGCGACAGTGTAAAGATGTGGAAGACTTTAAAAAGACTGATCAATTCGAAGCCGCATGATTGTGTAAATCAAGTTCAATTCAAAAACGGTACCGAAACAAATTCTTTGGCGATTGCAAACAAACTAAATATAAATAAACTATTGTGGGTACTGCCAATGCTGCACCTGACTATATGAAAATCAGTTTCCAGGGGGAAATGTTGCATACACTTTCAAAATTTCACAGCGTATCATTGAATTATCTAAGAAAAAAAGTAAACAGTTTAAAATCAAATAACAACTGTGCCGAAATCACTACTAAAAACGTGCTGAAAAACTGTTTCGAAATTTTGGGATATCCTGTATTAAATTGGATCAATTGTTCACTGAGAAGCAGTTTTTTTCCTGAAAATTTGAAATGCTGTACAATAACACCAGTTCCCAAAATAAAAAATTCTAAAAGATGCAGCGATATGAGATCAGTAAATGTGTTACCAGACATTGAAAAATTATTAGAGTCCATAGTGCATGACCAATTAATGCAGTTTATAGAAGAAAACAAAATTTTAGTGGAGGCGCAAGCAGGCTTTCGAAAAAAATATTCCATAGAAACAGCTTTCCAGTTGGTAACTGAGAATTGGAGAAGAGCCATAGACTCAGAAGAAGTTGTCATAGCAGTATTTTTGGATTTGAAGAGGGCATTTGAAACGATTGATAGAGATATTTTGTTAGGTAAATTGAAGGCATATAGTATAACAGGAAGTGTTTTAGATTGGTTTAGAAATTATTTGTCTAAAAGGATGCAAGTTACAAAAGTTAATGACACTATTTCATCAAAAATTGAAAATACGTTGGGTGTTCCACAGGGCAGTATCCTGGAACCACTTCTTTTTATTTTATACATAAATGATTTACCTGCCATAGTCAAAAACTGCAAAATTCAGATTTTCGCCGATGACACTATGATTTATATGAGTATTAAAAATATTCAGTCTGGTATCTCTTATATAAATGAAGACTTGAAGCTTGTCTCAAAATGGTTAGCATCTAACAGACTAAAATTAAATGCAAGTAAAACGAAAGCCTTGTTAATCGGAAAAAAACAATGTGCAAATGTTCAACTGAATATTGATGGTGAAGCTATTAAATTCGTAGAAAATTTTAAATACCTGGGGGTTTTTGTTGACTCTCGATTAATTTTTGATATTCATTATGAAAAAGTTATAAATAAGATCAGTAGTAAAGTGGGATATTTATCGAGAGTTTCTGGATGTCTGAGTTCATATAGCAGAAAAATTATCTATAATACCATCATTTTTCCAAATTTCTTGTACTGTTCGACTATTCTATATTTAGCAAATAATTCCATTTTTGAAAGACTGCAAATTTTACAAAATAAGTGCATGAGAATAATACTAAATAAAGATAAATATACTCGAATTAGGCAAATGCTTAGCAAATTAAAATGGCTCAATGTAAAAAATTTTATCAAATATCTTGTAATGATAATCATTTATAAAGTAAAAAATAATATATTTCCATCAAGTCTAACTAATTTAACATCATCAAATGTCGACCATCATTTACATACTACCAGAAATAAAGATGACCAAAAAGTATAACATATGCTACAAATCTGTATTCCATCAAGCGTTGATTGAATATAATAAATTATACTCGGAGATAAAAGACCAGAAAACTTTGACAAAATTTAAAGTAAAATTGAGAAATCACTTGTTAAATCTACAATTATAGGTTGCCCAGCATTTACATCATACACCATATGGCTTGAATTTACTAGTTCTAAGTTGTTTACAATTATTTTGTTTATGTAGCCAAATGTGCTAAATAAATCTTTCTACTACTAAATTAGACGATAAGGTAGGTAGAGTGTGAAATTATTATAAAATCTTGAAAGAATAAAATCAGTGACTATATAAAAAAATGTGAACCTAATACTGCAAGGCAATGTATTTCTGTACAATTTGATGAAAAACTTTTTTAATTATTGCGGAAATTGAAAAAGTTATAAGTTTAACCGGTGTACGTATTGGCGTGAATCAAAAAACAAATTATAAAGGAAATGAGGAAGCATTGCGGTCTGATCGGCAACAGGAGTCTCACCACAAAGTGACTTAGAATTGGGGTAATGGAAGATCACCTTGATTTAAAAAGTCATAATTGCAAATTAAAGCCGAATTTGCAAAAATGTTCGACCCTGTAATTATATTTTATATTTTCACAGTTACGTACTAGTCGGCGAACGTACAATTTCTGTGCGGCTGACAACGCATCGGCACAAGAATGGATCGAAAAGCTGCAAGCCTGCCTTTAATTTTTCAACACAATTCGATTGTATCCTCACAAATCTCCAGTACGGTTTTCTTTGAGATTTAACACACAATTACGGTCAACATGACGTCAAACATAATATGTCTGATAAGAAATGCATTTATTTATTCTGGTTTATTTGTGCTTTTTAGTTCACGATTTGAACATTTTCATAGTTTGTTGGTGTAACATAGACGGCGATAGGTTGAAATCTCTCATTTTTTATAACAGTAGACTATAAAAAATATTTTCATTCGGCGTCTACAATAACCCTAGAAAATAATGTTATTTTTATAAACGTTGTAGATACATTTGACGTTAAATCTCAAGGAAAAATGAAGAACCACTGTTGTATATCCCCTTAGACTTTAGTTGTTTCCCTCATTATATATATTATATACACATTTTATTTTAGTATCTTATTTATCTGGAAACAGTAGTTATTGTATCTTTTGTGTAAATGTTCTGGTTTCTGACGTACGCACAATAATATTGTGCTGATTGTTTAATTGCCTTTATATATATTTTTTTACAGTTATCTTGTCACGCTCAATAACTAGTTGTTGATTTAAAAAAAAACATGTTATATAATAGGTTTAAGTAAATGTTGCCATTCTTTTCCTTAATATTTATATTAAATTCACGTGTATAAAACCGGATCTGTGATATAAATAAAGTTATATAAATAATAAACGTTTTTCATTTCTTCATTGCCCCGTTCTGTCCATTTCCGAAAGAAACATATTCTCGACTATTAAAAATGCCGTCGAGAAGACTTCCTATGCCTTCATCGGAGGTTTCAATAGATGAAAAGGCGAAATCGAATCGTGATAAGGTAGGTTCACTTAGTAGGGATACATAGAAAGGTAGTTAAAAAGTCGGATAACCCAATCAACTTTCACTATATTTTCAAATACAAATGAATCTTTAATACAGAAATGTCCGCTTATAAAAAACCTGTTTACCTGACGAAACGAACCTAAAATGTTGATATATTCGTAAAATTTTTCGGTTATAACGAGCGTAAAACTGGATTTTACCGGAATCAGGTAACCGAATTATTCCGACCGCGTGATGGGGTATGAGCAATCTTCAGCGTTTGCCGCCAGTCCGCCACCGCCATTTAGTCTGATACCTTCTTTATTCGTTGTATTCAGTGTCCTGCACTCTTGAAATCATGGGCGACGTAATTTCTATGAAGCTCTATGAAGCTATAAAGCTCTTACTTTAAATAGTAAATACGATATCGTCAAAAGATTAGATTAAATTCTTAGCTTTTTTTTATACTCCAACTACCACGAAGGCCTAAGGCCTAAACACCCATTGGGTATCGTGGGGCTATAGGGGGATACAGGGGAAAGGGGGGACGCCACACGGACTCTGGCGAGGGAACACGTGTGCATGCAACATGCACACATTCTGGCTCCGCCTAAGAGATCCGCCGGGTGGTACCTCCACGTTTGACAGTCAGAGACCGTCTACCACCTACGGACAATCACAACATCCATAGCCAAGAGAAAAGTTCATACATCGGTGGTAGATGTTTGGACTTCCGTGGATATAAGTCTGAAGCGGTTTTAGCTACATCAGGGGTGCCCCAAGGTTCTGTTCTGGGTCCTCTATTATTTTTAATTTTTATCAATGATGTTTCAACAGACTTGCGTTGTGAGCACCTGCTATATGCCGATGACCTGAAAATATTTAATAGCGTATGTTGTTCAGAAGACAGTTTAAGGTTACAGGCTGATTTGAATGTCATTGATCACTGGTGTGAGCACTTCGAGATATTGACAGCGTTCGTCATTTCCTTCAGTCACGAAATACTCCGCAGCGTGTGCTAGATCCACTAGCTGAAGTAGAACATATTAATGATATTCATTTCACAAAAATAAACCAAGCTAAAATGAATGAAAGAAAGAATTTCATAAATGTGGATTATAGATATTATTACATATATACTATGTATTACAAAGATTTTATATACCCCTAGTTTGAATAATAAAGTAATGAAAAATATTTTCTGGTATTAGCATTATTTATCGTTTATTAAGAACCAGTTTCGCTGGTCCCTTGAGGTTCGTTATAAGCGGACATTACTGTGCTTCCTACATACATCTTTTACGTAATGTACAAGTAACCTATACATTTTAACATAACACTAAGAAAATGCTAAGCTTGTTGCAAATAATTGAACTATGGGAATTCTTCATAATTCAAGTTACTATCTCCATTTTTCAAGTTGCCTTTTTTCCTAATTTTCAATACACCACCGAAAACCTTGAATATTCACGACTAGTACCGAAACAATATATCTGAAAACTTTGCAATATGAAGTCTCACTTTTTTAACCACTTCGTTTTAGGCTTTTTCTTTGTATTATTGATACTTTGAACGATTTGATCGATGTCCGCCTCGTCGAAATAATCGCTGGCGCTTTTATGGTTCGAACTCGGCAGAGTAATGAAATTAGTCAAGTTGCTCAGGTTGAAATTGAATTTGTCTTTCAAAAATTCCGCGACCGCTTGAATATTGTACACGACTAGCAGAATCACGAAAATGAACAATAAAGTCCAAATGGAAGTTTGTCTAATCGGCTGGTCGATGATGTTGTTCTTCGGGCTGAAGTTCAATTCGAAATATTTAAACGTGGAATCGGCTACGAAATCGTGATGATGCCACTTCTTGTTCTGCACCAGACTGGACTCCAAATGAAGGGAATAGGAAGAGTTGTCCAACGGAACCGACGGCATGTAGATCATCAATCCCGGATTGCTGTATTTGCTCAATTTGATCGAAGAAGTGTCGATCTTGGTCGTCATGGCAGACGAGCCGCTTTCTTTCAACAGTTTCACCTTCAACGATTTGTAGTGATCGACGTTCGCCGAGTACACTTTTACTAATATATCCATCTGCGCTGCGCTCCGGAACACTACTAGCTTTAGATCGCGAGTGTCTTCTTTTATATGCTGAAACAAATACGAATTATCAGAACAGCACGTATCGTTGTGAAACTTTGAATTTAAGTTTACTAAAGACATCCCTCGTACAAAGTAACATATAATTTTGCTTACCTCTGTTTTTTCTTAAACTATAGTGGTACTTACATTGATCGGTATATATTCCGGAGCCGTTCTTTCCACAGCTCCATTTTCCTGATCTTTTACCTCGACAACATACGAGCAATACGGCTGCAGTCCCCTTATCCTGAACAGCCCGTTATGTTCGCAAGTGGTCTCTTCAGAGTACATGCTGCAATTACCGATTCCTTTTGCCACGATCATCATATTCTCTTCTGGTTCTCCATTTAAAGACACCACTTTGCCGTATGCGCTGTACGCGACTCTCTTACCGCTAAAACGAAACAGGAAAATCAAACAACAGTGTTTTAAGCTTGCTAGAATTGTTCGGCAGCAATTCATAAGGTTTCCTTGCCACTCTTAATGCCTGCATGTAGAGCGCTGTCATCCCATCGTAGAGGAAATCAGGTCACATGCAGGGGCGGCTGGCCCTCAAGTTCTGCAGAACTGTCAAAACTTTTGTCTTAACAGAAAAAAAGCAGTAGTAATTTGATCATTATTTTCCATGTTATCACACAAATAGAAACAATACCGGTAACGCTGCCCCCGCAAGACACGGCGTCGAGTCTGTTTTGTATTGAGAAAGCATTATAATCGACCAATTGTGTACTTGTCATTTTCGTCACGACCGCAGCGAAACATTATTCACGGGCCACTTGAAAAGGGTCTGTGCACTACTTCGACACAAGCCGCACGCGCTTGCTTTTGTCTCTTTCTACAAAATCAAATGCGCGATTTAAGCATAAGCATGTGCTGCACGTTATACAGATCCGTACAGATCTAATGCGAAGTACGATATCTGATTGGTCGGTCGGTGCTCGGTATAAAATCTTGCGCAGCATTTGAATTGGCGCTACGGGGCCACGACGGAACCGAGAGTTCCCAAAACCCGGGAATATTTCGTGGACTGATTATTTTTTCTGCTGAGCTTGATACAACCTTGAGCGAACACAAAAAATGCTTCAATATTTAAAGGAACTTCGAAAGAAATACGAAACGATCTAATGGATCGTATTCTTGAAGTTTGTCATGAAGAGATAATAAAACAGATTAACAGAGCCTCGTATTTGGCGATAATAGCAGATGAAACAACGGACATTTCGAGGAAAACCCAACTGGTAACAATTTTCAGATACGTATTTAACGGCGAACCAGTAGAACGTTTTTGGAATTATATGAATTCCGAAAAATGTGACGCGGATACTCTCACAAGACATATTTTGAGCGTCGTAGATCCATTAATAGGAAATTTCCCTAACAAACTGATTTCACAAAGCTATGACGGAGCCGCGGTAATGAGCGGACATAATGCTGGAGTACAGACCAAAATTAAACAAAGATATCCATTTGCTCACTATGTGCATTGCTATTCGCATCAGTTTAACCTGAAAATGCTCAAAGTTCGGGTGTTCTCTGGGGCTTTGAAAGATATTCCGGGATTTTTTAATAATTCTTCTCAACGCGTAGAGGTACTGAACAGAATTGTGGGGAAAAAATTCCCCAAGGAGCAACAACTCGTTGGAATTTTAATATTCGAACAATAAATGTAGTGTTTGAGAACAGAGAATCACTCATCGAATGTATGGAAGAAAGAGAAGAAAATTTCACTAATGAAACCGTTTGCAAGGCAGCTTGCGGTATTCGCCGTATGTTAAACGATTCTGCTTTCGTGTTTTGGTTGACATTTTTTCATCTTGTCATGCCTCACGTCGACATCTTGTTCAACCAGAGAAAAATCGAGCCAGCGCAAGTTAAAACGGCTATCGATAATTTTGAAAAATGTATCGTCGATGTGAGCAATAAAATTCATCACATAATAAATGAAGCCAAAAGTATTTGCACTGTACCCCAAGGCAACAAAAGGAGACGACGTAATAATAGCAGTCACGATCACCGAGTTGCCGCATTAGAACTATGCGACAATATAGTGAATTCTGCAAATGACAGATTTCAATTCAAAGATCATTTGGTAGCCGCATCCCTTTTTTCCCGGAACACTTTGGAGAATGCTGTGGTAAGTTTACTGATGACAAGTTGGAAAGTATCTGCTTGACTTATCCCGAATTAGAAAAAAGTCGTTTAAAGACAGAGTTGTCCGTTATTTATGCACGGAATGACTGCCGAGATTTACATGGAACTCTGTCTCTTTCGAAATTTTTTATACAAAACAGTTTGGAGGAAACACTAAAAGAAACAAAGAAGCTATTAGAAATTATTGTTACAACATCAGAGGCTGAGCAAAATTTCTCAACATTGAAAAGAATCAAGACTTTTCTTCGAAATACTGTGACCCAGGATCGCCTTAGAGCGTTGTCGATGCTGTCCATTGAAAAGGAATTTATTTAGACCACGGACATTTTCAACGGAAAGGTGATCGACAAATTTGCTGCCAAGAAGGAGCGCAGGATCGAACTGGCATATAAAAAATAGGTAAGTTCGGATTTGCAGAACACCTGTTTTATTTTTCCACAAGCCGGCACTAGTCGCATGTAAAAGGAAAAATGTGGGAGCCAAGACCGATCCCGTTAGCGATGTGCGATGAAAAGGAAGCCAGTCACCCACCTGCAAAGCTTCTTTGTAAGGCCTCAGTATGGAATTATATCCAGAGCAACGACACGAACGACACAATAAGACTGGATAGAAAAACGAATAAAATTTACGTGACAGTATTTACCTACAACTTACATTAATTTGACGTGCACCGTTTGCCCTTCATTTACGGGAATGATCTTCGAATTCGGTTCGAACACGTATTCTTTCATCATCGGTCGCAAAAAGTATTCGCTGGGACTCAACGAGTGGAACGTGATTTTTCCGTCTTCGCCGCTCTGCAGATTTTTCCGGTAACCTTCGCCGCCGGAAAGCGACAACAGGACACCCTGAAATATAAACAACAATTATTACTCTGTTAGCTCAAAAATATTATTCCAATGCACTCATGATATATTGAAAATATTTAATCACAAAAGTGTTTTTGTAATTTGTACAATCCCACGCACAAGCTTGCTTTTGTGGGTTTCCTGTTTGTTTAGTATACTAAACTGTGTACGCTTTTCTATTCGGTTTACAGTATTATCGTTATTTTTGGTAAACAAACTTTACTTTACTTTACAAATACATACAGTCTAAAGTTTCAGTTTTATTAGTTTGACCTGTATGTATGTTAACTGAATCTATTAACCTACTTTTTACCATCTTTAAGAAGTTTAATTAACTTGAAAATTTGTACAAGAGTCAAGGGCGAATCTTAACATTTTTTTAAAAATTTGAATTTTGAAATATGTGATTTGAAAGATATTTAGAAAATCGGAAATTTAAAAAAAAATCGAATTTGAAAAAAGTTGAAAGAAAAATTAGATTTATTATCAAATACAAAATATGTATACCAAAAATCGAAGCTTTTCATTATAAGTTCGTAAGTACGATTTTAAGTCGGTTTCGGACCAAAAATTCGGAAAACAAATTGTAGCAAAAAAAATAAAAAAGCACGCTTCAATAGCAAATCGAACTAAAAAGTAGAAAACAATGTTCAAATACAGTCGGTTTTTTACTATGATGAAATCTTGTATTAATATCTTAATTTTTATATTGATCTTTTCATCATTAATATACTAAGTGACATATAAATCCGAACACCCAGTTTAAATGGTTTTATTTTAATAAAATTTTGTATAAGTACTTAATGAAGCATAATAAGTAAATGATAAAAATTTCAAAATGATTGCACTGCTTTAAAGCCCTTTGACCTTTAATAATGTGTGGATGCACCTTGATGTACTACGCATTCTCCAACGCGCCTAGGCATGCTTCTGATCAGGTGGTCAATGTCCTCCTGTGGTATCTCATTCCAGGCAACCACCAACTCCTCTCGAAGTGCTTCTAGAGTCTGAGGAGGACGTTGCAAATTGAGCAATCTCCTACCCATCATATCCCACACGTGCTCAATTGGGGATAAGCCGGGAGATCTTGGTGGCCATGGTAACAATGTGACATCATTATGTTGAAAGAAGTCTATTGTGACTCTTGCAACATGTGGTCGGGCATTATCTTGTTGGAAAGTTGGATCTGCCAGGGTGTCAAGATGGGGTAAAAGATGGGGTTCTAGAACTTCGTGGATATAACGCTGCGCGTTCATGTTACCTCTGATGAAGATTAAAGGTGAACTGGAACCATAAGCTATAGCACCCCAAACCATAACTCCAACAGTGTGATGAACATGTCTTTCAACAAAAAACTGTGGATTCCTCCTTTCACCACGTCGCCTTCTAACCCTGGCACGACCATCATGCATGCGTAAACAAAATCGAGACTCGTCACTAAAGACAATACTGTTCCATTCCTGATCCCAGAGTGACCGTTGTCTGCACCACTCAAGGCGATTACGTCGGTGTTCTCGAGTTAAAGGGAGAACCCAGTGTGACCGGTATGAAAACAAGCCAAAACTTCTCATTCGTCGGTAAACACTTCGCATGCCAATAGGTCTTCCGTGTTCTGCAAACCATTCATTTGCAATGGACCTGGTAGTGGAGAAACGGTCCCTTAAGTCCAATAATCTTAAGCGGCGATCTTCACGGTCTGTTGTTCTACGGCGGCGTCCAGTGCCCCTTGCTCTTTGCGTACGGCCTTCTCGAAGCCATGCCTGACAACACCTAACCACAGTGTCTACACTTCTTTGCACTCTAACTGCAATTGCCCGAAAAGAAAGTCCAGCTTCCCGAAGTCCCACTATACGGCCCCTATCAAACTCACTAAGAACCAAAATCCGCCAACGTTGATTCTTTACTGCGGCTGAAATATTCATTGTTAGAGCGTTAGTGAATTAAAAAAAAGCAGTATAAAAACCGGAATGTCCAACTGATAAGGCTGAAAATTTTTTCACTTGTTATTTACAGTAAGATAAATACATTCACCAACTTTTATTAAAATAAAAGCATTTAAACTGGGTGTTCGGATTTATATGTCACTTAGTATAGAAAGTCCATTGTACTTGAAAACTATTTTCTACCTTTTAGTCACAACATTAATCCTATTTTCAGCCGCGTTCTGAGTGACTGTTTAATTTTTTGATACGCACTGTTAGAGGGGTGTTGTCTGCACTATCGACGACTTCCACATGTACTTCCGCCAGTTTGTGAGCCGCAAAGTTTCCATTTTCGTCTGGACCCATCAAAACGTAAGATTCTTTCGCCGCGCTGATTTTGTATTCCTTCTTGTTGTCCAAAGGTTGAAATTTATAAAATCCTTCAGCGTCTGTCTCTACGACCAGCGGATCGAATTGCGGCGTTTCGACCGTGATCACGACACCTTCCAACGCCGGCACGACTTTTCCTCGAAACACTTTTCCTTTCGCAGCCGAAAATTTCATTCCGGAATCCGAACAATCGTCTTTTCCCTGCACGGATAACGTTCCAGGAGTGAAGAACAGAAAGTCGGAGTGCGGCTCGACCGCGGCCGTTTGGCCGGGCTCCAGCATCAATTCCAGTTTGTAACATCCGTCTTTGTACTTGAGCGTCTTCGCCGTTTGGTCGGCGCCGACTTTAACTGCAACTCGAACGTCTCCGAAGTTCGTTTCCGCCGCGATGCAGAGTGTCTGAGTGTGTTTTTCGGCGTTCAGCGCAATTTCGTTCACTTCTTCGTCGGTTGTGTAAGTGAAACTGCTCGGGCTGTAACTGTGGCAGCTTTCTACCGTAAATTTGTATTCTCCCGGTTTTGGAAGGCAGACCGACGATCTTCCCTTAGTTACTGCGATGCCGGATGACTTTGTCTCACCTTTTAACTGATAACGGACCTGTAAGCAATATTTATTTTACTACTAGACCAACGATTACATTTGCTCTTCACTATTGACCAAACGATTGTTTATTACATGATTTTCGCTTTTTTCTGGAATCTCAAAAACTTTATACTGAGGTACGAGGGATGTCTTTTAAGTTTTGCATGTGGAAATAAAACAACATGGTAGGTAGTTTTAAATGACTTTATTGTTTGTCGAAGTAAGATTAATACACATCTGCATGCGCTCGAACCAATTTTCCAAGCACTTTTTCCACTCGTTTGCTGGCAGATCCAAAACGGCATTTTTGAATGCGTCAACTGCTTCTTCTGGTGACTGGAACCTTTGACCACGCAGTCTGTTTTTAATTTTCGGGAAAGTAAAGAAATCGTTAGGACTTAGATCGGGACTATATGGAGGATGGTCCAATAATTCCACGTTTTCTTCCGTTAAATACTGCCTTCTTTTTTGGGCCGTATGCGAACTTGCATTGTCTTTGTGGAGGATGATTCTTCTTTCGGGGTTGATTTTTCGAAGCTCGGTGATGACTTTTGGCAAACAAATGGTGGTATACCAATCCGCAGTAACAGTTCTTTGCTCATTAAGAGGAATTGGTGCAATAGGACCCGCTTTTGACACCAATGTCGCGACCATCTTTTTCGAAACACTTCGAGAACGGATGACTTTTGTTGGCTTTTCTTCACCTTGGAACACCTAAACAGCCGACTGTCGTTTATTTTCTGGTTCATAACAGTAAATCCACGATTCATCACCACTAGCAATGCTGTACACATTTTTTGAGTTTCCGGAATTGAAGCGGTCAAGCGTTTTTTTGACATCAATTAACCTCGGCTGCTTTCTGCTCTTCAGTCAACAGGTGGGGTATCCAACGAGAAACTAATTTTCTTACTACTAATTCTTCATGTGAAATTTCTTGAATTGAGGTCTTTGAGATCTTCAAGGACGCCTCAATCTCGCGATATGTCACATGTCTATCTTCAATGATGAGTTTGCGCACAGCATCGACGTTTTCTTGGGTGACTGCCGTTTTTGGTGCACCCACCCTGGGATCGTCGCTAACTCACCCCCCGTCCACGTTTAAATTCTCCATACCAACGGGAAATTGTCGACTGATGTGGCGCTTCGTTGCCGAAAACAGACAGTTACTCAGCAAGGCATTCTTGTTGCGATGTTGAGAGAAAAGATCATATTTAATCGAGAAATGACAGGATTACCAGGGACCGTATTATGGTCAGGATACCTCCACACTCTATGACACTCTTCCAGCGTTGTTTCTCGTATAATGCTGCTGTATCCTACAATGCGTTGCCCAGAAAGTACAGGGAAATGTCTTTTGCTAGTGTATATAGTTGAGTACTTTAGTGTAGTTGATTAGTTATTTAACCTGTTTGTATTCCTTCGTGTTTCTTATATATTTTTTTTTTCTCTTTTTTTGGAATTGCACACAACATCGTGCTAAAAGTACAGACAAAGGTAGTTAAGTGTAAGAGTAGCGCAAGCTAAACTTCGCTATCTTTGTCCCTCACATGCACAAAATATGAATAAAGGCGTTATTATTATTATTATTATAATTGTCTCTGAAAGTTGTAATAAATTATGGCGCGAAAATGTTCTCGGTGGAGTTCGATTTTTCTAATGAGTCAGTGACACTTAAAAATTCACTGTGGCGAGAACACTGCACGTAATGTTGTGAAACTTTGAATTTAAGTTTACTAAAGAGTGAGATCAAGATTCAGTAGTGACGTTCGATCCGCGCGGCCTACTACGTTTCTATATGCAAAACTTAAAAGACATCCCTCGTATATTGTGGCTCAATGCGTGTACTATCATCCCTTAAAGAATACCCTGTATATAAATTTAGTCTGCAATGAAGTGAAGTGATAATTTTGCGTACCTTAGCGTCGTGCGAGAAGAGAAAATTCACAATATAGCCTGTTTGAGTGAAAGAGACATCAACGGTCGCACTGTTAATGTTCATTACATGTTCGCTGGTTTCCCAGCAAAATCGGTTTGGTGACAGGCTGATTTTGTACGTCCCAGGAAAGATATCTTCAAATTTGAAGGAGCCTCCTGAAAATTCGAAAATTAGAATTGCAATAAAGTATATCGAAAATCGCGCAAGTGTACCTTGCACTTTGGCAATGAGATCGTCCGCGTTATCACTTTTCATTACAACTGACAAGCCTTGGCAGTTTTCTGACTGTAAGCACTTCACCTTTCCAAAAACGGTTGCCTTCAATTGAGAGAATATCAAATCTGTAATCTCGTCAGAAACAACTTCAATCGTATGTTTCAGAGGGAAAAACCTGTAAAGAGATATAATTTATATTGAAGCTAAAAGTCCACCAGCTGGCCTTGAAGGGCATATGAAATTGGCTGTAACTTGAAACGTTCCCCACTTGACAGAAGCTCAAAAAGTAATAGAACCGAAATCTGAAACTAAAAACACGATTATCAAAATATCTTACTGTAATCCTTTTTGAGTCTCGTCTTGTCCGACAACAACTTTGACATCGTATTTCCCCGGCGCGAGAAATTGACAGAATCCCCCATCTTGAGTCGAAGACTGCGCTTGCGTTCTCTTTAAAGTACCGACGTGCATGAAACTGACTGTTTGTGACTGTCCGCTGGTCACCATGCCGCAAACTTTGAACGCGGACGGCAGAATGTCCGGCAGCTCTTGGTGACTCGGATTCAAGCGGAAGATTTTCTCGTCAAAGATCAAGTCCTCTGGAAGCATAAGTAAATAATGGTTTAAACAACTAAAAAAAACACGCTTTTATAGGTAACCGAACAAAAAGTAGAAAATCATTTTTTGTTACGAAGAGTATATTACAGACGGTCATAATTAAAGACCTCAAAATAAAATTACGAGGGATGTCTTTTAAGTTTAGTAGGCCGCGCGGATCGAACGTCAGTACTGAATCTTAACCTCACTCTTTAGTAAACTTAAATTCAAAGTTTCACAACGATACGTGCAGTGTTCTCGCTACAGTGAATTTTTAAGTGTCACTAAGTCATTAGAAAAATGGAACTCGACCGAGAACATTTTCGCGCCATAATTTATTACAACTTTCAGAGGCAATTATCTCAACAAGAATGCTTTGCTGAGTTAATGTCTGTTTTCGGCAACGAAGCGCCGCATCAGTCGACAATTTCCCGTTGGTATGGATAATTCTAACGTGGACGGGTGAGTCTTAGCGACGATCCCTGGGTGGGTGCACCAAAACCGGCAGTCACCAAGGAAAACGTCGATGCTGTGCGCAAACTCATCATTGAAGATACACATGTGAAATATCGCGAGATTGAGGCGTCCTTGAAGATCTCAAAGACCTCAATTCAAAAAGTTGTGTGTTCCAAGGTGAAGAAAAGCCAACAAAAATCATCCGTTCTCGAAGTGTTTCGAAAAAGATGGTCGCGACATTTGTGTCAAAAGCGGGTCATATTGCAACAATTCCTCTTAATGAGCAAAGAACTGTCACTGCGGATTGGTATACCACCATTTGTTTGCCAAAAGTCATCACCGAGCTTCGAAAAATCAACCCCGAAAGAAGAATCGTCCTCCACCAAGACAATCAAGCTCGCACACAGCCCAAAAAACAAGGCAGAATTTAACGGATGAAAACGTGGAATTATTGGGCCATCCTCCATATAGTCCTAACGATTTCTTTACTTTCCCGAAAATTAAAAACAGACTGCGTGGTCAAAGGTTCCAGTCACCAGAAGAAGCAGTTGACGCATTCAAAAATGCAGTTTTGAATCTGCCAGAAAACGAGTGGACTAAGTGCTTCGAAAATTGGTTCGAGCGCATGCAGATGTGTATTAATCTTCGTGGAGAATACTTGGAAAAACAATAAAGTCATTTAAAACTACCTACCGTGTTGTTTTATTTCCATACGCAAAACTTAACAGACATCCCTCGTATAACCAAATCTAAGTTGTTAACAGAATAATTCGATTCAGAGGAAAAAACGTGGCCCACCCTGAATACATATAAATTGCAACAGCTTTTGCCAGACTGATGGATTATTCAATGATCTTTTGAGAAAGTTGTACAGCTTTGGCTTCACTAATCAGTCCATAAAACTATTTTCATCTTATCTGAGGTTTGTTTCTTATATGTAACATAATACAGGGTGGCCGATACGTAACTGACTGATTTGCATCATGAATATTTGTGAAATGAAATAAAATACGTTCAAATCGGTAATAAATATTATTATTATTATCATGTGAAACTTGTTTCAACTTTTTATCAGCGATCTCTCTGTGATAAACTTAACAGCATTACGTGAATTTAAAAGCAATGAATGTAAATATCTTCAATCTCAGCTTGATAACCTCCAGAGATGGTGCAGTACGGAAAGGCTTCAGTTAAATTTTGACGAATGCAAAATTGTAACATGTATACGATTATACTTTGAGTGAATTTATCAATCTTGAGTGATTACATATTATTTATGACTTGATACAAAGTCACCAATTAGAATAATGTGGTAAAACTTGAAAAAAATTTAATTTGTGTCATATGATTTACTGTAGCTCTAAGAATCTTAAAAGACTCTTTAGTGAGTTAATTAATTATGTATGGTAATATTTATCTTGTAAATGGATATGTTTCTGTTAGGTAATAAATGCTTCATTATTATTAAATTTACTTAAAGAGATATTACATACCTGCTTCTACTTTTATTTTATATGTTCCTGCTTTCAGTTTTTCCAATTTATATATTCCATTTTTATCAGTTGTTGCGACTGTTTGCCCATTTATGTATATTTTTGCGTTTGGAACAGGTTTATCTTTTGATTTATACACTCTACCAGGTATGCTGAACCCAATAATCTATTAAATAAACGAATAATTACGATATTTTTGCAATTAGGAATAACTGTAAGAGCAACAAACATAGCATTTCAGATGAATTTTAGACTATTTAATTATAAATAACATACAAGCTTTTATTCAGCTGTTCATTAAGTGAACTAAAAATTTAAAAACATTTTTCGCGATTGGAAATATTGAAACAATACTGAAGCTCTTTTATCTCAAGTTTTCAAATAAAACGTGTTATACCCTTTGACGAACCAAACGTGCATACAAAAATTGTCCAAGGTGAAACGATTAAACAATTCAGTTCCAGGATTTGCCCCACACTCGAGTTAACGAAAAGCTTGTAATATACATCCTCTTACTGGCTTATAATACCATAACTATACATTCTCAAATCGGCATTAAAACAAAATGATTACCTCAAACTGCTGCTCTAAAACTGCATCGCCATTATTGACTGCAAATTCAATCTTCTGCGGTTGATAATGTATATTTTGCTTTTCAAAATGTGCAGTGACAAAATATCGGCCATTTGGTACAACTCCAAATCTGTATACTCCATTATCATCTGTTATTGCATGACAAAGTGTGCTGTTGTTTCCTTGATATTTTCCTATTGCTTCCTTGATGCAACCATCAACTAACACAGGTTTTTTTTTCTACAAAGGCAGATATTTATATTAATACACTTCCAAGCCTGGTAATTCAGCACACTTATTAGACATATTTCACACATATTAGATCTGCCCTGAAGACTTGAAAAAATATTTTCAACAGACTTATCGCGTACCTCTAGGTCAACACTCGCAATATTATATAGTATATATATATTTAATTATTTATTTATTTATTGAAATCCACCACCAACAGTGTTAACCAATTACTGGTGGCAAAACAACAATAGAAATAGTAAAAAAAACATATAAAAAATACAACGAAAACTAAAAACTAAATCATGAGCAGTAGTCATTGCCATATATATATATATGTTTTTTTTTTGAAAAGGCTAAACGGTGCAGTAATGCTTCCAACAAAAGGAGAAGAAGTAAAATTGCTCCAAGAAGTTGTTTCGAGGACATGGGAAGGATACAGTAAATCTATGATTTTATGCCAAGATATAACTTCAGATGTTGAAGTAGCTCACCTCTTCAGATAGTAATATTATAACAGTAACGCCCTTGACGGGTTCTCCATCACTTGTTACTTTTCCAGTCACCTCGTATCCTTGCACTATGAGACTATCCTTTTGCAATTCTGCATTGCTCTCTTCCACTTGCACATCAACTGATTTTTTGAATATTTTCCACCTGTTGTTCAACAGAAAAGTATTTCAACTATACATATCACTGTATCAGAATTTATTTGCAATGTGTCATTTGGGAACATATAATGTAAATCTGATTGAAAAATAACAGAAGATAACTTAAAAAAAAAATGGACAATTTCAAAAATACTGATAATCCACAAATTCTGAAAAACTGCAAGTTACAGTTTTCTGATTGCCAATGACCCCCGATCACCTTCCTTCATTTGCACCATGACTTTTAGGACATTCTGTATTTAGATTAAGCCACTTCAAACAGATATTTTTTATGATTATAAAAGAAGTACAGTGGACCCCCGATAATCCGGCCCTGTCTAATCCGGTGCCCCCTGTAATCCTACATGTCTTTGAATATGTATTACATACATACGTATTTGACAATCTTCTCTAATGCAGGTTTAAACAGGTTACAACTTGTACGCTTTTTATAATAAAACGTAAGCTCTCTCTTGTTATATAATTTACTAAATTCAACATACATAAACTATGTATGATTTGTACTTCAAAGTACATACATATATAATCTTACCATTGGATATGTAATTTGTCAGATTACAAGGTACTCTTTTGTAAAAAATTCCGGACCATAGGGGGTCTTAGGCAGTGCTCTATAATCTGACAAATTTGATAGTCCGACACTGCCCTACATAACGTATGTCAGATTACCGGAGGTCGACTGTAATTCCATTAAGATATTCAGTAGATATAAGGAAAATATACATACTTGGGATGATATATTGAAACCTTATAAACACCTGGATATACAGGAGTGAAAAAGAAGCTGCCTTCATCATTTGTAATTGTTGTTCTATTCTCATCTTTTGATTGTAAATGAACAGTGACTCCTTTTGGGCCATTATTACTATCACCCAAACTTTCTACCTGAAATCATTTATGACTATCTTCTAGGCTACTGATGTAAGGCAATTTATAGTTACAAATTGATTAAAACACCAACCCTGCTTAACAAGAATAACAAGAGTGTAGAGATTAACACTGTACTTTTAAAAATTGGCCAGTTTTATGTTAAAGAAACGTCACTTTAGATAGTGCATATAGTTGAAGAGAAAATGTTGCTCTTATTTAGAGAATAATGTTTTAATACTAAGCAATATGCTATATTCAATATAGTCTGGTATATGTGGTAGTTTTTGTGCATAAATACCTTTCCAGTAATTCCAAAACCTTGAAAAACAAAGTTTATATCTTTGCCTTGGCTGCAAAAGTCATTTACCCCATCAATATTTATTGCTACCTCCTTTGGCTCAAAACTCCAACCTGGAGGTGGTGCTAGCTAAAACACAAAGAAGAAATAAAGCCTTTTTTGTATTAATTTTTATTATATAGTCACTATTTACCTCTACGAACATTTCACCCTTGTCATATAAAGGTACAAAATAGTACCCGTTATTAGGGGCTGCGGTGGTTTTATCTTTTATGATTCCTTGTTTCGTAACTCTGAAACGATATAGACAGTTTGATAAGGTGAAAAATGTTAAAAAAACGTAAAACTTACAGTCTAACCTCTACTTTGGAAAAATCTATTGGAACATGGCTTTTCAAAAATCCCCCACACCCTACTACTTCGTTTGCCCTGGAGAGATCTAAAAGGTACGTTATAAAGAAAATGTAGATATTCAGGCCACTCATTTTAATTAGCCTTTTTTAAATCTTTAGATTCAAAATACAAATTTCAGAGCAACTCAGCAAGTGCACGTCAGTTTGACACATGGCAACGCCAAATATATAACAGGGACAGGAGTGACAGGTATGAATGACACACCAAAAGGAGAATTAAAATCATGACTAAAAAAATTCGCTTAAATGAACAAACTCAAAAGTTGAATTTGTTTAACTCAACCATAGCCAAGTTAGTCGTTCCTACAATTATTTGTAGGACGCCTTTATGTCCTCCTTGATTTTCATAGTCTTTCCTCTACTTCAAAAAGGCTGTGGTATTTCTACATCTCTACTGTTCCGTGTCAGCTTCAACGCTCTCCTGTTGTTTTCTTTTTAAATGGCATTCAGGCATTTCAGACTGATAAAACAGATGATATAAATCAAAAGCATGAATAATTTGATGCAAATATACCCTATTTCACGAGTATGCATCACGGAAGAATGACAGCTGATTATCTTGTAATATCACAAAATTCCCCATATCAGCACAGGACACATAATTCTGACGGATCCGTCATAGTCAGCTAGTGAAAGTCGTATTTTGTTTTATTTTTGTCCGATGAGCTGACAACACCGCAATCCTAGTGACAAGAATGACAAGGTCAACTGTTAAGACGCATGTCTATCCCGGGGTACCGATGTACCATTTAGTACGTCAAAGCAGCAATTTTCCAATTTTTATTTGCATTTTTTCAAGCATTGCGCAACGATTTCGGGAAAAATTTCGCTACGGATAGTATGGTAGCGTATATTTCAGCAGTTGTATTGCGTGGTCATGTTATCTTTACTCGGGCCAAAAAGGGTACAGATATTTGTTACATAAAAAAAATACACTTTACACGTACACATAACCTCAAAATAGAGCACTGACACGGAACAGTTGAAAACTATGAAAATCGAAGATGCCATAAAGAAAAAAGTGTCACTGACATTACTAAAGTCATTTTTGTGATTGAAGTGAGTGACGTATGCGGCGTATGGGTGGGGGCGGCAGGGGCTTTTTATGTATCTGCGTCGTTGGCTGAAACATGAAAGAGAAACTAAAGGGGAATTGGGGGATTTACAGATACCACGCCAAGGGGAATGACATGAATTATTTGGTGAGTTCAAAGTTGTTTTTACATCACTTACAACGTAAGCTTTCGCAATCATTCTCGTTTAAACGTATTTCTTTGTTAATCTGAGGCAGCGTGTAAGTTTAGGTGTGATGAATTTCATTTGAGGTTATATACTTTTTTCAGAAATCTTTTTAATCTGGAGTATCAGAAAGAGGTTCAGAAGAATACAAGAACACAACAAATACATAGTCCAGTCAATAATTTAAGTAAAAATAAGGAATGTTTGTTGCTTGGTTTCGAACACTCCCTGCCCATGTATGAAGTGAAAAGTAGAATGAACACAAGAAGCACAGAAATGGGGATCATAAAAGAAGATGCACAAACTGCACAGGCACAGGTTGCAGTCAGTACTAAAGTAGTGAGTGTGAAAGTGGATCCAGTAACAGGAGAAAAATTTATCATGCTGAATGGAAAAAGAATCAAAATGGCAAACATTGGTTTGAATAAAAGTACCCTTGGAACCAATGTTGAGAAAACAACTAGCTTGCCACTTAAATTTCCTCATATACCGCAGATAATTAATGAAATAAATATCAATGATATAGATAAAATACGGCAAATAAACAAAAATAAGCCAATAAATACAATGTCACATAGTCATAAAATGGGGAATCCCATGGCTGACGATAAGGAAAGCACAATTGTGGTTATATGTAAAAATGAAAAGTGCGAGTTGGCAAATAAAATGAAAGTGAATGTTGCAGAGTTGAAGCAGCGCAAAACAGATACACCCAAAATGGAGTTACTAGCAAGTAATATAATTGTTAGGGATGCAAAAGGTTTTGTTAAGACAAAGCCAGTAACAACAGCTGAATGTTCCGTGGAAACAGACATAACTTCTGAACACATGGATATGCTTCTAAAAAAAAACTTTGAGAGTAAGGAGGTACAGACTAATATTAAAATTCAGCCTGATTGCAAGGTAAATGAAAATCTAGGCATTGACTCCCCTTTGGATGAAGTTGTTGGCTTTTTATCTCCTATAAGTGTGGCAGAATATTTAAATCCTCTAGACCTTAATCTGAATCCATCAATTCCCAGATCTGATAAATCTAGTATTGAAAAGAATCTTTTCAAAGAACTTAAAGCTGTATTAGTTGCAGATGAGAAAGGAAATGTGTAAGTACTTTTTTCTTTATAATTACTAACTATAGAGTTAATATTAAAAATTCTCGTGAGTTTTCTAATTTTAATATTTATTTCAGGCCTATACATCAAGCTGTTATTATGAATGACTTGAAAAAAGTTAAACAAAGTGCATGTATCTTAAGTGTACTTAATGTGCCAGAATATATAGATTTGAAAAATGATGATGATCTTGTAAGTTATTATTATTATTAGTAGCACTACAACAGTTGGTGGATAACACTATCCTATAACCTTTTATTTCATGCTAAATAACGTAAGAAATGTATTGCCTTGTCTTCTAGTTCCTACAACAGCTTATTCTTGAATGAAATGATAATGTAATAATATATAATATTAAATATGAGGTGAAAGCTCCCTTAATAGTAACTTGTAAAAAATTCAGCAATTTATAATAGTCTGAAAATTTACATGATACTATTGAAAGAATCAACAACTTAAACTTGTTCTACCAAGTTTACTTTCATATTTTAAATTGTCATATTTTAGTTTACTTTATAGTAAAGTATAATATCTATGACATCCAGCATTCACCAGATAATATCTTTTTGCTTTCAGACTCCTCTGTTCTTGGCCGTGATACATGGAGCAAGTACGGAAATAATCTTATTTTTGTTGCAAAATGAAGCAAATGCGAACAATGTTGACAATGATGGCAACAGTGTATTACACTTGGCTGTTGAGTATCAAAGAAGTGATGCACTTGAAACTATACTGTCTAATTCCAGTTTAGATTTGAATCCTGTTAATCACCAAGGTAAAGTAATAAAAGTACCAATAAAATATAAAAAGGAGATTAGGGAAAACCTTGAATGTTCTATATTTCCTTAACTGGATTTTTTTTATAACTAAAAGTTTTATGGTTCATTTTTGAAGATAGATTCCTTATGTACTAATATATTTTTTTCAGGTTTTACTCCTTTAATCATGTGTTGTATGAGTAGCAGCCCTGTTAATTACAGCTGTGCATCCCTTCTTCTGCATCATGGTGCGGATCCGAATGTTAAAGATGCTAACTCTGGACGAACTGCATTATTTCATGCAGTTGAAATTGGAAATGGTGAGCATATTCTGTTACTGTGAAATTTTATAACCTTTGTAATGATTCCTTCTTCTTTTTTTCCATATTCTAATTTGGTCTTGTTTGTTATACAGTGTGTAGATCAAACTGGACGGGGTGATAGGGGGTCATTTCCAACAAGAAAAACTACAGGGTCGTCCAACGAAAAGATTGTACTCTCATTTGTGACTCTCCTGGTATCGTGCACGATCGGATAAGGATATAAATGGTTTTTTTCATTGGAAATAACCTTCCTATCACCTACTACAAATGTTTTTAGATATTCTAGTCAAATAAACTATTCTATTATACTCAGCTTGTTGTTCGAGTTTGGGTCTTCAAGATAACAGTTTGTTTTATTTCGTAGAGGAAGCAGTGAAGCTGTTGTTGAAGCACAAAGCGGATCCGAAAGAGAAGAACTTCTTTGGCACGAGTCCGCACGACGTAATGTTCGAAATCGACGTGTCGGATTCGATGAAGAAGCTGATTTTGGGAAAGGCGAGCAAGAAAAGGACATGCGAAGATGCTGCTTTGCGAGGCACGGTGCTCGTAGATAGATCGGCGCATGCTGCCTCGAGGGGCCCCCAGGCCAAGATACTGACTTATCCCAGCTTGAAGAGGATTAAAACTGAAGAATACAATGCATGCTCTGGTTTGACAAGATAACGTTTTGTAATGTAATGTTACTCAAGTAACCCCCACTGTAACAGGGATGTCAAAAATTGATCCTCTCGTATATTAAGATAATGATTTTAGATATCTGTGCATGATGCCCCTGAATTTGTGGATCATACTCGAATATACCGCATAGAAACTATCGATTATATGAGGCCCACTATTCATATTTTGAGCCTAATCATGCAAAAATTTGCCATTGGAAATCAGTTTTTAAAAATATCGTCCAATTATAATCTATACCCTTTTTCATGCGTTCAAATCATTTTTCACTCTGCTTGAGATATCTCCAAAACACGCGTCATGAACGTATCAACAGCTTCTGCCGACGAAAATCGTTGTCAACGCAATTTATTTTCGATCTAGGGTAACAAAAATGAGTCATTGGGTGCCAAAAAATGGACTGTATATGGAATGACCCATTAAGTCAATGTGTTGAGTGCTTGAGAGAATGATCGGAAGCCGCTTGTTGCTTTTCGTTATTTTACAGAAGACTTTCGACAAACAAATTGTTGTGTAGCATTGAGAATTAACCGTTCTTCGTTCCTCTAAAGGACGTTTTTTCGAATAAGCAGGCGACGAACTTTTTTCGGTTTCGGCCCGTCTTGAAACCGCCGTACAGTCGACTGCTGTTTCCTTCCCGGCTCGTACACATAGTTATAGGATTTCGTCACCTATTGCAATTTTTTTAAGCACCGCCGTTGTATTTTTCGAGCATCTTTTTGCACCAATTAACACGAGCCTCTTTTTAGGCATTTATCAATTTATGTGGAATCATCCCACGAGAACAAACTTTCATACAGGGTGTCCACAAAGTTGGGGTTTTCCTTTTCAGACACAACTAAGCTCGATATAATAAAGCTAATATGCGGTGAAACGTGAGCGAACAAGTAAAAAAAAAATGAAAAAGTGCTCACTGTTCAGTTGAATTGAAATTCCGAGTACATGCACATGTAACACAAATAACAAAAAAGAGATCGAAAATATGACGTCAGTGTCACTTTTTATTGGTCGAATACTCATGTTTGTTTTGACGTGGACTAAATGACGTTTGAATAGGCTTATTTACTGATGATCAGTATTTCAAAAAACGCTATGATTTTTTATTAAAATTTATCACATTTCCGGGGCATCTGCTGGTATACAAGTTCTTTAAAATCCGACCTTTCTTATGATGAGGAACTTCTGTATACATTGATTTGAATGAAGCAATCATTATGCAACTGAATCATTCCGAAAATCAATAAAGTAATAACTTATATTTTTAGGAGCTTTGAATTTTAAATATCTGACCACTGTTTTGTGATTGTATTTCCTCATCATATTTTACATTGGAACTTGAATGGTCTTATTTTTACTTAGAATTCTTAGATGTATATTTTTATTTACCTTTACCATTTTGCTAGTTTAACAATGTAATTTTTTATATATTTTTGTCAATATATATATATATACAGGGTGGCCAAACACGTGACGTCATAAAAAAAAAATTAGATTCCCCACATCGAGAGGAACCCAAACCACCCTCATATATATGGTCCGATTTTGTTTAGTTTAGGAGTTACGATTTTTTTTCGGATTTTTCGAGAATTTTTGAGTTCTGTGTTTATTTTTACCATAACTTCGTTAATAATTGTGATAAATGCCTGCTTTTTTCACGATTATGTAGCTAAGACCTAAGGCTTAACTATCATATAATCATTCAAGTCATGTAACTAATACTACTTTTTAATTTTTTTCAAAATCTTCGAACATAACAAAAAAGTAAAAAAGTGCAACAACTTTGAACGTTTATAAAAAATTGAAAAAACATGTTCTTACTATTCGTAAGTATCTTAAAAACTTCCTTACGGTATCAGCTATTTACCGTAAAAATTTCATCAACCTAGCTTTACTACATGCTACCGTAATTGTGGCTCAAATAGAACCGAACCCGAAATTGGATAACCCTCTGCTCAATAGAAATTGTTAGTTTCGGAAAAAAAATTTGCAAAAACCACAAAAACACGTTTGATTTTTACTGAACAGCAGATTATTATTCATTTATGTTATTTACAAGAGGTTTTCAAAATGTCTGCCTCTAACAGAAATGTACAGTGTACACCTACGTATGAAATTTTGTTTTAAATCTCTAAATGCTTGTGTGTTGTTTTTCAACACATGTGTCGCTTCTTGAATTTTGTTCCTCAATGAATTTTCATTTGCACATTCTTGGGCGAATGTTATGTCTTTAAAAGATCCCCAAACAAAAAAATCAATGGGGTTGAGGTCAGGGGAGCGTGGAGGCCATCGTATCGGTCCGTTTCGTCCGATCCATCTGTCTGGGAACCTTTCGTTTAAGTAGTTTCGCACGATCGTTGCGTTGTGGCATGGTGCACCATCATTCTGGAACACCATGTTCCGTCTGGCTTCCAGGCTTGAATCTTCCAGCAATAATGGTAGGCTATTTTCAAGGAAGCTTTTGTAGGCTACCGAATCCAACCTTGACGGCAGTTGAAATGGACCGATAAATTCCATATTGAATATTCCTGACCACATGTTCACACTAAAACGGTGTTGAAATGTCGACGGCCTTGACTGGTGGGGGTTTTCAACAGCCCAAGTATGTAAATTATGAATATTGAATATCCCTGTTCTTTCAAAACGTGACTCGTCAGTCCATAAAATTTTATCAAAAAAATCGGGATCCTCTCGTTGTCTTCGCAGCATTGTCTCGCAGAAATCCACTCTTAACTGGTAATCTGAAGGCATCAACGCTTGAACTCTTTGAACATGATAGGCATGATAACCTTCTTCATGAAGAATATTTTGTATCGATGTTCGTGGTATTCTAAGGTTTTGTGCCATAGATCTCGTATTCGTTGAGGGATTCCGGCTAATTTCTTCAAGTACTACTTCTCTGCGATCCGGATCAGCTGTAGGATATCCTTCATTGCTTCCTCGTCCTGGAATGCGGCCTGCCATGAAAGTGTTATGTGTGTTAATAAAAACACGGTGGTCTGGGTAATGCTCAGGTTGTGGTCCGCCTCGGCGTATAAGTTGTTCCCGGTAAAGCTGAGCTGCTAAAGCGCCGTTGCCTTGAGCAACGCCATAATAATAATGCATCGACATTTCAACACCGTTTTAGTGTGAACATGTGGTCAGGAATATTCAATATGGAATTTATCGGTCCATTTGAACTGCCGTCAAAGTTGGATTCGGTAGCCTACAAAAGCTTCCTTGAAAATAACCTACCATTATTGCTGGAAGATTCAAGCCTGGAAGCCAGACGGAACATGGTGTTCCAGAATGATGGTGCATCATGCCACAACGCAACGATCGTGCGAAACTACTTAAACGAAAGGTTCCCAGACAGATGGATCGGACGAAACGGACCGATACGATGGCCTCCACGCTCCCCTGATCTCAACCCCATTGATTTTTTTGTTTGGGGATATTTTAAAGACATAACGTTCGCCCAAGAATGTGCAAATGAAAATTCATTGAGGAACAAAATTCAAGAAGCGACACGTGTTGAAAAACAACACACAAGCATTTAGAGATTTAAAACAAAATTTCATACGTAGGTGTACACTGTGCATTTATGTTAGAGGCAGACATTTTGAAAACCTCTTGTAAATAACATTAATGAATAATAATCTGCTGTTCAGTAAAAATCAAACGTGTTTTTGTGGTTTTTGCAAATTTTTTTTCCGAAACTAACAATTTCTATTGAGCAGAGGGTTATCCAATTTTGGGTTCGGTTCTATTTGAGCCACAATTACGGTAGCATGTAGTAAAGCTAGGTTGATGAAATTTTTACGGTAAATAGCTGATACCGTAAGGAAGTTTTTAAGATACTTACGAATAGTAAGAACATGTTTTTTCAATTTTTTATAAACGTTCAAAGTTGTTGCACTTTTTTACTTTTTTGTTATGTTCGAAGATTTTGAAAAAAATTAAAATGTAGTATTAGTTACATGACTTGAATGATTATATGATAGTTAAGCCTTAGGTCTTAGCTACATAATCGTGAAAAAAGCAGGCATTTATCACAATTATTAACGAAGTTATGGTAAAAATAAACACAGAACTCAAAAATTCTCGAAAAATCCGAAAAAAAATCATAACTCCTAAACTAAACAAAATCGGACCATATATATGGGGGTGATTTGGGTTCCTCTCGATGTGGGGAAACTAATTTTTTTTTTTATGACGTCACGTGTTTGGCCACCCTGTATATATATATATATATATATATATTGTATCTTGTAATTTATTTATCATATTTTTCTTGGTGTAATTTAGTTAATACGTTTAGGTTTGTTACTTTTTAATAGTTGCTTATTTATTAAAATTAATAAAGTAATATCCTATATGAGCTTTAGTAAGAAATTGTCTCTATATTAAATATCTGACCACTGTTCTGTAATTGTATTTCCTCATCAATTCTACATTGGAATTTAAATGGACTTATTTTTACTTAGAATTCTTAGATGTAATTTTTATTTACCTTTACCATTTTGCTAGTTTAACAGTGTATTTTTTTATATATTTTTGTCAATTTTTTTATATATATATATATATATATATATATATATATATATTGTATCTTGTAATTTATTTATCATATTTTCCTTGGTGTAATTTAGTTAATACGTTTAGGTTTCTTACTTTTTAATAGTCGCTTATTAACTAAATAAGATTGACCGTGTAATTTTATTTGTAGCATAAACTAGATTTTTGCTAATCAAACGTTTTTTTCTCTATACATTTACAAGTTCTAATCAGTGGCATCTCTTTTCGTTGGGCCACCCTGTAGATCATATCATCCAGAAAAGTAGGATTTTTGGTCCAAAGCTACGAATATCACGATACCGTATCATCTTTAACTTTTTTCTTCGCGATAAAATATCGACATGCGTGAAAAAATTGTGTGGGTTTTGAAACTTGTGGATTGTAGCCTCAAACTTTCAAGGCGTGTATTCACCAAAAAAAATGTCTACAAATATGTTGTCATCACCGAACAAACATATTCAAGAGACAGTCACTTCCCACGCGATTTGAACGTGTTTGTAGACGTTCCGTTGGTGCGTCGAGAGAAAAATTAAATTATATCAAAAATGCCTTCTTTTAAAATAAAAAAAGAAATCTGCCGTCCTTCGTTATACTGTATAAGCTGAAAGAACAGAAATGTCACGAAAAAAATAAAAAACGCAAATTATGGGTATCGAATTTCTTACACAACAGGTTCAGCGGTTGTAGTTTGTGACATAAAAACAAATGATACAAATAAATAGTTTGTTTAAAAACTTTACTCGAATGTCAGCAGATAGTTTTGATTTTCTGCTTTCAAAAATGACTTCAGAAATATCCAAGTGTGATACAAACTGCAGACTGTGTGTTCCTCCTGAAATTCGATCGGCAATATTAGACGCATCTTGTTTTCTAGTTTTTATGAGATAAAAGCAATGTTTTGGATCTCATAATTCTGGTTTGGTCTTATACAGGGTGCGGCTGAGAGGATGGACGGTTTTAAAAAAATCATAAAATAGTTGTGCATAATCTCCGGGGTGTAACTGTTGCACCGTTTGGAACGCTGGCAAACACCTACAAACGTTTGTAAGCATTTGTCGCTACCCACACCTAACTTTACCCCCCAAAAAAAGTTCTATATATGTCACTGATTCTAATCAATGTAAATTGCTAGCATCATAACTTTGAGTCAAAAAAATAGGATGTGGAAATAAAAAAAAAACGCAACAGATTAAATAGAAAATGTATAATTAAAACTTGCTAATTCTTAATACATTCATATAAATGGTACTTAACCGCCACGCTGACGCTTAATTGTGTGAATTGGCAACGGAACCAGAATGATTGCTTACAAATAAAGAGGAAATATTAAAAACGCTAGAATATATCCTACAAGAAATAATCGGCCTGCGGTTTTTTCGATGGGATGCCTCTGGTTTCTTGCGGGGCCGCTTCGAATATGGTGAAATCCCTTTGAAGGTGTTCGTTCAATTCTAAGATGGCCGCGACATTGCCGCACCTAAACATAAGCTTGTTTGTAATCCTCGGATCGAACAGAGAGAGGAGGGGTGTTACCTGTAACAATAATTCGGCGCAGACCAAACGGTGAGTACAGTCTCGTTGAAATGCCACTTGTATCCTTCCATAACCAGCTGGTGCGCTCTGCAGATCATGTCGATGTCATTGGCCGCGTTGAATTGCGCCACAACGTCGGATCCGAAAAGGTAACCGGCCCCACGCGGGGACACGCCCCATCCTTGGGTGTCTGAAACATCGCATCACCAATCAAGTTACAAACTATGGACGACGATTTGGTATTTTTACTAGACAGTCCGATCCTGAGACGGGAGGTGTTGAACATTCGAGATGGTGTGCACGAAACAAATAAAAACAGAGAAACAACTGGTGAATTTTTTCATTTGTATGAAGTTCTGAGATTATACTGTGACAAATAGTACTGTTGGCGCCATCTGTTGAGCGGGATTGGGACTATACAGGGTGACTTCGAAGTTGAGTCATTTATTTTAACAGTGAGTAGATCTGATCAAAAGAAATGTTTTTTTCCTTTACCATTTTTCTGGTAAAATTAAAGTAACAAAGTTATAGCCCTTTGGAAGTTTGAGTACCGCCCTGTCTCAATAATAATATTATGTGCTCGTGTTTGGTTCATCGCATCGGAAACAAAAAAGCGAAAGAATTTGGAACGATGTTTTTACAATTATTTGATTCAGTTGAATACAGTCAGTGTCAGTCTGTAGTGGATAGTGGTGTCTGTTGCGTGGCTCAAACGAAATAAAAAATGGCACATGTTTATACAGATCGGTTTCCCAATCGAGTGCAACCAACCCCTCGTGCCTTTGTTAATGTAGTACAACGGGCTCGTGAATCAGGTGACTTAAAACCTCACAGGGGACCTCACGATCAAATACAGGTCCGCACTGAAATACTTGTCGGGAGGATACTTTATAAAACAAGGTAAAATTTTTTTTTTATTTTTACACACATATTTTGGTTTATCTTCCTTCTACAATCATTATCTGAAAATTAATGACTCAACTTCAAAGTATTTAGCTCGGCGGCCGGGAGAAGGAAGCAGAGTACAGTTTACACCAGAGCAGAGCGGAGTATAGTCCAGTCAATGGTGCGACATAAGAGTTAGTCAGACATAAATAGTGGTGTACATAAATGTTCTATCAAGTTAAATAAATTAGTGCATTTCTTTTTGTGGAATCCAGTGTTTTAATCCACACCCAAAAGAACCCAGAAAAACGCTACAATACCCTACCAAATTTTTTGAATACATTCTAATGCCCGTTTCAACATTTGACTACATCCTAAGTAAAATATCTGTGGTGTGGATGTGTACTTTGCCAAATAGGTGGTTTAGATTGAATTGCACTTATGAACAATTCAGTATCCGCCATTACAATACAATAATACTCATGCGTACGCCGAGCGGCAAGTCCGAACTAGCGTTAGGTCGCTTGCTGATTAGGCCTGTAGTGTGGCCAGAAAGCGCGGAACAGTATCGTTTGAAAAGTAAAAATTATCTCAAACAAGGAAGTCGTTGCCGAGACAGAGGCGTCTTTTGGAGAGGGCAGAAACAGTGGAAAAGTGTATCTTTTTAAAAGGGGACTATGTTGGAAAATAAAGTTTTCTTTTTTTGGAAAAAATGGTGTCTTCATTTCTAACACGGGTACTTATTGACCGCCCTCGTAAAGACGTCGGCGGGTTACTCAAATGTTTCTAAAAAAACAGCTGAGCCGATTTTAACAAACTTGAGCTAGTCGAAAAGAGCTACTGTTGGGCTACAAATGTTATAATGTTTGAAGGTTAGTTAGCTTTACATGTGGCCGCTAGAGGGCTAAACGAATTAAATGCATTGGTATGATTTTTTTTCATCAAAAAGTAGCTAAATGATGTCTAAACATAGAAATGGCTCCAAATAGGAAAATTCTGATGCTAAACAAAACAATTGAGATTGTTGAAGTTCACAATAAGGGGAAATTAAGTGTAAGGATATTATCCCACATTTTAATATTGAAAAAACAAGCTGCAGATATAGTCAAACAAGCATAGTAAAATACAGTTTGAACTTTGAGAAGAAATAGATCCTCATATTTTGTAGCAAACATCCAAAAATATATATTTTTCTCATGTGAAGCAAGTAAAAATTCATACTTTTGGCATTTTGTAAAAAATGGGACCAAGTATTTACCCAAACAAATAACCTTTGTTGACAGACCACTCTTGTTCAATTTCCTGTTTTTTGGAGTGGTATGATAACAGCTTGATCACAATGAAGATTTACCTTCAGGATCACTCCAGAGCAAGTCACACATTGGTCCATCGTGAGGCACCTCCTGTTTCCTATCTATAACTCTAATTTGGTCCAGGGTCTGTATCGATGGAGACAGTCCACCATGAACACAGAATATTTTCCCATCAATTATAGCTGATAGCGATAGGTAGTCAAATATTTCCGTACAATATCTCCAAACTGTTATCGAACCATATTTCCTCAAACATTCATCATAGAATCCATATACCTGGGTGATCTGTCGGGATTCATGGTTTCCTCTGATCAATGTGATCCTGTCTGGATATCTGACCTACAAAATCAGATAGATGAATAATCATTATTAATAAAGTCGATGTAACGTAATATAAAAGAACAGAAATAATTTTATTTGTTTTGCAACTAACTAAGAATTCAAACAAGATGCAAAAAATAGAATATTGTTGATAAAACGTCAAGCAATTTCTTTTTAAAATTCTTAGATACCTCGTGTATATTACATGCGTACTATTGTGAGTGCATTTTAGATTAAAATAAGAAATGACTTACTTTAAGAGCTAGTAATAGCAAGAATGTTTCCACACTGTAAAAACCTCGATCCACAAAGTCACCCATAAACAGGTAATTTGTCTCTGGGACATCTCCACCAACTTTGAATAACTCCTTTAAGTCGTAGAATTGGCCATGGATATCACCACAAACCTAAAAAAGAATGGTATCAAGAGTAGATTGACTCAATAAATTTTTTTTTTGAAGGAAGAGGTCGTAACTCATCTTACTGAAACAATTATGCTTCTAAAAGCAAGAGTCCTGGAGATAGAATTTTTTCAATTTTGAATGTTTGTGTGTAATTACAAAAATTTTTGTTTGAAAACTATAGCACTAAAACATATATTTGGCAGAGATATATGACATTTCTTTTATGTTGTATATATCTATTACTATTATTTCAGATTTTATCATCTTATTTTTTCCTGAAAAATTGCTGCTGATGGTAAATATCAGGAGCAGTCCTACCAATTAACTGGACATAAAACTAAAAAGATTACAAGAAGATAAGTGTACCTGAAACACTAAACAGAAATTTTGTTCTCAAGCATAACTAAATCCTGTTTTAGAAAAGATTAATCTGGAAATATACTAACAGTAACTGGCGAGTCTACTCGTTGAACATTGCTTTCTTCTACTAATATTTCCCTAGCTTTTGCACAAAGGGCTTTAACTTCACCTTCCTTGATTATTTCACATCGTTTCAATTGCTCAATTTGTCTATCCAAGTCACTAGAGTCACTCATCTAAAAATGAAGCACATACGTAGATACATGAGGAGAAGGCATAATCGGAATATTAGTAAAACTCTAGAAGGCCTACTCAAGTATGCCATTACCTTCTAATGCATAAAATACCGAATCCACACCTATTTTTCTGTATGTTTGTTGTAAACTTAGCAATAAAACGAGCAAAGTTTTCAGCGTAGGAACGCCAGTTTTGACATGTGACATGACAACCATAGAACCATAAATGACAAATTGACAACCGCAGGTGAGAGGAGTGGCGATGACGTATGTCAACTGCTCGCCAGGCAAAATCGAGGAATCTGCATTACCGGCATCGCGGCACTAACATCCATATTATCAACGCTGATGCTTTCGGATATATTTTCAGGGATATCCATCACACTTTGACCTCTACTGAGGTGAACATCTGATCAGCAAGTGACATTTTTGTGTTAGCATGCAACGTTGGCAACAATGAATCGGATATTAACCTAGTAAATCTTGTTTGTGGCGTTTTTTTTGTATGCAAATGATATTTTCTAAATAAAAGAGCTGTTAGCAATTACAACACGAATCTGTAGCGTACAAAAAACCAAAACAAAATACGGCTTCGTCTACCTGCCGTTGACGGATCCGTATTACCAACTAGATCATCAGCTGTCATTATTATGGATATTGCTTTAAATATGATGACGCCCCTGCACATTTTGGACGCAATGTTCGAAATTGGTTGAATGTCAATCCGTTGGATTTCTATTTTGGGGGTCATTAAAAGACCTAGTTTACTCGACTGAAGTAAATACTCAAGAAGATTTACTTCAAAGAATCCATCAGGCTGCAAATGAAATAAGAAGAAAAAAGTTTTCCACTTTTCGGGCTACGCAATCATTAGTTCGTCGAGCGAGACTCTGTATCCAACAAAATGGGAATTTATTTGAACACTTATTGTAAAGCTAGTTTTAAGTATATCCGACTGTATGTCTTCTATTTTAAACAAATTTCAATTTCATTTGTAGAAAAAATTTATTTCTTTTGTTTTTGCCTAAATTATGTTGCAATATAAATTTGTATTTATGTAATATTTACCAATTATTAAATTAGTTTTTTCGTTGACATGGCTAATTATTCAACAATTCATTTAAATTAGCAGTACATTTCCTATCATGTGACAAATTTTTTAGTTTGATTTTATTCAACAATGGCACAATTTATCGATATTCAATAAGAGTACCTTTTTTATGTAGAAAACCCTAAATTTTCAAATTCTAAAATTGAATTTCAAAAATAGAATCACAAAAATTTTGGGGCTAAAATAACCTGAGTCCGCCCGCTTCCAAACAAAACTGTCTAATAGTGTTAATATTTTTAAATCCAGCATAAAAAACTAGGCCAGAATAACAAATTTTATGTCTTCATCTCAACACGTTTCGGAAATATTAAGGAAAAACCATCTTCAGGGGAGCCTCTTTAAAAGACCTTAGCGCCCTTGGGGGACGTTTGTCGACGTATGTTTATATAAACTTTTCTTCCTATTTTAAGCTCTAGAAACCGCTGGTAGAATAATAAATATATATATAATAATAATAAATGCACATACATACAAAAAATGTATGTTTCAACATGTGTGTGCAATTTCCGAACTATAATTATTGATTCACGTATTCTACCTGAACATAACCAGCATCTCATTCGATATCGGATAATTTTTGGAGGCTGGATTATAGCATTAGGTTGGCTATCTTCAGGTATAGAAACATATGTTATCAATGAAACACTGAATAATTGAATCGCATTTTCTTCTATCCACAATAATATTTTGATTATCCGATTTGGATACGATTTTGATACAAGAACACGTATCCCGATTTAAATAATCATCAGTTAACTAATTTGACCGTAGTAATGGTCATGATCCGCGAGAGTCCGCGAACTGCTCGCCGCACGCCGCAGAAGGCAGAACAGAAACACACTGGAAACTCACGTTGCCCGTACGTAGACAGACTGTGTATATGTTTCGTACAGAACGGTTTAGAACGAACGCTTCCGTGGTTCGCGGCGCGATTTCGTCTGATTTCGAGTGCTGTGCACGTCGAAGCGCGCGATTTTCACCCCGCGACGGCGGCGATCGATTTTCCTTCCGTTGACGTTCACTGGGATCGAGTCTACGTCTAGGTTAGGACAGAAAATAGTGACCGCAGTTGCATCGGCTGCACAACGTGCACGGTGCACCAACACGATCGTATCATCATGAGCCTCCTGGTGCGGCATTGCTGTGATTTCTTTCATGGTAAGCGCTAAATTGTCTGCCATATCGCATATCCGTTTGTCTACTACTCGCAACTCGCTACTTTAACATTACACCTGGAAAGATTATAAGTTTATGCTAGATAATAAATTTATAGTTCTTAACATTTGCATTTTGCTTTGATGCATACCGATTTTATGGGTATATGTAATAATGCAAATGTGTTATTTTCTTTATCATTGAGTATGATATATTCTAATCAGTTAATATGGGAAATTTAGTAAGTCGATAGATTTTTTGGTCCCATTCTGGTACCTCGATGATGAAAAACAGGGTCATATCAGCTGTCGGCATACAAATATTCGATTGATTTGTTTGTCAACATCCCTCGTCCGTGACTTGATAAAAATGAAGTCATCAAGTAGCGTGTATTTCACGTATTCCAGATGTTGAAGCTGGCTAATTCTCTAGCTGGTAATTCTGTAGATTCGTTACACAAGCCGTTTTTGAAGAATAAATGATTTCAGACCCTAGTTTTTGGGTGTACTGTAGATGAATGAAATGGGACTGAAAATGAGCGCAAACATGAAAAAGTTCTGTAATATATTACTATACAGGGTATTTTTAAAGTTGTGTGATTTATTTTAAATGCTTGTAGGACTCGTCGAAAGAAGTTTTGATACACCAAAAATCACGTATATAAAAGTTGCATAATAAAAGAAATAAGTAGTAAAAGATAAAAAAATTGTTTATAAAAATTGCTTGAAAATCTGTTGACTCTTCGGTCCAAGGTCCGGGCAGTATGCCGAATCAGAATATTTTTCCCATCCGATGCGAAAATACTAACTGAACTAGATCTTATTTTTATTTACTTTAAGAGCGGGAATAGAAAAAATTTGAGGAAACGGATCTTAGAAATTCGAACGCGAAAATAAATCCGTCTATTGAGTGGTGAAATATAAGAAGAATCAGACGATTTTGGCAGACCAAGACACATCGAGTTGTCGCCAAGATCTCCAGACCTAAGTCCTTTACATTACTTACCTTGAGGGCATTTGAAATGAAAAGTTTTAAGTACAAAGCCAGATTCCATTAAAGATCTTCGTCAGCGAGTACGGCTGAATGTAGACAAATAACTCAAGACATGCTTGGAAGTGTGATGAACAGAATAGAACAAAATCTTTATTATTGCATGGAGGTAAATGACACCACTTTCAGCGCTCATTACCACATTGACCAACCTCTTTATAGCAAACTAATTTTTACTTTAACTAAAGTTGTTTTTTGTTTTTAATACTCGGAGATTTGTTTTTCAAATTTAATTTTTTTTACTATGGAAACTATATATATCCAGGAGAGTCACAAATAGGGGTGCATCCTTTTCGTTGAGCCACCCTGTATATCCATATGGACGTTAAAGTCATCATTCTGTTATATTCAGTTTTGACGACCATCGTACACAATACACATCCGCCTGTTGCTAATTTGTAATTTCATTTCATGGGACATTCGTCATCGCTTATTGCCTGCCTGAACATAACATTAAAATTTGCCTTTCTCCATTGCAATTCATCGTGGCGTCGGCACAGGTATCATGTAAAAAACCTACAAAACGTCAAAAAAAACGTATAAGATGTCAACTTGCAGACTAGGTAGTTTTTAGGGCACAAACAGTCATTCCACGTTTGCTCACTACGATCGTTGTGAACGTCCATCTATGAACGAATCACTCAACTAAACTACGCATTATTGGTTGCATAGTTTTGTGAGGCTGAGTGATCCGGGTTTGTAGTTCTTATCTCTGAGAAGAAATAAAGGGTTGTCCAATAGGGACGCAGGAAAGTAAACGTCAATTTGACATAGACGCCATCTTTGTTTTCTGTCACCGACATGTCATTTTGTTAGTTGAATGTTTACCATTAATCGCTATGGAGTCGTATTCGATTGAAGACCGCATTAAAGTTATTCAAGAGCACTACAAAAATGGTGCAAAAATAAAAAACACGTTTCGCGCGCTTCGTGAACATTTCGGTCGCAACAACCGCCAAAACGAAACAACCATCGGTCGTCTGGTGCGTAAATTCGAGGCAACAGGTTCTGTGGCAAATCTGCCAGGCTCTGGCCGGCCAAGGAGCGTTCACACACCGGAAAATATTGCTGTTGTGAAGGAGAGTGTGAGAGACGATCCGAAACAATCAACAACGCGTCGATCCCAAGAATTGGGCTTTTTATACGTATACAAGTATTGTGACTTGTGACAAATCTAAGTCTGTGTAATATATTAGCTATACAGATTGCATTTAAAAAGTGATTTATGTGCTGTTTGTTGCTCAATAGTAATTTGAAAAGTGTGTAATGTTTGACTGATTTTGTTTGGGGTCGGTGTTGCAGCGAAGCACTATGTTAGATGAACGCCTAAATTGGAAATAGACATTTGTGAGATTGGTTTAGCGGTGTGCCTATGACCGGACCAGAAAATGCGTCGATCGATGCTCAAAATCAATACCACGCGTCCCGCATCTGTTCCCGCGTATGTGTATATTTATGTTGTTATACTAAATTCGTTTTTAATAATAGATAGCCTGAGCATTTTCCATAGTTTTTTCAAGCTGGCATTGACCAGATAGATTACAATGGATTTAAGTAAAATATAAATTCTAGAAGTTCCACTGAAGTGACAAATTACCAGCCCCGAATATCGTTTGCGCCCCCCTAGACGAAATGCCGCAGGCGCGCCCAATACAGAATTTCTGAACTTTACTGTCTAGGAAGGTTTATCAAGGAGGTCCAAGATGAAGAACAGCTAAGACGGCGAATTTACGAAAAACTGAGAGAAATTGATCTGGGAGACGTTCGAAGACAGTTGCGACTGGTAGAGCAGAATGGCACGCTCCACATAATTCATAATTAAGTATTGAGTTGTAATTTATCATAACTAGCTTGTGTTTAAATAAATTTCTTCATTAACAAAAATCCAATAAACATTTTGTGGTGAAACTTTTATGACATACGTTATTACTAGTTTTACTAGTGTATGTACATATGAATTAGGTATGTTAATATTTTCAATGGTAAATATCTCGGCGATACAAAGCATCATTACGGTGAGCAATTTCACCTTAACCAAACAGCAGATTTCCTTCTGGTGACCAAAAACAGTCGCAATAAGTGAATATTCGCTCCTTATTTGAGAATGCTAGTATTGCCGTTCCCGCGACCGAGGTCAACTTCTTCAGTTGTGCTAAAGAAATTCTGCATCGACATACTTGGTGACGACGATGTTTTTTTTGGTCATTGTTATTTATACAACAACAAAGCCTTCAAGGCGACCATTGGAATTATATTTGTCCTAATTTTCATCGGAATGCAGAAATTTATTACTGCAGGAGGCGTATTATTTGTGGTATAATCCGAAAATTGCGGATGCGTAATGAATAAAATATAGAAAAAACGAGCTTTCGTTTCTTCATAAAATGAACTAAAAATTCAAAAATATTTTTTTCCTATTACAAATAAGCTCATTCGTCTCACGTTTTCAAATAAAAACACGTTACATCCTTTTCATCGCTTTTAAAACGTAACACGCTTTTATTTGAAGACTTGAGATGTACGAGCTTCATTGCCGTTTAAATATTTCCAAACGGAAAAAATATTTTTATATTTTTAGTTCATTTTTTGAGCAGGTAAATAAAATCTTCTTTTTAAAAATGCATTATAAACCGTACGAGCGTTTTTGACTGATCGCTATTGCAGCTCACGAAGAGTTTGCAGATAGGAGCTCGTGGCGGATCAGGCCGAAAGAAGGGGGATTTTTGCTAAATTTTTTTTTGGTGGTATCGCTAGATTATTCTGCTTCTATAAAAAATTGTCGTATAGTCAACTGATTACGTAAATGTACATGTTATATAGGGTTGTCCAATAGGGACGCAGGAAAGTAAACGTCAATTTGACATAGACGCCATCTTTGTTTTCTGTCACCGACATGTCATTTTGTTAGTTGAATGTTTACCGTTGATCGCTATGGAGTCGTATTCGATTGAAGACCGCATTAAAGTTATTCAAATGGTGCAAAAATAAAAAACACGTTTCGCGCGCTTCGTGAACATTTCGGTCGCAACAACCGCCCAAACGAAACAACCATCGGTCGTCTGGTGCGTAAATTCGAGGCAACAGGTTCTGTGGCAAATCTGCCAGGCTCTGGCCGGCCAAGGAGCGTTCGCACACCGGAAAATATTGCTGTTGTGAAGGAGAGTGTGAGAGACGATCCGAAACAATCAACAACGCGTCGATCCCAAGAATTGGCCATTTCGAGAACCAGTTTGCTCCGCATTCTCCACAAGGTTTTGAATGTACACGCATACAAGATCCAATTGACGCAAGAGCTGCGTCGGGCCGACCATTTTTCGCGCCGAACGTTCTCAGATTGGCTCCTTGAACTCCGCCAAATTGATGCCAATTTTTCATCAAAAATCATGTTCAGCGACGAAGCGCATTTCACTTTGAATGGGACGGTAAACAAGCAAAACTGCCGCATCTGGGCGAACGAAAATCCCCGTGAGTATCAAGAGCAGCCGATGCATCCTCAAAAAGTGACTGTGTGGTGTGCATTGTGGTCAAAAGGCATCATCGGACCTTACTTTTTCGAAAATGCGGCCGGGGACGCCGTTACCGTCAATTCGGAGCGATATCACGTGATGATAGAGGACTATTTTTTGTCGCAACTTGAAGGAATGGATATGGACGATGTTTATTTCCAACCAGACGGTGCAACATGCCACACAACCAACGTCAATATCCATCGATTGCAGTCCTTCTTCGGTGATCGCGTGATTTCGCGCAGCGGAAATATGCCATGGCCACCAAGATCGTGCGATTTGACTCCCTTGGACTTCTTTTTATGGGGATATTTGAAAAGCAAAGTCTACGTCAACAAACCAGCCACCCTCCAAGAACTCAAAAACAACATCATTGCCGAGATAAATGCCATAGAACCGACCATGTTGCAAAATGTCATTGAAAATTTCGACCATCGCGTGGACGTC